TGGAAAACTATAATAAAAATCTTTATATATATATTTGATAAATAGAAAAATGAATTGTATAAAATCTTGAATACTGTTCAATGAAATCTATTCAATAATCATCAAGCCTATAGCACTCCTAGATCGTTTGACAGAGATAAATATTGCAAATATTTATAAATTTTAAACCAATTAAAAAGTTGAAATTGTAAAATATGCATGAATATAGAAATTTTAAGTTTTTTTCATTTTTCATAATTCCCATCCATCTTCTGCAGTGAGTGCTGTTTTTAAACCTTGTTTTGATCTGTTTCTAGAAAATTCTGAAACACAAAAATTGTTCACAAATCACAAAACTTCAACATAACTCCACTTTCTAACACGAAAATAGCACGGATTAGGACTCTATGATGGCTCAAACCACACACCACTAAACAAATTAGAAATGGAGATAAAAAATAAAACTTTTCTTTTAGTTTTGTTATTTATTCTTTATAAAGACGTAAATTCTAAAAGTTGTTACTATGGTTTGGAAGAGCAATAATTCAAGTTTCGAACAGTTGTAGTAACGTTGAATTAAAAGAAAATTCAGAAGAATCATGAATCTTGCCAGCATGCAGTCTGTAAGTCTGGCCAGAGAAGGCAGTGAGTAAACATCTACGTATCTTCAAATTTCATATATTGAGCCCAATTTTTTTTTCTTTCTTTGTTTTTTTTTCTGAACAGTGTTACATTATCAAACGCAATTTTTAATACTTTTTTATTTACGTATTTTCAAGCTACTCAACGTAAAAAAAATATAGTGAGAGTTCTACGAGCCCTGTGATTGTTAAGCTAATAATTCTGTCAGTATCAACAGTTGTTTGCTTAGTTGGATCACAACATAAACTTCACTGGCATTTACATTAACTTTAAGTTATTTTTATAAATATTATTATTATTATAAAATGGTCCAGTGCACGTTTTGTAATAACGCTATTACCCGTGGATCTAGCTTATCTCTTCTCCTTTTTAGTTCCTATATTAACGACCTACATGACTCAATTCTCCATTGTTCCCTCCACCTTTATGCAGACGATTCTCAAATATATCTATCCTTTTCTTCCCCTGAGCTACTGGTAGCATTTACTAAGGTCCTAGCAGACCTAGATCGAATCTGTGCCTGGGCAAGCTTAAGCGGATTAAAGTTAAATGCTGATAAAACTCAGGCCATTGTCATTGGTTCCAAGCCCCTTCTTAGATCCTATACCGACTTTCTCATACTGAATCATGGTGGCCAGCATGTATCCTTCTACTCCTCTGTCAAAAATTTAGGATTTTTCATTGATCAAACCCTCTCCTGGAATCACCATATTTCTCACATCTCCCGACGGACAATTTCTACCCTCAAACTGTTTCTACCATCGCTTCCGCCATCTCCTACCTCAAAATGCGCGTAGACACCTGGTTTCCTCTCTCATCTTCCCCTACTTTGACTACAGTTGTGTGGTTTATGATGAGCTCTCGGTGGTGCTCCGTGACAGACTGAAAAGACTAATGAACAGTTGCGTAAGATTTGTAATTTGTGCCCCGAGATACTCCCATGTCTCTTACTACAACACTGAGTTAAAGTCGCTCTTCCTCTCCGTTCGAAGACAATATTTCCTAGGTACGTTCCTCCATCAAATCATCAGCAATCATCGTCCTTCTTACGCCTACAACCTTCTCCAATTCCAGTCCTCAGTCCACTCCCTTTCCACAAGATCTCGACCTTCCGACCTTTACATTCCTTCTCACAGATCTGACTCGTTTCAAAACTTCTTTATTGCTCGCTATGTTAATTTATGAAATTCCCTTTCTATCAAAATTCATCATTCTCCCTCCCTCTCTACATTTAAAACCCTCCTATTCCAATTACTGTCCCAAAAACAGTCAGATACCCGCTAACCTTTTATGTAAAATTACATTTTATTCATAATGATTTACATATAACTCATCACTTAAATACTTACTATAAGATTCGACTTTCTTTTTTCTTTTCTTTTTTTTCTACAGAAACACTGAGTTTACTGCTAAGAAGATTGATATGTATTTTTTTTTTCTAAAAGTGTATATTTATATTTTACGACTGTACATAGTTTTGTATCAGAGTCCTGTATGAATGCGTCAGAAGGGACACTTTTAATATCGTCTACGAAAGAGAAATGAAAAAACAACATTCCATGAAATAAATGAATGACTAAAAAACGAATTATATTATAATGATACATTTTAGGAAATTTTATGAAAGGGTGCATGTTTGCAGGATCTTGAAAATGGCTCCTGAAGCTGAAACGTTGAATAAATTGTACAGGATGTAAAAACTGTGCACATTTGCTGATCTTTGGTCTAATATTTTATAAAAAACTTTTTTTAAAAAATAGCACCGAACCTAAAAGATATGACTAGAATATCATATTTAAGATTTTTAAAGGATACTGAAATCGTTCACAAGAAAACAAATTATTTGACCTACCTACCTGGAAGCGCCTTTTGGATTTTGTAATGTCTTGTACTTTTGAATTCAATACAGTTAACAAAATGTTTTCTTATTTTACAAATTCATTGGTATATTATTACTTAGAAATGTATGCAGAAGAAAGAAAAAAAACGATAATATAAAAAAATATGTTAAAATTTTATATAATATATATTTTATCCGCTTCTAAAGGACATTGGCAAGAACTTTCTAATATGGGTCTAAAATTTTTCGACCTAATATCACCAAAAAATGTGTTATCGAAATCGATGACATAACTTTCCCTCGTTAGTGACCTTATTCCTTAAGTGGCCAGTAGGCCAAACTGTTTGGAGTCCCCTGTTCTATAGTATGAAGCACAAAGTACTACATAATCTTTTTTACAAATAATTATATTATATTGTTTTACCAAACAAATAAATAAAATAAACCGGACAAAAGTTTTTTTACATTAACTCACCATATGCCGGTCCAATAATTTATGATACTTTTAATACCAGTGGACCCCTCTGAACTTCTGTTACAATTTATACTAACTGTGAGAATCCGCAATCAGGCAATACCTGACCTCTTCCAAACTGGGCTATGATAGTCCATGTTCCATCGATAAGTGAATAATAGGTGAGAAATTGCACTCATTTTATAGAACGTATAGTTGTGTTTTCAATTAATTCCAAATTTCGTATTTGTAAATTCATATACCTTTTTTTCTTGACATTGGTTTATTTTCCTAACCATATTACATGGTAGGTATTACGTTTTTTAGTTTAGGTCAAAAAGAAGTGATTCTATGAAAAATTAGTGAATATACATGTTTTAAGCTTTTTAATAATATGGACTATATAACCACTTAAAATGAAGTGTTTAAAGCTATTCTTTAACATACCTGTTTAAATGACAATATTCAAGATCAGAACACTCTTCAAACCCATTCAAGAATTTTCCAAAGGTCAAGCATACTCAGGTATCAGGCCCCCCTTTAACAATTTGTATTGCACTTCTCTTCTTAAAAAAACTATGGCTTCTTGTTCTTTTCATAGAAAGTAGGATTATAAAAAATGGTTTGAAAATTGTGAAAGTCAACCTTTAGAATTGAAACCCCACGGATTCCTCCAAAAATTCACAACCCCTCCTTAATTTTTTTTCCGGAGCAACATCAAGTTTGGGATGTGTTTCTTTATCTATACTACCTCTACCACCACAACCCATGAAGGGTCTTAGGTTCAGTACTATTAAGGGAAATCACTGTTTCAAGGTCAACTGTTGTGCAAAGAGGTGATTTGACCGAGATGACGCTCAGCCACCAGATCCCCCCCTCTAATTAATTATTTAATTAAGGGTACCCACTTTACAGAGGCTGGTTGTGCCAAAGGAGGGTCTCTCGACCCAGGGTCGCCCCACAGCCAATGAAACAGAATAAACCAATTTTCTGTCATGAGCCGAGGATTCGAACCTGGGACCTTTAAACATTGGAAGCTCAGTACCCTACCACTGAGCTACTCCAATCATCTATACTACAGGTGTAACAATTCAATTATTGCTTCTCATTATCTTCGCCAATATTGCTTGTTTCAGGCAGGTTGCCATGTATTAATAACAGAGAAAGCTTGTTCACCAATATTAGTTTATGAGTCATTACCAGGAATCTGATTTTTTAGCAGAAAAACCTGCAAAATATGCAACAAAAAATCTCCAAATATTTTAATGAGTCTACAGAATGTTCTGGACCGAGAAGGAAAATGAAAAGGGGATGATAAAGGGATCAATTTATCCTAGATAATTCAAAACTTTCATTTAACTTTCAGAATTGTCTCTGAGACAGATTGTAATATATTTCAATAAATAATTTATTTATTTATTTATTACTTCAAAAAAAAAAAAACTTTCAGATTAATGTCATTAATTATTGTTATTTAAAAAATATATTGCTTCACCATTCTTCTTTGCTCTGTATATAGGTGCCTTTGTTTTTATTGCAGTTAGTATATATATATTTTTTAATTCATTAATTTAAGGTAATAGATCTTATGACCAGGAGTAATCCTTTCTTTTTATATACTAGCTTGTCATTCTTAAGGAACTTTTTATCGGAATACAGTTGTTTCCTAATATATTTGTGCTAAGACGAATGTATGGAATTTAGTAGGGATTTCTGAGAGAAAAAAAAAAAAGAACTTCACCTCTCATTTCTTGTTTTCATTTTGTAGAAAAAACAAGGAAACAGAAGTTGCTGAAACTGTCCATTATACACTCATCTGCGTAGCTATTTAAAATTATCAACACGATGGTCGGTGTTTTCATATTTCATTGTTTTGAAGCTATAAAAACATTTTTAAATACAGTAAAGCTGCTGTAAGGAGTTTGTATTTGAATCTGTTTCAGAGGGTTACGTTTGTTTCTGAGGAGTGTTTTTTGTATTTTTTGCAGAAATCTGTTTAACTTAAACGAACTCAGCCAATGTTTCGCTCTTTCCCTTCGGTATCTTTGCCCCACCTCCTAATCTCCTAACCTTGAGATGTTTAGTGCAAATTCCTATACTCAACACTGTGCTAATTGATGGCTCAGTTTAGAGACATACCAAATGTGTGTTGAGTTTAGAAGCTTGTTCCTTTAGTCCATTAACTTGTTTCTGTTTAATGGAAGAAACTTTTAAAATAAACAGATTGCTACTACCCATCCCACCAATATACTCTTTAAACCTTCTGAAGTACGTAAGCTACTTAATTTAAGCCCTTTATACTGTATCTTAATACTGTAAGTTGAAAAGTAATCAATTTCTAAGCAGAGATGAACGCCGAATTCAAAATTAAAGTGAGGACAGTACCTTAATCAAACAATTGATAAAGTGAGTATGTTTTGCGATATTGTATCATTATTTCAAGAGTGTGCTAACCTCAATTTATATTGTTCGCCTTCTACTCATCCACCAGGCTAGTGAGTTAAAATTTTATTTATTTATTTATTTATATTTTATGCAAATTTGCACCTGCGCATCTAGAAAATTAGCTAATTTGATAAAATTAGCGATTGTTACTGTGTTTAAACCTTCGGGTGTGGCCAACCAATCAGGTCATACAATAGCTTCACAAAATTCAACCTTGAGAAGCATATAACAAAAATAAATTTTGAAATTACAGTACAAAATTGGATATAAAATTCAATCATAACAAAACGTTGATAAGTTTTTTTGAGTGTTCAAATGAATTTTATTATTTTATAATTAATTTTTGTTTCTATTTTTATACATCTTATAATTCAGCACAAATGACCACAAAAAAAAAAAAAAAAAAAAAAAAAAAAAAACTGGCGCGTTGAGCACATCACATAACTTTCACTTACCATTCAACTTTGAGAAGAAGTAGGTATTTTAGTATGAAGGGAAATGAAAGTAAAAATTAGTGAAGGTTAAAAATTCATTTAATGATGACAATTATTTTAATCCTATACGAGTGCCGCAAAATATTATTGTGTTTTCAGATTGCACCAATTTATATAAATAAATGTTTATTGAGACAAATTAATACTAGCCATATTTATAATATCGGAGTCGGCGACTTCTTCGCCTATGATATAACATGATGCACGTTCGTAAGTAATCGTAAAATTCCGACCATGCTCGATCGTCATGCGTGATTCCCGGAATGACCTGCTTCACTATTCGGTGTCATATAACTAGGTCTTGTTTCTTCTTTAATTAATTATAAAATACTTTCATAGTTAATATTAAACCATTTTTATTACTAGTAACAATTTCAGTCTGCGCATGCGTCAGTTTCTATCTACCAACCTGCTACATCGTCTCCCACAAAGTGAGTTAATTACCAGTTAATTAGTTAACTTTAGTGCAATAAAACAGTTACAATTCAACAGTTATCGATTCACTATTCAACTCAACATAAACAAAGTGAGTAACAGCTTGTTTATTAACATTAAGACTACAATGTAAACAATGATAGTTTTATAGGTAGAGGGGCTCTACTAGAGGCCATAGTTAGCTATCCTTGCCCCCACTCCCTTTAGTTGCCTCAGAGCCTTCTAAGGGAGAACATGTGTATCCAAGTAGCCGCTACAAGTCTACGTAATTACTTACGTACTAAAAACTTTTTTTTTTCTTCTTTCTTCTCTCTTTCATTTACCATCCTACCGTCATGAGATGCGATATTATCAAATGATAATGTCTAGCAAAAATAAAAGATCTAGGAGTTTAGGTGATAACAGCTCTCGAAGTTCACCGGTAAAACCAAAGCCTACACGTTCTAATAGAAAAACGCCACCTTCAACACCTGATAACCCAAATGATAACATGAATGACCCTCAAACCGGTACTTCTTCAACGAAAACTATGACTAAACAAAATATAAACACCGAAACAAATGAATCTCCTAACCCGTATCAATAACTGTCATTAGAAGAAACAATGGAAATACCACCAACCCCCAGAGGGTCAAAACCACCTCCAATATTCATTAGAAATATAAACTATTTCCCACTATTTTGCCAGCATCTGAATAAACTACCGGACAATGGCAAATACATACGTCAAAGTCGAATCAATGACACCAAGTCCACATACCACACCAAGACACCAAGCCTACATATGCCAGATTCTTCTGAAGCTTATAAAAAAATAGTTAAATATTTAACTGATACAAAGGCGGAATTCCACACTTATCAGTTATTCCAAGACAGAGCATTAAAAGTAGTGATAAGAGGCCTACACCCTTCAACTCTACCTGATGCAATCAAAGAAGAATTAACGGATCTAGGATTCAGCGTACGCCAAATTGTTAATATATTTAAAGAAAATAAAGAGCAGCCGGGTACAAATTATAAAAAAGCACTACCATTATTTTTTGTAGACCTAGAGCGTACCACTGAGGTCGAAAATATTTACAAATTAAGACGCCTGTATTATACTAGTATAGTTGTTGAAAAAACATATAGCAAGAGGGAAATAGTCCAATGCCATAATTGCCAATCTTATGGCCACACTAAAAGTTATTGCGGGCAACAACACAAATCGGAAGAATGCAGTAAGTCCAGGCAAACACCTGCGGTTTGCGCATTATGCCATAAAGACCATCCAGCAAACTACAAAGGATGCCAGACCTATAAAATATTAAAATCAAGACTTCAAACAGCTCCTAGACAGGAAGAAACATCCAGGACTTCCAGACCACCAAGGCAACAGACAAGATTTACGAACAATCAAGTCTCCTATGCTCAAATACTGGGAGAAATAGAATAGCCTACTCAACCTCGATCCCTGCCACAAACTCAACCACAACCTCATGATCCCCCACCCCAACTTAATAACACCCAAAATGTCCAGTCACCACCAAATGTACATCCCTCCTCCTAACAATTCCAATGATCTTAAGAGCCTCCTTTCGTCATTCCTCTCCGAATTCAGATCTCTTATCACACCACTTATCTCCGTACTTACAAATGTCATATCTAACCTTATTCCACCGCCAAAAATTCCTTAAATGCCCTCAATAAACAGAAAATCCAATCTCTCAATACAGACTAAAACAGACTATTGATATACAAGACCATACTCAAACCCATCTGGACCTACGGACTTGAACTGTGGGGGACAACCATAACACCCATCGAAAAAAAAATTATTTTTACGTGGCAGAACTATTGTTGTATTCCATTAAAGTTTTTCGTCCATTACTGATATTTTCTTAATACTTCAACAAAATTAATGAATGAGCTATTATTTTGAAAATTACCTTTTTGAAGAGTTACTTCTTGGGACGAATAGTAAACAAATAATTAATGTTTTTTTTTTTGTTTATTTAATGGAATTTACAACTGTATACAAATACAACAAGTAAATAAGCGCAAATATAAATAATGGCATGTACAGGCTTGAAGAGTTACTACCCAGTGCTAGCACTCTCTAAATAATTTTAAGTAAGAAGATCACGAGGCCATCTCCTTTTCAGACGCCTAGGAGGATTATCAGGAATCGAGAAAGAAGCAAGAGTGGAAACAAGCGGATTTGGATGGGACTGAAGTTTATCATGAAAGGATAGATATCTGGCTCGAGCTAAATCAGCGACATATGGTACATTAAGGTCTTTATGAATGGTTTTATTTGTGACAAAGTATGGAGCATTAAGGATTTTACGGAGGATTTTGGATTGTAAGGATTGGATACGATAGGAATTCGATGGTTTGGTGGAGCCCCAAAGCTCAACTCCGTATGTCCATATAGGTCTTATTATAGTTATGTAGATAAGTCTTTTGTAATTAATAGAAAGTTTGGAGCGTTTGTCTAATAAGTGTTGGAGCAGTCGGAAACGTCGAGCAGTTTCTTGTCGTTTCAGTCTAATATGAGGATTCCAAGTAAGACGTTTATCCAAATGGAGTCCTAAGTAGCGGATTTGCTCAACAGGAATAAGTGGAGTATTATTGAAAGTTACTGTAAGACAAGACGTCATAGGTTTACGACGGAGGGTAAAGGTGATTTGATGGGATTTGTTGGAATTTATTTTTATTCTCCAATTTTTACACCATTCTTCAAGGCTTGTGATATGTGATTGAAAAGTTTGGGATGCAATTAAAGGATCGTTATTAACAGATAGCAAACATGTGTCATCGGCGTAAGTGGTGATGACAGTGTCAGGATGGGTTGGGATGTCAGCTGTATAAACTGTGTAGAGATAAGGGACCGAGGATACTACCTTGTGGAACGCCTGCAGATTGAGCAAAGAGGGATGAGAAGACATTATTTTGGTTTACTTTGAAGTATCTATCAGTAAGATAGGAGCGGATAATGAGGAAGTATGTAGAGGATAGGACTTTTCGCAGTTTGTACAGAAGACCCGGGTACCAGACTCGATCAAACGCCTGTTCAACGTCGAGAAAGACTCCCGTGCAGTACATACCGCGCTCCAATGCAGAGGAGACTACATCAACCACACGGTGACATTGTTGGATAGTGGAATGCGATGTGCGGAATCCAAATTGGTGAGCAGGGATAATATGATTAGAGTCTAGGATGGGATACAGGCGTTTTAGGATGAGTTTTTCCAGGATTTTGCCCATGATAGGTAACAGAGAAATAGGACGGTAAGAGGATGGGTGTTCGGGTGGTTTTTTAGGTTTGTGTAACATTTTGACAATAGATATTTTCCAAGAATCAGGGAAATATGTGGATCGGAGCACAGCATTGTATATGTAAGTGAGGAATAGGATGGCTTTCCGAGGAAGAAGTTTTAGGATCTGGGAAGTGATAAGGTCGTGTCCAGGAGCTTTTCGGAAAGGTAATCTGTTGATGATATTAGATATTTCCGAAGGATGAAATGCTTTAGGTGGAAGAGTCATTTGGAGTGGAATATCCAGTTCTGCTTCAATACATTCAATTTGATGTGGATTAAGGATATCAGGATGTGGATTAAAGGTTTGGAAGAGGTATTGACCGAATAGTTGAGATTTTTCTTCACCGGATTTGGACCAGGTTTGGGATTCAGTTAATAGTGGATGGTTAAACTCTTTAAACTTTAGTATCTTTTTTGTGGTCGTCCATAGAGATTTGTCAGTAGTTGTAAGATTATCAGTTAGGTTAAGTAATTTTTGTGTTTTGAATTTTCTAATTTCTATTTTTAGTTTGTTAGTCAATTCGTTATAGTAAGTTTTATCTGAAGGATATCTAGTCCTATGCCATTTCGATCTTGCTCTGCGTTTTTCTCTTAATAAGATTCAAATATTTAATGGCAAGTTACTATATCGTGAGTTATTGCTTTTATTGATGGAAGTGTTATCATTTATACTAATAGCTATTGATGTAGTGAGTTTTTCTACGGATTTGTCAATGTCTTGTTTTGTCTTAAGCGGAATTTTTAAGTCCAGTTTATTTTCCAAATCGTAACGAAACTTGTCCCAGTCTACTCGTCCTGTAATCAATTTCGGATGTGAGGGTTTAGGAACGAGATTTGAATGTAATAATAGCAGAACTGGACTATGATCTGATGAAAGGTCATCCAGGGATTTTATTGTGGTCAGGGAAGAGGAAATCTGAGAAGTGATAAATATATCTAGGATATCAGGACGTTTTTTAAGGGATGTTGGCCAATATTTCGGATTCATGGGCGAGAAGATAGAATAACTATTAGAAGATGAGACATGAGATAGGATATTACCACGGGAATTGGATGTTCGACAACCCCATCGTAGGTGTTTAGCATTGTAGTCTCCTCCAGCAATAAAGCGTGATCCGACTGATTGGAATAAGGAATCAAGAAGGCCATGAGAAAGGGAATTTCCAGGAGGACAGTATACAGCTGATAATGTAAAATGGAAAGGGCGAGTTGATAGGATTACCGAGGTTGATTGAATGGCGTCAGTTGGGGTGGAAGGGATTAGGGAATGAGATAAGGATTTATGGATAAGGATGCAAGAGCTTGCGTGGGAAGTGTTATCTGGATGGTCTGATCTGTAAGTGATGTAGTCAGTTATGTAAAAGTTTGATCGTTGTGTGAAATGAGTTTCCGTCAGGAGGGCAATGTCAATGAGATTGTCATGAAGAAATATGTCTAGTTCGTCACGGTGGTTTTGTAGTCCATTAGCGTTCCATAAGAGAATAGCTAGGGACTTTTTGTTCATCGAGGAAAATTGAATGGGATTTGGGAAAGGAATCTGGTTAGAAGGGTTATGAGTGGTTTGATAGTCTGTTGAAGGTCTATCAGGAATGCTGATAGGATAGAATAGATGTCGGATGATGTTTGGCTTTGAAGGATCTGTGGATTCGGATCAGGAGGAGGTTGTGGTTGGTAATTTGTGCGATTAGGGTTATTGGTAGGGGATTGGGTTCGTTGTTGGGTACGAGGAGTTGGTTGAAATTTCTGAGGTACATATGATGGTGGGTTCATCTGGAGATTTGGATGGGATTGTGCTGGATGCGGATGCTCCGGCGGAAGTTTGACCGTTAGGGGAAGATAATGAGGGGGGATTTGTTGACGTGGAGGTTGCTGAGGATTAGTGATTTTAGGTTTAGATTTGAAGGTCTGAGGCGTCTGACGTCGAGGTTGCTGCTTGATGATAGTGGTTTGGGAGTGTTGCTTGGTGGATTCTTGTTGAGGAAGGTCCGTTGATACAGTGGTCGATGGCCGTTGTTGGACGATTTGCGGTGTTGACGGCAGTACTGGGAAAAACATCCCCTGAGATTTTCAATTTCAGGCGGTTCTGTGTTACTTTTCTGAACAAGGTTCTGGCTTCTTACTGCTATATTATGGGATCTTTGCTTGTGGAGACTTTTATAAACCTCACAACCTCTATAGCTCGCAGGGTGGGCTTCACCACAAAGAGCACATATCGCAGGTTCGTGCCTTGGTTTCTGACAAGTGTCTGATGCGTGTGAACCTGCACATTTCACACATCTGGCCTCGTGAAAGCAGTAGGCTTTGGTATGTCCCAGATTTTGACAGTTTGTGCACTGAACTACTATGGGCTTCTGTCTAGGTTCCTCAAAACGGACAGTTGAGTATACCAATCTCGTTACCTGAAATATTTCGGAATTGTTTTTTGCTGGTTCCAGATCCACGAAAAATAGTGGTAACGGATATTTTTCCCTAGGATGTAATACGGGTGAAATATTTCTGACACTGTGGCCTATTTCTTCCAATCCGATTTTAATAGCGTTTGTGGTGGTACTTGAATGCAGACCTCTCAAGATTACTCTATACGCTTTTTCCTGTCTGAGTTGATAGCAGTGGAATTGGTATTTTCTTGATGTAAAATGCTCGATGAGGTTTTTATAGTTTTCTTTAGATTTAGTGTTAATTTTTATATCATTAACTCTTGAATAATATCGAAAATTAGGCTGCCCTATCATGTCAGCAATTTCTTGCCCGAAGGACATAAAATTTTCAATTTTTGATACAAAAATAGGTGGTGGTTCTGGATCCGAAAATGTTTTTGGCTCCTGAGTTTTATTTGATGAAATATTGGTAGTAACAGAATTACTGGTTGAGGTGGATGGTGGAACTGTTTCTAATTTGTTGGCTGCAGTGGTTTTACTGTGGGTGTTTGGTGTAGATTTGCTATTTTCAGATATTTTTTTTGATTTGGTAGCTTTATTTTTTTTTCTTAGTAGGTGAGTTACCCGCAGAATTTCTATTGCGCTTTTGGAGTGTTCTTCTTTTTAAATATTGCGAATCTGTCTCGCTTATTTCGGAAATTGGTGTTTCTTCCTCCGATTCATCACCCGACGTATTAACAAGATCCATGATAACAAAATAATTAAAAGTCTATAAAAGTTATAATGGAAATAAAAGAAATTAATTCTTAAAACTAAGTTATTTACAAAAATATTTACAGGTAAAATAAAACATTTCTCAATGTACATAAATAAATAAAACTAAAAGTCTCAAATAAAAATAATTGAAAAAAAAAAAAAAAAAAAAAAGAAAAGAAAGAGTTCTTAGATACGAACTCGATATCACTCGAAGGAAGGAATGTTGGTACCAGGCGTTGACCGTGAATCTATCTTGATATGATAAGACCCGTAAAGGGAATTTTCGGCCAATTGAGTTGTTTCTACCGAACGTATATCAATTAAATAGTCAACATAATTTTATTAAATGTCTCTCACCTCAATATTTTAATGTGAAAATGTTCAAATGTACAAAAGCACACTATTCACACTGTATAGCAGCAGAAATTGAAGCATTAACTTGATGAAAAGGAAACAACGACAGAGCGATACAAGCATACGGCTGTAATTGCAGCCATGACACTTGGTACTAATAATTAATGTTAAATAAAGGTTTTACTAACTCTGTTAATTAAAGTATAATAATGAAAACAATGTGCATTATCTTCTTACAGGATAACCGTAAAGAGAAATAGATCAGCAACATTATTAAAGAAAAACAATTTTTGATCTTGGAAGCATTCATGGAAAGAGAGATACTGGAAGGAGTTGTTCGGCATGCTGCCAGAGAAGGGAGAGTGGAAAAGATTATAGAACTGGCAGAGGCTTCGGCAACAGAGCCAGGAGAAAACTTCACTTCGACAGTTCTCAGGATGAGGGCTAAGGTACTTCTTGAATCAGGAAGGGTCATCAATAAGACTTATATCCTCAAGAGGACGACACCCTTTGGGGGTCATGGGCATCTTTTCCATGCAGAAACAAAGGTGAGTTGGTTAAGAATGTACCACATATTTGCTCACATCTAGAATCTCGTTTGCACATTGATAATTTTAATAGTGGTAGTATTATGAAGACACTATCTTTGTCTGCCTGCTGTTACGATTATAATTACTGCCCTAAATATATGAGCGATAGTTTTTTTTTTTTTTATATATATTTTATTATTCTGGGACTGGTTTCCCTTTAGAACAAATTATATATACAGATTGTATGTCTGTGTGGTTACAATTAGATTATATATTTACCATAAGAGTTGACTAAAAATAAAAATACTGAAGAAGAGAAAGAAATGAACAAGAAAATTGTACATATATATGAGAAACTAAAATAACTTAAATAAATTGAGGCAGTCTCTGGGGGTGCTTAGATATTTCTCTTAAGTATATTTCGCAATCAGTCGGATTGAGAAAGGAGTAGGTGTTTAAAGAGGAGAGGTTTGAAAGAGGAAACTGATTGAGCGTGTCTAATATCAGCAGGGATGGAATTCCAGAGGGAGGCGGCTTGTATTGCAAAGGATTTGTCAAACATAGCAGTTCGGTGAGGAGTATGATAGAGATCGGAAGTACGTGATCTAGTGGGACGGGATTGGATGGAGTATTTGAATTGTAAGCTGTCAAAAAAATAGGTGGGTCGATGAGTTCTAATGATTAGGTACAGAAAGGTGGCTAGGAAGTAATGACGGCGATAGGATGGGTAGAGCCACCTCAACTCAGTGTAATACTGGGTAATATGCGTATCCCTTGAGATTCCGAAGATAAATCGTAGTGCGCAATTCATAAGGCGTTTAAGTTTGGCCTCGGAATCTCCCGAGAGTCCACCGTGCACCATACAGCCATAGTCGAAGTGGAGAAAAACATGGGAAATAGTTTATAATAATATCGATATATCAGTAGCTTTAAACTATCGATAGCCTTTTGATAATCCTAATAACTATTGATAATGCTTACTCTCCTATTAGGCAATATTTAATCTCCAACTCTATAAACTAATAGGAATATTTTTATTAACAGACAACCTTCAAACAACTGCCTATTTATTGATGTGCAAATAAATAAATGTATAAGAGGAAAAATGAAATGATAGAAGAGAATGGACAGAGGCAGGAATGCTTAGAAGGGGGGTTTCATGGCGCCAGTTGCGGCATCAAAATTTTTGAGAGGGGCATGTTTTGAATTTTCGAGGGGACGCACATTTCGATGGGGTTGTGAATTTTCAGAGTGAAAAGTTTCAAAACAGAGAAATATGAGGAAAACAGGGAACAGGCCAATGCAAGTGTATTTGTATGTAATCAACAATTTTTCTAATTCTACTTTAGCTTGTACTATTTTTAAGCAGAGGAGAGTAATAAAATTTTACTAAAATGGGGTTTGCTTCATGCGCTATCGAACTTTTGGGGGGCAGGTGAGGAAGATCACCTCTGGATAGAAGTATTACTTATACCAAATATCGATTGCCGAATATTTTACTGTTTATAATTTGGTAAATCCTAAATAAAATACTAACACTGCAGTGCTACCATACCAAGAAATTTACTTCTTAATTGTCGAATATATAAAGTACCTCGCTTCTTTTGTACCTACCTGTTGAATATTTTTAATTGTTTTACTTTGTGTACTTTTTTCATTGAAAACAATAAACATATTTTACTGTTTCCAGATTTATATTAATGTCCTCAAACAAATGAGCTACCTCATGGACGAATATGGGGATACAGAAGAGCCTCTTTGGTGTCAATTGATCCATCATGAACCTTATACTTCTATGCTACTTGAAGACTTGCAGGTTGCTAAAATGATATGGGTTATTCTCAGATAACGGGCCAATATATTATATTCTAGAATGGTGTCAAAACTGGAGAATTAAAATAAACTCCAATAAATCCCACCAGATTACCTTTACCCTTCGTCGTAAACCAACGACTTCCTGTCCTACAGTTTCCTTTAACAATATTCCACTTATCCCTCTTGAGTAAATCCGATACCTAGGACTCCGCCTGGACAAACGACTAACTTGGAATCCTCATACTAGACTGAAACGACAAGAAACCGCTCAACGTTTCCGATTACTTCAGCACTTACTAGACAAACGCTCTAAACTTCCCATTAATTACAAAAGACTCATATACTTGACTGTAATAAGACCTATTTGGACTTACGGAGTTGAGCTATGGGGCTCCACTAAACCATCGAATTCCTCTCGCATCCAATCCTTACAATCCAAAATCCTTCGTAAAATCCTCGATGCTCCTTACTTTGTCACTAATAAAATTATCCATAAAGATCTTAATATTCCTTATGTTTCAGATCTGGCCCAATCTAGATACCTATCCTTCCATAATAAACTTCAGAATCATCCCAACCCTCTCGTTTCTAACCTTGCTTCCTCTTCAATTCCTGATAACCCTCCGAGGCGTTTGAAAAGAAGAAGGCCCCGTGATCTCCTAATGTAGTCATATCATTAGAGTGCTACCATTGGGTAGTTACTCAGCAAGTGTATTCATGTCATTATATCTATTATGTCCAAATTTACTTGATGTATTTATGTAATACAGTTGTAAATGTCATTAAGAAATAAAAAATAAATATATATATATATATATATATATATATTTTGAATGACTGTTATGAATAGACAACATGTTTCACTGTCTAATCGGCAAAGGCAGTAATTCGTAGTTGTTTTTCTCTACAAAATATGTAAACTCCATTGAATTCACTAAAGAGGAAGAAAAGGTAACTAAATTCAAAAGAAATTTTAGGATATTTCATGAGTTTTGGTAAACATGGCAACCCTGCCAAGCTTAACAGTCTTGTAGTCGTAGTGTAAATCCTTCTTACAGTGGGCAACTTGCGGTATCTATCTGAAGGTAAGAAACAAATATACTTTGAAATTATTTTTCTTCGAAAGAACTTAAAAAACAAAATAATTGTGCAAACAAAATATATGACCATGAGTTAATTCCTGTTTAAAAAATCAACTAATTTTGAAACGTTTGCTCCATGTTTAAAACTGTGAATTTCAATTCCATCGCTTATTCTATAGTAATTACATTTTGACTAATGAAATTTAAACTTTTATTAGTTTTCATCAAGTAATCTCGCTGACTTTTAAAGGGTGGTACAAAAAGTATGGTGGTTATTTTATTTATTATTTTTTTACCTAGACACCTGCTCGGTATCTGAGAATAACCCATATATCACTTAACAAGTGTCACTATTTGTACAATTATTTAATTCCAGTCTGAAGAATATGTTCAAATTTACGTTACTTTAGGGTAAAGGCTACAAACTGGTGAACCGACGTATAGGATTGGATTTGGTTCATGGCATCCAGGCAATCAGAGCATTAGGCAAGTTCCATGCCTTAGCAAAGGTAATGTTCCAAATACATAGAGTAATAGATAAGTATGATATAGGTGGCCGAGTGGGATAATGTGTGTGATAAACACGCGTTGCCCCGCAACCAAACATATGGTAAATCGAAGTTTACAAGATATAAAATAATTATAAGTTTGCGGTGCCGGGGAGACTTTTAACTCCAGCATTAATTCCCCATCTTCTTCTTCGGCCAGGCGAAATCTCCGCATAGCATAAATGGCGCGGAAGAGATGGGAAAAAATTTTAACACAAAATTTGACCTTAACAGAGTGAACTAAATAGTTTTATCAGAAGGAGATTTTTTTTTACATTATATTGGCAACTGAGTTGCAATGCATCAAGAAAATGTGTTGCTCTTCTGTCTTCCTTTTTTTTTCTTTTTTATATTGTGAGCAGAGCTCTAGACCACTAGATGCCACTAAGGATGTTTAAATTTAAATATTATATAAAACTAGTAGGCCCGTGCGAAAAATTCGTACAGCATATTGTAATCAAATGCTAGATTAATAAGAAAATAAAATAATGCAACCTATCAAAAGAGAAAGAAATCAAACGTTACTTTATCGATAAATATAATCGACAAAGAAAACAAAAATTAATTTAAATCTTCATTTTTGTTTGGAGCCAACATGTTTACAAATTTCAGTAAGCGGTATCTTTGCTAAAAATTGTCCGATTTCGATGATTTTTTTTTTCCTTTTGTAAGGAATTAAGTAATCTTTTATATAATCACGGGCATAACAGAAAAGTGTTTAATTTTTTAGTTATTCGCAAATAAAGTTTGTTTTATTTTATAACTTTTTGCCTGAATTTTCGGGATAATTGGACTATTTTGTCCGCCTGAAGGAGAAGGAAGCCTTCGAAATTGGTGGCTCAATCTTGAGATTTGGTGAAAAATTGACGATGATATGGCTTACCGATCAAAAACACCATCAATAAATAATATAAACTCCTCCTCACTCGATCATAGAGACTTCAAGTCGACGAAATGAGACTTGTATTCAATGACAGTATTACAATTAATGTAAGGTTGTGTGGATGCGAATCCTATGCCTTGCGTTATCTCGAAAATATTACGTTTTAGGGCTTAAAAACGCAGGATCCGATAGTTCCGGCGGAACTATCCGGGTCTTGCTGTACGCATCAAATTCTTCTAGATTCAATTTGTCTCGTATCGATCTACAGACCTACCACTGGTCAGGTATTGAAATCTAGCAAAATGTTTGTATCGACTTTATTTATTTTAGAAAGAAAAACAAAAGTGGAGAATAAGATTCGCTAACCCCCCGTGAAATTCTGAATCCAACGGTACCCCATTCATGGTATTTGAACATGACAGGAGCTTATATTTGGTACAAAACCGATTTCGTGCTTTACTGTAATAATATATGTACGGATGATGAGGGGAAAGTGGTACAGTTAGTTCTTTTTTATCACGTATTCGTTTTTCAGTGAAATTTAATGAATCATAAAATCTGTGGATATGCGTATGATATATCGAGTGGATACGCAGAGCAAATAAATGGAATCAATGAGTAAATAAGACAAACTAAATGTAAAGAAGACTAAATATATGAAATTAGCTGAAAATTCTAGAAAAGGATCTACATAGAAGGAAAACTTTTCCCGAGAGTAGAATCAACCAAATATTTAGGCTTCGCAATTACCTCAATAAATGAATAACGGTCAGAAATAGACCAGCTTATAACAACTGCCAAACGGAGAGGTTTATTATTTTACTGTTTTTATTCGTGGTCTTTACTTAAAACCGAAAAATCTTTAGAAATATCAAATAAAGATTGTACATGTACATCTATTGTAATGCTTATATATACGAAATATTTATAAGTATATACTTATGTTACCAGAATAGATCTTTTAATATATGAATATATTTGTAAATGAAAAACAAAATGTTAGTTTTAGCTTATTTTCGCAAAAGTTCACTGTCGGTCTCTCAATTAATTAACAGTGGTTAAATAGTTGACTGTCGTAAATAATGAGGAGAAGAATAGTTGGGGTGATCAGTCAAATAAGAAGGCAAAATAAATGATAATATTTATTTTGTCATTTGCCGACGTTTAGACCTGAGTTCAGGCCATCATCAGGCCTAAGAAAAGAACCAGATAACAAGGTATGAGAAACATAAGTAGTGTAGGTTTAATTTTTTTTATCTACACTACTTATGTTTCTCATACCTTGTTATCTGGTTCTTTTCTTAGCCCTGATGATGGCCTGAACTTCAGGTCGAAACGTCGGCAAATGACAAAATAAATATTATCATTTATTTTGCCTTCTTATTTGACTGATCACCCCAACTATTCTTCTCCTCAATTAATTAACCTTATACGACGGTGCCACATATGAGCCGAGAAGCTGTCAGGTTCTTTCCCTTTAAATGAAGAATAATCTGTGATGAATTCTATTTCCAAAATATCCCGCAGTCTTTGTTTCAATTTTATAAAAGTTAGATAAAAAAATTGTTTTTTTTGGAACAATCCCCTAAATAAATAGGCTAAAATAGTAAGTAGAGGCACTAGCGGATTCAGGATTTAATTTTGGAGGGCTTCAGTCCGGAAGCTTTTTTTTTCATATATATAACGATAATTACTTTGGAAAAAACAGAAAGATACTAACTACCTTTATGAAACGGTGTTTAAGTGATTCTTGAAGTCCTATTAAATGTAATTTAACGAGCATTAATACTTTTTTTTTTCTTGTTCTTACCTACCTCGTCTTTTAGGCTATACAGGATTTTCCCGGACCGGGGGGTGAGGTCGGGGAATTTTAAATCCCGTCCGGCACCGGGACGCGAACTCATACTTTTTTAATCTTCTCAAATCTGTTTATCCAGTTTCCAGGCAAATCGCGGTGCTGTGCACACGCTTTAGCCCATTAGGCCACCCCGCCCCATGAGCATTAATACTTTAAGACATAATTTTTTAATATTTTTTACCATAAAACATGTTTACATTTTACCATTGTGGGAGGGGGGCTTCAGCCCGAAAATCCCCCCCCCCGTTATTCCGCCTGTGAGTAAAGGGGACAGTCACAGGGACACGGAGAACTGTCCGCTGCTGCCGTACTTGAGTACTATCTTGAGATCGCTCTTCCCGGCTCATCGTCGCTAAAAGGTTAAAGGCAAGCAAGGTATAAGATAACGGCAAACTCCATACCTCACCAGGAATATACTATAATTAATCATAACAGAGTACAAATCCATAAAATCATACTAAATGCCATTAAATCACACAGGTTCTGGAAGAGAGGGGCATCATATCTATGAAAGATTACAAACCATATCATGGGATGGACATGAATGTGGTCCGAGCTTGGACTTATCCTGCTGTCCAGAACTTGATTAGAGGCATCAGAAACTGGGGTCCTGAATGGTACACACTTTTACAATTACTCTCAATTTTATCAACTATTCTAACATCAATCAATTATAACTAAGAAAAACAATTATATTTTTTTATAAATGTAATATTCATTATTGATAGTTTTGCCTTTCTCAAGATAGTCGATGAATAAAATTCTATGCACGTTCTAAAATATGAATGCCATAATCTTGCCAACCGACTTTTTGGTCGCTTTGCACGACTTTCACCGGCTGCTGTCCACTCAGTTGATGGTATTTTTGATTCTGTCGTTCAGTGGTGTATCGATGTTTTATTCATAATCACCGACGCAAGAAATCCTTATTATTTCGCTTGAACAGCTCCAAAGAGCGCTCTGAATCATCGACGCGTTGTTGTTTCTGGTCCAGTGTGAGCAAACGCGGCACACACCTCGAAAGCAACTTGCGCATGCCCAAATTTTCAAGTGAAATTGTAAAGACACTACCTTCTGATATCTTCAAGATGTCAGCTATCTCACGCAACTTATTTTAACGGTTTTTAAAACTATTTTTTGGACATTTTTCGTTCTTCGGAACAACTGTCGATTTTGGGTAACCTGACCGTTCAGCATCAATGATGCTTGTATAACCGCGTTTAAGTTCTGCATACCAGTCAATAAGAGTTGAATTCCCTGGTGCAGAGTCTCCATAATGCTTATCAAGCCACTGTTTGGCTTTAACATTATTTTCACCATCAATAAACAGTGTTTAATCAACACACGAAATTCCATCTATCCATGATGTGATCTATAACCTAACGATCAAAATACTTTGAAATTTTGACACGTACTGTTTGATGGTTAGTACCTTGGGTCAATACTACTCAGAAATCACGTGGATTGGTCAACAATGTTGCGGTCTATGTGTCAGACGGGAACTTATTTAGTAGTGTGTTGAGTATATAATACCGTCGGATACACCCTTTTTTTGGATATCACAAGGAATGGATTTTGGCAAACGAGGTAACTAAGGAACGGGAAATTCATGGAGAAGTGACGAATCCTAATTTCTTCCAATCGACAAACATGTCCAAACCATTTAAGCTGTATGTTTTCAATGAATGGCTTAAAAGAAAACACCTACAAATGTCACTCCACTTTGCGGAGTGGGGCATTTCATAATCGCGCTTTAAATGGGATTCTGAGTATAGCTGGAGATTGAAACCGTGTACACAGTATGACCTCCCTCAGATCGCGATTTTCGAATTTAGGAAACTCCATAATGGCTCTTTTCAGTTGAAATCGGATGCTTATAGCTTTAATGCTCGTTCAAAAGCAATATACAAACTCCCAACAGCTACTTTTCACTTGAGGTCTCACTCAATGATTAGGACATTTCAGTCTACTTCCAGACACAATTAGTCATCCCAATTATGGTGCTACCATGTAGATCTTGTGCAACCCATAAGCATGAAAAAAACGTTTACAATAGTACCTCATTTCCATTTCTTGTTTCCACTCCACCCTATTGTTATAATTTTATTCAGATTTTACCCTGAGGATTGTAGGAGGCTGGATACAAAACTGTTTTTTTAGTCCAATCACCCTAGAGGCATTTTATTCATTCAAAGTTTTCATATTTTAATTTTCTTGCTTGTTATATCACCATAGGAGTGATGAAGTTCTTTCCAAGGTTTGGCTTGCATATGGCTCCCTTAATAAGTGAGTTAACTATGAAAAAAAAATCAAAACAAAAACCTCTAACCTCTCTGAAAGTGTCAAGATATGGACTGATTATTAATTATTTTCTCTAAGGTACTAAGCTACAACTACCAAAATTAGACTTTACGAGACAATCAGGATGGTTGAAACAGACAAGGTTTACTGTATGTGTTTAGGAGGGAGGGATTCTAGCATAACACCCACTTTTAAGTTAAACTTAATTTATTGTAAATATAAATTAATGTTTAAAAAATAAATAAATAAAATGCTATACTGCTTACTATAATAATTTTATGTTCATTGATGTTTTTCCTCAGGAATGATGTTGCTGCAAAGCTGGATTTGTCAGTTGAAGAGTTTTTTGAAAATGTTTGCAAACCATTGGAAGTAGAGAAATCAGATTTCAAAGTATTAAACCATGGAGACTGTTGGTCAAATAACATCCTGTTCAAGTATGATTGGAGACTGAATCCAGTATCAGTGAGGTTAATAATAGATAGTCTCTTAATCATTATATTAATAGGTTTGATGATACTGATAAAAGCTTTTTTTCACCTCAGGTTCATAGACTTCCAGTACCCTAATTATAGTTCTCCGCTCATAGATGTCAGCCATTTCTTGTACATCAGCATGCAACCTTCAGTAAGACGTCACAGCTATAACAAACTTATAGAAAATTATCATGAATCATTAATATCAAATCTAACCAAATATGACTACGAAGGACCCAGGCCAAGCATAGATGATGTTTTCCGCGTCATGGATCGTATTTCATGTTTTTGGATGTACATATATGCTAGCTGGTACCCTTTGATAACAGAAGAGCCAAAAGAAACTCCAGATTTGTCCATAATCGTTAAAACAGGAGGAAAGGAAGGTTACAGGGCAGAAATCTATGAAGAGGGCGGTGTAAAAGAAAAATTAGCTCCCGATCTTCTAGATCTTGCTCAGAAAACACTATGTTTTATGTCCATAACACCTGTACGCTGTATGCAATAATTCTACTCAGCATCTTTTATTTATGTCCACTAATGATATTAAATACTTAAGTTTTTAAAAATATTGATTTATTGCAGTCAATGTTGATGCGGCTAAACCTTAAAGAAATTTATGAGTTTTTATCATAATTATAGAAGCAAAATACATAAAGTACTTAAAAATAACAAACACTATATTTCATGTCAAAAATGCAACTTAATGACTTCCAGAAATAAATTGACTAAATAAGATGTTTCCATAAAATAGCCTAACTGAATGTGTATTCCTATAAGAACAGCTCAACCTTGAATTTACTCCCCTCTACCTTTAGTACAAATTGATGTTGGCAGTAGCTGAAGGAAGTTTCCATCATCCTTCATCAATGTTTTCACACAAGCTTACAAATCTCATACCTGACATCAGAAAAAAATGGTTTCATGAATTTTTCACCAAGATACAACACATAAAAATATCTGAATGATGTAGAGATGGTTGGCCGAGATATAATATGAGTAGTTGGTCTGGGGGTGTGGTCAAATAAATACTAAATTTTAAAAAATTGTATTTTTAATAATTATGCTGACGTTTTGACCCACCTTGCAGGTCTTCATAGACTCACTTGAGTCTATCAACTGCCTCCTGCAGTGCCACATACCATGCCCTGATGAAGACCTGCAAGGTGGGTCGAAACGGCGTAATAATTAAAAATACTATTTTTTAGTTATTACTGGTGATATCGATATAGATGGCAATATGTTTGAACAGGTAGAGAAGTTTACCTACTTCACACCGCTAGGATCTACAATAACTAGTAAAAACGAAATTTAAGAAGAGATTAGGGTTAGATTGAAGGCGGGAAATGCTTGTCATTATTCTGTGACAAAACTACTTAACTTGCAACTCTTGTCCCGGAACTTAAAAATTAGAATCTATAAAACCATTGTCTAAGCTATAGTTCTTTATGGTTGCGAAACGTGGCCGCTTACATTAAGAGATGAGCAACGTCTTAAGGTTTCTGAAAATAAAGTATTGCATAGAATATTCGGAGTGAAGAAGGATGAATTAACCGGAGGGTTCAGACGGTTACACAAATCCGAATTGTGTGAACTTTATCCAGGTAATATAATTGAGGTGATTTCATCGATGCGAATCAAATGGGCTTGGTAACAAGAGAATTCCTAAATGGTTAATATTTGCTAAACCGAATGGTAAACGTCCGAGTGTTAGACCGAAGCGAAGGTGGGAAGATTGTATTAAAGCCAATCTGAAGGGACTTGGTTTGGACAACGAACAGTGGAGGGAGGTGTGTAATAAGCGATTGGTGATGTCGGCATCGAACCTTTGGATTCGCAAAGCCTTTTATAATTATTATTATTTATTAAATAGCCACTAGAATTAAGTAATGTTATCTTCAAATTAACATTTAATAATAGAAATTTTTTTGTATACCTAATTTAGCTCTGGCAAACTTACTTCTCTAAGAGTAGAAGAACAATGAAATAAAATTAAATTGAACATCATTCTAAAAAAACATTACAGATTAATTTTAAAAATACTTAACTTTAGAACAATTGTACTGTGTATCTTAATGGTCGAACATCATACAGATTCCAAATAAAAAGGTTAACTGATGGAAAGAAGAACAATTTTTTTTTGTTTTAATAATAAACAATAATATTATATTATTTACACTTTACATCTTACTTTTAAAAAATTAAAACTAGATATAATTATTCATATTTCTAAAAAGTCATAAACAACAATATAAACAAACATACCATAATAGTTATTAAAAAAAATCAGATAGTAAAATTTAAATAATTCTGTACAATTAAAATTAAACATTTAAATTAAATACACAACGTCTTCTGAAACCATAACTTGATTTTCACTGGACATAATGCTAATCGCTTTATTTACTTCACTTTGAGTGAACTCTTTATCTACCATCTTACTGTTGATTTTAGTCACAAGATCTGAGAGTCTACAACTCTGAGCTCGAACTTCTTGGAAAGCTGTTGCAGCATGTTGTCTAAAAACTGTCAGCCTAAAAAAAAATGTTATAATTAAATTATTATTTAAATGCTCAATCGAAAATTGAAACCAAGGAGGGTACTAAATTTGCTAATTTAATTTTAATACTATATATCATATATTACTGATTAATCAATGCATATGCATTACACTTTACAATTTTGATATATTGCAAATAATTTTTAATCAAATAACAATAAAAATATTTGTTGAGGGTAAAAATGAGTGAATAAATTCAATTTAAGAATTTAAATCATATCTGTAGTCAATTTGAATAATTTAATAACTAATTTCTAATATAATGTCTTCATCCTGGAATAGTTGTAACTGGAAGTCATTTTTTAAGCATAACAATTATAATCAGGACCAAGAAATAAATATGTGGTAGGGTCAATAATGTTGATTTATTATTTCTTTTATATGCATGTAAGCACTAATAGAAGATTCTGAATACTAAAAATCTGGTTTCCACTCACACGACTTTCCTACCTATATCAGAAAAGTTTTTATATCTTTACATATGTTCATGAAGAAATCAAAAAAAAAATTTAATTAGATTTATTTTCCTGAAAATTTATCGAAGAAAAGATTTTAGTACGATTTATTTGATAACCTAAAGCAAAGTAAATCAGCTTAAGGTATATCAGTGCATCTAATATTGCTGATCAAAAACTTTTTGCTATAGCTTAATTTCGTCAAACAATAACTTCTGTAAAAAGTAGAAGAAATAGTATAGCTTGTATGATGCGGGCAACTGATTTTCTTACTTTTACTTAGTCATCTTTTTTCTCTCATTTACCCCTTTCTGACACCAGGATATGAACCTATAATCTTATATTGGAAATTGAATAGCTGTAACTTCGTTAATAGTTATCCAAAATTAACGATTTTTATATAGTCTTGTAGGAAATTTCCTTTCAAACAAACAGGCTAAACAGTGTTTTTTCCGGGGCTCTGAAACGCATAGATCCGTAAAATCTGCATATCGAAAATTTGACCAGATCGCAATACTTTCCTTATCTATTACAGGTAGGAAAGTAATAAATTAAAACATGTGTAGAAAATAGAATAAGCTGTATCATCGTTAATACTGGTTCGATTCCGATGTTTTTATTATTTATTTTGTTGATAATTTATTTACCTATCAAACGTTTTATTTAAATTTTACCGTATAATATACACTTAGAGAGTTAGGCCCCAAAACATTTTTCTTTTCTTTATAACTTTTTTCCCTGAATTTTCTAGAAAATTTAGTCTATATATGAAAATTGAAAGGACAATTATTAGAACATTATAGGAAAGTTTCATCAAAATCGTTAGAGCCATTTTTGTCAATAGAAAAATATGTTTTTCATTTATTGCGAGCAGGCTATTGCTCATGGAGCACCAAATTTCTGTCACAGGCATCAGTAGTCAAAACCCTACAAAATAAAAAAAGAGAAACAAAATTGGTTCAGTAGTTCAAGAGAAAATCTTAGCACAGAGAGACAGACAAATGGCTAAAAGTGTGTTTTTCGGACTCAGAGCGCTCTGAAACGTATAGATCCATTGAAAATCGAATACCGGAAATTTGACCCGATCGCAATACTTTTCTTACCTACCTTATAGGTAGGGAAGTAAAAAGAAAGAATAGGATAATATAATACAAATTAAATTTTTTAAGAGTATGGTAAAGATCAAAAGTAAAAAAATTAAGAAAGAAAGTCTAATCACTGAAATAGAGATGGGCTTGGCATCTAGCTAGACTAGAGGACAATATGTAGTCAAAAAGAATTACCGCCAAGGACTCTGGTAGACCAATGAAAAGCATAGGATGATCATACATGAGTTGGAGTGTTGGAATTACCCACTCGAGTGGGAACAAAGTGGAGTAAAGAGGCAAGGGACAAAGAATAATTAAGACTTCAATAATTAAATTTTTAGATCTGAACTCCATTGTACCTCGGATGAGTGAGGCTTTTGTCATGAAAATGTAATTAAAAGCTATATTATTTCAGTTAGATAATGATTTCAAGTAAAATATAGCTTGAATCATTGACATGATTGTAAATCCAATAATTACTGAGAATAGAAATATATAACAGTGATCATATATTTTTATCGATGTTATGAATGAATCTTATGAACATAAAGTTCTGGTAGAAACAACAGAAAATAAACTTAAAGATGACTACAAACATTTTAAAAAAAGTTAGATACAAGTATAAAAAATTTACTAAGAAAAAATGCAAAACTACTTGCCTTTCTGGAGAAATATCACTTTCTTCAGGTGCGGTTTCCATAGGTTCTGAATGTACTTCTTGACTAGGCTCTTCCTGTTCTGTTGCCACAGTATCATCAGGAGATGGTTTCTTCAAAAAAATAAAGAATTAAACTATTAGAATAATAATAAAATTAATAACAGTAGTTGGTAGATAAAAGTTTTATAAGCTAAATAGAAAGAATTTAATAATTATTATGCTATAAATCAAGAATAATAATATTCATTTAATAATATTTTAATATGAAACAATGACCACAGAAAGTTTTGAATGTCACTAGAATGTTTTGAACAACTATGATAAATTTTCTGTGACATTGTACCAATGCAACAACCATGATACTTTAATTCAAAGTATTGTAATTTTAAATCATAGCTTCCCAAAAAATTATAAGAACAGAAGGTACCCTTTTTTTGACAGGTTGAGAAGTATCATCACCAGCGTTTTCATCTGCATCATTTTCATCATCATCATGTTCGTCTTCTTCACCAGATAAGTCTGAAACATCGCCCTCCTTCCTGGGACGCCTTCTCTTTTTAGTTTTCTCCAGTACCTTTAAATCAAAATGAAAAAACATAAATTAACTAATTGTTTACTGTCCCTTAATAGAATTTAAAAGTCTTAAATAACAACATAACCAATAATTGAGAATAAACAATTAAAAGTACAAACTAAGTCCAATTTTTATCCACATTTATGAGACTATATTTTTATAAAAATAAAGTTTAGGCACACAGAACTGGGTTTGTTACGAAAATAATGTGGGCTTGCAAGATATATTACTATTTCAGTATCACAGTCATGTAAACTGCATATAGTGACCATGAGACTTAAGGGTTATATGATAATTAAAATTCATTTCTTTCAACTTGTCTTTACACTCACACAAAGTTTGATCAACACAACCAAATTTTCTCAAAACAGTTTTATTTAATTTTTTACTGAGCCTTTTTTAACCCATCGAACCAACCATTGAAGTTATGAATGTGTATACTACATTAAATGCTTCTCTAGTTGTGAGTGCTCAAAGAGACATAAAGTAGTTCATTATGCTGTTCAATGTGACATTGATGATTTTTCCTTGTTCTACAAAATGGATGTTATCACTGAAGGAGTAAAGGTTTTAATAGTTTAGTATTTTTTATTTTTAATGGAAAGATTAAATAGATTTTCTTAGAGACATAATCAAAACTAAACTGAAACAAATAGAACATTTGACAAAAAGAAAGGTTCTGAATAAAAATTTAAAAATAGAAAAACCGAAATTCGTTGAAATGATTCTCTTTAATTCGCTCCTCTTTCCATCTCACAAAAATAATAAGTGTTATCAATATTTACTTAACTTGATAACAAAACTAAAAACAACTTCATTATGAATAAACACATTGGTTTTATATAAGCTCAAGGGATTTTATTCAAGAACAAGTGAATTTTTATAAACTATTAGACAATACTGATTACCAGGATTTGAATAAATCCTTATAATATGGATTCTACTGTAGTACTAATGATTAATCTAATATGTATCTATATAATTAATTTATAATTAGAAACTTCTTAAAATACCAAATGAATAAAATAAATACATGTCAATTAAATAAAGATTCACAAACCTTTTTGAAGTATGCATACTGAACTAACTCTATCGCTGCCTGAGCATCCTCCAATTCAACATTACAACTAAACCTTGCTTTGGCATGAGCGGTGGCAAGTCGAATGAGAGTCTCTAGCGTCCTCACTGTTACAGGTTGAGTCTGTAATAAAATATTTTCAATCATATACTTAAAGATTTTTCTTAGTTCAAACAGGATTCATTAAATCCAATATATGACATGAATAATTTTATTATAATATACAATCATTATTTTTAATTTTAATATTCTTAATTTTTGATCTACAACAAAGAGTACCAAGTCTATAAATTTTATTTTATTTCTTAAGCAACTGACAAAGATTTTCGTCTCATAACAATATGAGTTTCATACAACAGTATTATTTTAATAATGTGGAGAATTCTGAGCCTACAAACTGCGATTTGGGAACAGCATTAGTTTTCTGTTACCATTAAAGGAAAACAGCTAAAGAATCTCAGAATGCTTGTAGAAGCTTAAGGTGAGCATACTCTGGATAAATCAGTGCTTTGAGTGCACAACAAAATTCACAAGAGGCAATTTCTAAGTGCGAAACAAAGAAGGTAGAAGAGCAAGGAAAAGGGTTTGATCTATTAGGAGATGCTAAAACTTAGCGAAACTCTTAATACTGAACACTATCAACAACCAATGATCACTTTGAATCCAATATTGCATGAGAAACGACCAGAACATCAAAAAAGACAACACAAAATGATTTTACTTCATGATATTGCACCATCACACACAGCAAAGTCAGTGAACGAAATGATCGAAGCATACTGTCAGGAAATGTTAGAGCATGCAGCTTACTCACGAGACTTCTCAGTCCAAGCACTATTATTTATTTGTATCGAGGGGGCACAATTCATGCTTCTTATGAAACACTTCACTTCTTATGAAATTGGCTTTATGACTGATTCGACACAAGAGCTTTCTGGCATGGCAATCATTAATTGCCACATAAATGGAAAAAATGTATAGCTTGCAATGAATAGTAGTTCAAATAAAATATTTTTTAACGTTTTTATAAATGTGTATTTTCTATACGAACATTCAAATTTCATGATTACACATTTAGTATATTTCTTGAGGTGGAGGCTATTAAAACAGAAGCTATGAGACAGGTGAAAATTTCAAATATAGGAATTCTAAGGTATCCTGCAGCAGTGGAAACAGAAAGGGGACATTATTGAATTATGAAATGTAAAATACATTTCTTTTTACCCGGACAAACCTTGTACTACTTTAACCTATACCTGTATATATAATATAATAAAATAAATACAAACCCTTGCAACACCAGTTTCGATGGCATCTTGAGATCTCAGCCTAGCATATTCTTCAGCAATTAATGCAGCACCTTCATCGGTCAAAGTAGGCTTCAGTGTTTTAGCAATATGCAAATACATCCTCATGAATCTGACTGTGAAGATTCTATCTCTAAAGACAACAATGAAAATTGATTACTTCTTATCACATTACAATATATGAACTTAAACTAAAATTAACAGGATCCATATTGTATAATCAACCATTAATATCCGGCAAACTGAACAGTTTTAATAAAAATATGACCAATCAAAAACTAAATTGAATATAAAAAAACTTTAAGAAGTAAATGTAAACAAGTTATGAAACTGACTGCCAAAGTTTAGCAAAGGTTTTACTTTAAATCCTACTGTTAATAAATTTCAAAATACTGAACAATACATTAAGAAGGAAATGCAAGAACAAAAGAAAGGCAAAGAAACTTTTCAAACATTCAACTTACGTTTTAGATCTGGAATTGCCATGTAAAAGAGGATCGTATTTTTCAAAAACAGGCGTGTCTTCATTACTAAGATCTTCTTCTTGGGCATTAGTTGTAAGGTAGTCAACTGTAGTTTCAATAGCAAGTATTTCCCCATCTTGTTCCTGAGGAGACCTACACAGAAAAAAATCGATATAAAAGATTAAATGATTAAAAAGAATTTTGTAAAAGGATGATAATATAGTAAACATAGGACTAAATATAATATCTTAATTTCAGTATCCATAGTTACTAAGTTACTAAGCTAGTCTGATCCTGACAGCCAACATTTAAAAATAAAAATCTTTTATAAACTAATAAAAAGTTTTAAAACCAACAAAAAATTTCTTAAATGGATGAAGGGATTAAGTTGATTTTGAATAAAAAAAAAAAAAAAAACATGAAAAACAAGTTTTCTGAAAACTGTTAATTTTTAACATGCCGCAACTATTATCTGGACCCTACTTATGAAATAATTTTGCAATTCATATATTTTTCTTCTACATACTACTATGTGTATCAATAATAATACAATTTCAAAGCCACTTTCCAAATTAAGAAAGAAGACAATGACAAAAAATGCCTTGAAAAAATAGGCTTTTAATCGTGATTAATTAAATGTTACATTTGAAGCAGAAAATTGACTGTCAACTAAAATTTTTGAAAATATTAAGTTTGTTCTAATTTCGAAAACATCATTATGTATTTAGAATTGATCATTTTACTATAAGAAGGTTAAATTACATCAGTTTTTAAAAAATATTTAACATGAAGTATAAAGCATAAAGTTGTTAATACGGATAAAAATATTTGCTAATTAGATATTGCCTATATTAGATTATATAAGGATAAACAAATAACAATAACATATCAAATCACAAAGAAACTAAAACCAAATTTAAATAGAACACTAGAGTGCTACCATTGGGTAGTTACTCAGCAAGTGTATTCATGTCATTATATCAATTATGTCCAAATTTACTTGATGTATTTATGTAATACAGTTGTAAATGTCATAAAGAAATAAAAAAAAAAAAAATAGAACAGAAAAAAATTCAAGTAAATATCAAATTTACCTATATCTGTGCATCCTAACCACGTGATCAGATATCCTTGCATCAGCTTCATTGTCCTTGATGTCTAACATAACAAAGAGAAGATCGAATCGAGATAAAAGAGAATCTTGGAGACCAATATTTTCCATCGGTGGTCTATATTGATCATACTAAAAGAAAATTTGATTTAAAAAATTAATAAAGAGAAAAAATATTTAAATTAGAAAATCAAAACACAATTTATTCAGTACATAACATTAATTTAATCATTTTAATAATACATGATAATGGTGCTTACAGGATTATGTATTTTACATCCTTTTTCCAAGCGATTCTTTCAATTTTTCTGAACTTATAACAAAATTAGAATATTTCTTTAAGCGCCTTTTACATGGCAAAGTTTCTAGTAAGAACTCACTTTGGACGATAAACTTAAGTATGTATAAAGATTTTGTTATGTCGAATGAGCAGATTGAACCCACATTTTAGAAACGTTTGATTAAACTGTAGCAGTGCTCCATTCGTTCAGGAAACATACTATTCATTACAACACGTGTATCACACCATTTTTCAACTTAATTATGACTTTCCATCATTTATGGGACAGCCTATATATGGAGTTAAACTAATAGAAATGGTAATTCATTCTTCATTTTTTTAACATGAATAACAAACAAAGAGAAGTTGCTTTCCTGGGACACCTAGTAAAAAAATATTTTAACTACCATTCCGACTTTGTTTGAGAAATTTGAACTTATAAAAGGGTATATATAGTATGAAGGGAGAGAGAGGGATGACCTCCTTAAGTGGTTAAAAACCAAACTACTTAATTACAATTTCTAGGACTAAACTTTGGTCAAGAAACTCGACCGTGGAAGACACCTTTAAGCATACTTTATTATACATGTTAGACAAGAAATTATTAAGATTTGTTGTAAAAAATAACATTGATGATAAAGAATGTTTTCATATCCTGAGTAAAGAAAACTAAAATGTAAATACTCTAAAATGTAGCTTTAACTGTTTATGTTAATCATTTTGTTATTACTCCGATTTAGATTAAAATAACCTGAAAAAGTTAATGAGCAAGAAAAACTTTAATACTGATTGAAAACAGAAACAAATTTGAGAAGATAGAAATTGATAAATCAAATTTTTATTTAAATTTTAATAGAAATAGAAATAAGTTCAATACTGATTAAAAATACTAAGTTCAATACTGTCTAAAAATTAATTCTTGATATTTAAGACCATATCCTATTTCACTAGTTTTCAACAATAAGTAGGCACCAAATATAAGTGAAAATGAGCTGTTAATATAAATGATTAGCTAAAAATTAATTTTTGGCATAATCAAGCCATTATAATGAAAAAAGAATTATATCTAACACATTACTTCCAGGGTTTTTTTTTTAATTAATGAGTCACTAAAAAAATTAAATGGCTACCTACATTTAATAAGTTTAAAAAAAAATGTTTAAGAAGCATACCTTTCCATAGACGGGATTTGCAGCTGCTAATACGGAACATCTAGCATTGAGCCTAGCGTGAATGCCTGCCTTTGCGATAGTGACTCTACCCTGTTCCATCACTTCGTGAATTGCGGTACGGTCAATATCAGACATTTTGTCAAATTCATCAATACAAACTATCCCTCTATCAGCTAGAACCATAGCTCCTGCTTCCAATCTATAAAAGTGCCACAGTAAAAGTGATGAGTATGAGGCGAATATTTTAATAAATGCCATTTTATTTATATTAATGGATTAGCTTAGAAAAATGGTGACAATAGTACTGCAATTATAAAACTGCAATTTCTTGACACATCTATATACTTTGGCTTAAAAGAATGAAGTCTTATTTATTGGTAACAAAGTAAACTGCACATAGTAATTTAATTAAAACAATAAGCGAAAAGAAGAAAGAATTTGCTAGGTCAGCTCAATTGTTGCCTAGGAAAGTGGTTTGGGCTATTTGGAATCCACCACTACCTGACAACTTATGATTTCAGGTGCCTGTTGATTGAGATTTTCCCTTTGTAATTTCAACAACTCTTATGATTTGATCCTAAGCAGGAGAAAATTTGAGGACTAGTTTAGTATATTTTATCCACTATTTTCACTTAGACAAGTGCAAATATATTTTCCTTGACACACCTATAATTCAAAATCAGCTCATATCATAAATTTCATGACATGGTTCTGCTTCAGCAAGTATTAAAGTTCCACAAGTATTACCAACTTCTTTCTACTAACTCTCAGTTACTCCTTTTCAGTTAACATTGAGGACTTAATTAGCTTTATTTATATCACTCCATTTGCTTCCACTACCTCAAAAGGGGTAAACAGACTGCACCACCCTTCAGTTGAGGTCAGGGTCTTATCGGACAGTACGGTCACCTCCATTTATTTTCCAACACTCACAGTACTCCATTTATAGTGTCGTGAGACCTAGTGTCCACCCATCAAAGGTTGGGTAACACATGTAAATTAGTACCTATGACATTATTTTACTTTGAAATATATGTAATTATATACCCAATAGAAATGATAAGATATTTTTTTACTTTAAGTATTATCCAACTTATGTATACTTTACGTTATGTTACCTACCTGGCATATGTTTTTTCTATATTAGGCAGAAGTTTGAATTGTTATATTTATAGAAGGAAGTTAGTCGACTGTTCTACATATCATGGGTGATAAATATTCAGGATGCAGTCTTTTTTTTTTTAATTTTTTATTTATGCCAACGTTTCAACCCAAACATGTGGGTCATATTCAGGGTGTGGTTTGAGCACTGAGGGTGTTAAAGTACTCAGTTGAGTTCAAGTACTCAACTGAGGGTATTGAGTACTTGAACACCCTCAGTGCTCAAACCACGCCCTGAAGATGACCCACATGTTTGGGTTGAAACGTTGGCATAAATAAAAATTAAAAAAGACTGCATCCTGAATATTTATCACCCATGTTATATTTACAATGTTAATTCATTAACATCTACTTTAAGACTTACATTATTGATTAGAATCTTATTCTAGAAGGACACATTTCAAAATAAAAAAAGATTATTTATTATTACATACCGCCTATCTCCTGTTTCTTGATCAGTGGTTACAGCAGCAGTCAAACCAACGCCAGAGCATCCTCTTCCAGTGGTAGCTATAGCTCTTGGCGCAGTGCATAACACATACCTTAGAAGTTGTGATTTGGCTACACTAGGGTCACCAATCAATAAAATATTTATATCTCTGAAAAAAAATAATTATTTTTAACACATTTATTAAAGCCAAATTACATTATTTATAAGATAAATTAATGAAAACCATCCCGTGGGCTAATTGAAATTTGCCATGAAGTAAAGATAAACCTAAAACCTAAATTAGTATAAATTCCAAATAATTATTACAATTTAACAAGCAAGATAAAAAAAGAAGAAGAAATTTCAATATTACCCTCGCAGCCTTGAACCGTTGAGCAGCACCTTTTCAACACCTCCAAGAAGCATACACAACAAAGCTTTTTTAACATATTCATTTCCATGAATAGAAGGAGCGAGAGATCGACTCAGTAGCTCGAATATATTTTTCTTCTTTGCGAATTTCCTACAATTAGCAACATCTTTCCGAGACATAGCCAGCTTGGTTTCTTTATTCAATAATGAAATATTATTAGCAAGCAATACAGTTCTAAAAAAATAAATAAAATCATTTATCATTATTCAGTAACTAACATTACAATTACAGAAAAAATAATTAATTTCATGAGAACTTAATTAGATAGTTGAGTAGCTATCTTAGAAGCATCATTAAACTTCAGTAAATAAATACGTCAAAAGATTAACTATCATGTTAGTTTAGAAATTAAATGTATAACTTGATAAAACTAAGAATTTATAATTATATTATTACCTGAATACTCCAGTAGTGAAACCTCCCCTCTTATCAGGCAAACAACGATATATACCAACAATCTGCACCCTGTCACCTGGCTTACACTTATCAGCAAGATCATTATCACAGATAACATCCACTGATCGAGGAAGTTGACCTTAAACATAAAAATTTATAAGGCATAAAGACAATTTAAAAATTAATAAAATACAGCATTATTTCGGCATCGCATGGAACAGTGTCAAATATCCATTAATAAACCGAATCAATTTTAAGTAAGAGTTTCGGTAAGTTGCAGTTAATGAAGCAAGGTATATTTTCAGTATGACTAAAGCCTATTTTAAAATAAAATACATTGCAATATAAGGTTAAACTTATAGTAACTTATTAATGACAAAGCTAATTGAAGATTGCAAAAATATAAAGAGGAAAATCAATGATGTCATGTTCATTATTCCTCAACATGAAATAATATAAGTCAAATATTTCTGGTTGATCAAGTTTTACAAATCAAGAATAATAAAATAAAATGCATAGTGGTATGTTACCAGCAGGGGCTTTTTCAGGCATCTCCTGTATGATTAATGTCTGATGATCTTTGTACTTAGAAAGTCCAAATTCTGTCTCCAAAATATTTCCTTCTTCGTCCTATAAAGCATTAATTACTATAATCAACAGATTTGAACAGCATTTATTTTTTTTATTGAATCCAATATGTTAGATATTTATAACCCTGCCTATAAGCAATTAATTAGATACCTGTGTTGGATACATTGGTGCAGTCACAACCGGATTCAGTGAAGTAAGATCAGTGTAATTTCTTTTTGAAATTTTACTTGTTGCAGGACAATAATGGACACTAGTAACCAGTTTAGGTTTCACAAGTGAACCTAAAATGAAGATTGACAAATAAAATTATTATTTAAGATAAACATTAGGTTAGATGTAAACTTCCAGGGCCATTCTAATTAATCTAATTAATTATGTAGACCACAGTTAAAATACCCATGCTCCATGACCATCATTTCCACCATAGTGATGATTATTTCTTTAATCTAGCATTTCTAACTCACTTCTATAGTACTTAAAAGATTTTAGGAGTATACCATCAATAATTAACTACAGTTTCTAATAAAATACATACAACCCTAGGGGAAAGGAAATAAAGAGAAAAATTATGTCAATAAAAGTTTAAATCTTACATTGTGTTGCAATCCCTTCAAGACAAATAAGATTATTCAGAAATCTTGAAGATAAAGTCCTAGGTGTTACATGCCTTCTACCAAAGCTACCTTCGAGACCAATAAAGAAATCTTCAATTTCACAGGCAGGGTCAACTGTGTGTATATATTCCTTCAGGGCCATTTGGAATGCGCCTAATTCAACAGAACCAGCTGTCAATAAACTGCAAATAAAATTTTAGAAAAATTAATTCTACTTCAAATAGATGACAAATAATCTAAAAATAGAATCATTATTTGATTTTCATACATCACTAATTTCGCCCATACTGATCGAGCAATTTCCTTATAAATTGAAAAGATTTTTTTGTCTAATGCCTTATAATTAAGATGACGGAATTGAGCTCACGACTCAGCAAACAGCTCTATTTATAAAATTTTATATGCCAGAAACCATTATTTGAAATTTTAAAGTTAAAATAATAGGCCAATAAATCAGGCCAGTCATACAATATCTTTAATCTATTAGCCGTAACCTTTCTTGGAAGGCTGTACAGTAAAATATCTAAGTTTGAGAGACATAAGCTGTGATTACTAGGATAAAATTGAGATTTTAAACACAAATTGAAAATGAAAATTGAATAATAATAGATAAATTACAAAGAACATTAAATGAGCCAGTCAACGAAGTAATTTAACCAGTACAAGTATTAACAAGAAATAAACCAGTCGGACATTTTCTACAACTAATGGGTGTATTTTTGTTAATATTTATTAGCTTAGTTTAAAATGCTTATAAGAACAATTAAAATATTGCATTAGATGGAAATGGAAAAAATATAAACAGATGAAAATATTGATAGATCAACATATTTACTTTTTTGCTCTTTGAGGCTTCTTTTTCCTCAAGTCATTAATGTTGACAAGTAATCGAACCCCTTTTCCGTCTATCATATCTTTCACTCGTCTGTGATACATTCCTTGATCTTCCTAAAAAACAAAATATTTGTTTAAACCAAAATCATGATAAAACAGTAAACCCCAATCTAAACTTGGATAATTAAGATATAGATAACCAAACTACTCTAAAGCTATACTACTTCTTAGAATTACTATTACTACTAATACTTGGAATTATTACTAAATCCAATATTAGAATAATATTAGGAGTTGATAGCAAGACACTTCCAAAACAAAATCTGTATTATTAAGGAACTTAAATATTGTTCCTAATCAGGTTTTCATTAAACAGCAAAGATTACATTAGTAAATATAATGTACGAATAGCAATTATGTATAAATAAAAAATAAATTATATTTCTGCTTAAAACCAAGAATTATATAAATTTTAAGACTGACCTCATCATCGAGAAAATCCAAATATTCATTAGATATTTCTTGAGTAACTAAATCAAAAGTAGCCATTATTTAAAAAGTGTACATACAATTAAATAACAAAATGAATTATCAATATAACAACGCGCTAGAGCGTCTTTAATGAAAATACACCCCGGTAATAACAGAAACGGCGGGAAATGTGAAAACAAAGAGGAACAAGCAACAAGTGGCTGTCAAACAGAGACTTCAAGATGTTTATTTTATTACTTATCTGGTATTTTTGTGAGGGATTGAAAGACGCATTTGAATAATTTTTGCACAGATTTTCAAAAGTATTTGGTTCCAGATACTTCTTACTATGTAAACCATGTCTATTTACAATACTAGCATTAAAAATTATAGGGAGTAGGGTAGTTCAGTGGTAGGGTATTGAGTTTCCAATGCTAAAGGCCCAGGTTCGAATCCCGGCTCATTTCAGAAAAAAATATTTATTCTGTTTCATTGGCCGTGGGGTGACACTGGGTAAGTAAACTCTTCTAGGGCACACCCAGCCTCAATAAAGTGAGTACCCTTAATCAAAATAATTTTTTAAGTGGAAAAACCTGGAGGTTGAGCGTGATCTCGGTCATATCACATCCTTGCACAACCATAGACCCAGAAGCAGTGCTTTCCTTAAATAGTACTGAACCCAAGACCTTTCATGGATTGTAGTGATACAGTTTTTTTGTATTTTTTTTAGCATTAAAAATGACACGTTTCTCTAAAAAACAAAACAAGAACAGCCCCAATATGAGGACCTAAAAGTCAGGTCAAATCGTTGGTTTACAAGAAATAAAGCCTTCCTTCTAAGTGTACTTTTTTCATTTTTACGCCACTCCTTGATCCACGACATCTGTTAGGCATCTTTTAAGGTACATTTAGACATTTCATAAATTAAAGGTATCCAATAGAGTACTACTCTCTTGTACTGCAGTGGGTGTTTTCCAACTTCTGGTAAATGTGGGATCGAGATTTCAATATGCACGCATCTTAAAGACTATTTTTCAGTCTGGGTTCCTTTTTAATCGCCTCAGAAGATCCCTCTAAGAAAGCCTCCTATTCACTCTTGAAATTCGTATATATTTAAACTAACTTTCAAAGACATTTATTCTTAAAATGTACGGGTACTAATTTACAAGTTAGAGACATAAGGGATGTTTAAATGATGGGGAGAGGTTTACGAATGGCGATGGTTAGAAATTACAAAACGAATTAGTACAAATCATAAGACTTTTCAAAGGAAGCTGTTCATTAAGAAGGGAAATACAAATCCGTTGAATGAGCTCTCGCATTTAAGAATATGGATTGGTTAGAAGAACGCCACTGGGTAAGTAGATCAAGATTGGATAGTTTTTTATTTAACAAGAAAGCATTGTCTTCGGAAATTAGGATATTGTCAGTCTAGCTCGGAATACCAGTGAAAGACGTGAGAGCTTCTGGGAACACAAATTACGATTCTTACGGGACAACTCGTTAATCTTTTAATCTGAACTCGTGCGCACTAGATGGTCTTTTATGTTAGAATTAATTAATTGATGTTATTTGTTATTGTATATTCTATCTAAAACATTGTTACTGGCAACACTGTCAGATGTGACGTCAGTGATCACAACAATGTATACTCCCTCTATATGGCTTCTATGTTTGTAGTGTTCTTCCACAATAAACGTATCTGGATTGTTTGTGTTTGTTTCATAAAGAAACCCTAACCATTATTAACACTTTATACATGAGGCATCGGTATTCAAAATGAAGAGAATAAGAGAGGATACTAGAAGATGATAGGTATTTCGAAAAAAATAAATCACGGAATCTTAGAAGCTGTTTAAGTATTGTCTAGAGTTTCAACTAACACACCATATGGCGTGACTAGAGTTATCTGCTATTTTTGAAATCTCACAATCACTTCCCAACATACTATTATATAATATCAAACGATAAAAATAATAAATAAATACAAAGGAAAATTCCAACAAATTATTTTCGATGAACAACTAGCCTATATTCATATTCTAGATCCTAGTAAGATCCGATATTTTGAAAGACTCGGGTAAAATAAACAATATTCCATCAGTAAAAGTTTTTATTAACTTAACACATTCATAGTTTGTTTTTTGCTTCTTTTTTTATACAATTAGTTTATTTTCTTTAAAAAAATATTCTTCCAGAAAAAATAAATAAAAAAAGGACAAATATATTAATACTAGTTGATAAGTGTAAAGTTATAACTATAAGTACATCTCTTCATACGCTCGACAACGATTGAAATAAAACACTATTATGCTATATGAAAAGTGTTTATGTTAGATATATGTACTTTCATTTAAATTCATATGTTTAAAACACAATTCAATTAAAGGGTAGAAAATAAATCCTTAGAGCAAAGAATAGAAAATCAATCAAGGTTTTAGGTTTACCACTAAAACTTTTAAACAAACTCATGTACTTTTTGTTGTACATTTGCTAAAACCTCTCCTGGTATTTGTATTATTTAGACAAGTGTAATATCTAGTATCATTGTCTCTTATTCATAGATGATTATGCAGTGTGAATCTTACCTAGGTACAATAAACAAAAGGGATATAGAACTAGAAGACAAATAGACATTTTGAGATCGAATAAAAATATTTTTTCCTAATCTTTCATTCTGATGCACATTCGATGCAGCATTGACCTCTTAAGATTTAGGACCGATTCCTCAGTTATATTTCAGTCAAAGATATTCACTCCCGAATGTTCAACCAGGGTGCCCAATAATCTTCCGAATATTTGGGATAAGCTCTTTCATCAAACGGCACGACTTTTCCAGGCACGACATAGGGCCTGTAGCTGTCCAAGAGTCTCTTGAGATTGCTGGCGATAGCAGGATAAGTGGAAGACAAGTCCTTGCACTCTGTCGGATCGTGAAAGACGTCGAAAAGGCAGTAGTTGCAGTAATTATTACTCGCTCCTGAGCAGACATGCTCAACTCTTGCAATCTTTCTCAACTCACTGTAGTTGGCCGGTAGAGGCCCCAGTCTCTTGTTCACTGTGCTCCCTTCAACTCCTTCTTTGTCGTAAGGCATCCAATAACCACTTTGTCCATAGTAACCATCGGCTATCTTAAGTTTTATATCTGGAGCATAGTCTGAAAGATAAATAAAGAGGTAACTGTTAAGAACGTTGATTGTACAATATTCATGTATGTGCTATATAAAATAAGCGTGCAATATATTCAAATATTTTTACTTTAAATAAATGTAATATCTAAATGTAATAATATAAATGTAATGTAGCGATTTTTAAGTTCGATAGCTCAAATTATCCGGTGAGATAACACGAGTCTTTTGAAACAACCTCAGCTCAAAACAGGAATGAATTATTGTAAAAAAACGGGGTTTAATCTTGAATATCTTGCATCTAAAAGATATTCTCAACTTTCCTTTCAGTATCCAAGCTGCAGTATCCTAAGTCAAGGTCAATAAAAACACCAGGTTCGCTCACTCAGAAATGCGTGGTGGGGAACTTGAAACGTGACGTAAGGAATAGACTGTCAGACCTACCTATTACTCTTTCAAGACTATCAATGAAGACTTATTTCAACATTATTGTGCTTTTTTTTTTTTTGTTTTCTTGTTTAATTTATTGAGAAGAATACTTTTTTGTGTTTTTGATGTTTGATTGAAGATAATTTCTAGTAGATAAATAAATAAATACAGCTATCAATCTAGAATAAAATGCTATGAAAATTACAGGCCAGGCCTGAAACGAAAAGAACGAAATTGATATTAAGATTATTTATAAATCCTCTAAGCAAAAACTAAGATTTATATTTATTTAGAGAATATTTTAGCACAACGTTTGTGTAATTTTGTTTGTAGATCTCATGGGTATTTATTTTAATATTATAATAATATTATAAGGATGAAGATCTTTGTCAGGATTTGCAGTCAAAATTTCTTTAAATAAATAAATTTAATTTAAAAAATAAACAAATTTTACTGCAAATCCTGATAATTTATTTTCACCTGATAATCTTAACAGTCAACTACTTATCCGTCTCTAAAATAATATTATAACGAGTATTTATTTATTTATTTTTTATAACATGTTACAGGGAATTCGTTTGTCCTTATTAATATTTCTTGTATTTCTCATAATAACATAATTATTCATAGAATCCTATAAAATGTCAGGTACAAAATGCGCAGTTGCATCTTGCAACAATAATCTAATTGACACAAAGAAGATGGGAAAGAAAATTTCATTTCATACTTTTCCAAAGGACTCCCGAAGAAAATATTGAGTTTTAAAATGTAAATGTAAAAATATTGTAAAAAAAACAAATATTGTAAACAAAAATACTATATTTTTCTTAGGAAACAAAATGTAGAAATTAATGAAGAAAGCCTTTCTTTGAGCAACGGATACTTAATAGAATCAAATTTTTAAATAACCTATGACTTTTACAACAATTAAGAAAACATAAAATCAAAGCCAAAAAACTTGAGAAAAATCACTACATGGGATTACTTATGACATAAAAACGTAATATTTACAAAAATTCACAGAAAGAAAACGCTTCTTTAATGTTAGAGTAAATACTTTTTTTTTAAATATTTCTATTATTTTATATTATGCTGTGTATTTATTTGAAATATTTAAAAAGTAGTATTGTGGTACTTTGCAAAAAAATCATACATCAACTTGTTAAATTACATTTTATTTGTTTCAGAATAAACCAAATATCAAATCAACCTTTCTCGCACCTTTCAAATTTATTAAAATTAATAAATTAGTAAGTTATTTGGCAATATAGTATTAATTTAATGTATAAAAGTAAATAATAATCTTAAAATGTCTAGAAACAAAGGCCGGAGGGGTAAAATCAGTCTTTTGGCTACGTCAGAGCTCAATTCCTCCCCACCATTTTCCCTCTGAGTGAGCGAACCTGGTAGTTTTGCTGACCTTAATTCTAAGTATACAAGACCCAATCGATTCCCCTCACCTTCCAATAGAATGATTTGTTTTACTGAATGTGATATGGCTTTTGATGTATTTTCTTTTTACTTTTTTACTTAATATCCATACTTTTTTTAATATTAATAATATTAAATCGAAAAACATATTCTAATGATGTTGCTAGGAACCCATTCAAATTTAGGTGCACTTTCCATTTTGGTCAGGGGGAGAGGGCGATGGACACCCCTCAAAGAAAATCTCAGGAGTTTATGCTGTATATACAAATTATGAGTGATTATTAACATAATCAACATAATTCTTGTAAAATCAACAATATAATTTTTTTTTTAAATATGTTAACAAAGCTACTATTACATATTTTAATTTTTATTTAAAGGTTTTAGGCAGTGAGGTGAACTCTTAATTCTCCATTGCTTGCCGCAGGAAATTTGATAAAATCTTCTCGTTAAAATGGAAGGATGCCCATGAATGAATCATAAAATCCTTGGATATGTTGCTACATATAATTTTCTTAGAATAAAAACGAGTATTTCATTAATAGGAACATAGGGCGTGGTAAAATACTTGCGCACATACTTCTAGACCTTAGATTAGCCATCTAATTGAATTTTCATGTTTTCTTAATTGATTTTACTTACATATTTTATTCATTTATGTTAATAAATTATTATTGATTTTGATTTAATTTTTGTTTTTCGAAATATTGCCTCTCCCTTGAAATCAGCACCTATGCATCCAAATCTAATGCTGTAGGATTCGAAGCTTTGGGTGAGTTGACCTTCTCGAACTTTAATATTCGCCATACTACAACTATCGATTCATTTCTACCATATAATAAAAAATAAATAAATAGTTTTTAGCATAAGTGACTAAACATAGTAAAAATTACTTTTAACTAGTTTCCAACGTCCTTCGATAATTGCCTCACTATTATCTAAGTCATTGATGTCAACCACTAGAGTATCTCTCGGACCGCGCTCGGCAGAAGACAATGAATGCCATTGGTTGATACCATCTTTTATTGGTAAATCTTCCGGTGAACCACCTGTAACAAATGGAAACAACTTGAGAAACGGGTCATTTTCCTATTATGGTATAATAGAATGAATTTATTTCTTGAAGTAAAATTTCAATATTTTCTAGTTCAATTTTTTACAAAATATTTTCTATTGGGCTCCTCCTAGACGACAGTTAAACGTTAAACACTTAATTCTTGATACACTTATTATTTATACAATACAATGTAGTTTGAACGAATTATGAAACGATTTGTGAATTTAAAATAATTGTATTAGTCGGTTAAATTGCTATATCGATGGCTAAAATGTCTTTTTTCTTTTTTCCTTTGTTTTATCAGGCATTGTGTGAAATGTGAACAATGGGTGCTAAACTATAAATAAAGTTGATGTTTTCAATACCGAACTCATGATTGTTTTTGCACATTTAGATCGTTTTCGATTTTCAAAACTAATCTATTGATTAAGTCTCGATATTCTTGTTTAGATCCATATTATTTATGAAATGAAATGAAAAAATAATTTTATTCTGGGCCCACAGTTAACTAAGAATAATAATAGAGTTACATAATTATGAAAATTAGTTTAGCTTAGAGTATACAAAATGATGCCTAATTAACTGTTAATTGCAATAGAATTTGTACAGTTGATTGAATTATACAGTGTACAGAAGCAAGTAAAGTTTACATGTTTGCGGAAGATTGAATATGGAGTAGGTGGTGGAATAAGAGTTATTTGAAGGAATTTGTGGACGAGGATTGAAAGAGCTAGAGTTCCATAAGGAGGTAGCAGGATTGGCGAAGGATTTGCTGAAGGAGGTAGTTATATGGGAGGGGATATAAAAACCTTTAGGTTACGATCTGGTATTGAGAGAGTGGATAGAGAAACGCAGAGATTTTTGGTTTTGGGGACTTGAAAAAAGAAAAAACGAAAAAGAAATTTCGGTGTACCAGCAGGAAACATGAGAACGCCTGGGAATCCCAAAGATGTATCTTATCAAGCAATTTATGAGTCTCTTCAGTCTCATCTCTGTCTGATAGACAGCCTTCCATACACTAAACATCCATAGTGAGGAAATACAAGGGAGGTTACAAGGAGCTAACTGATTTGTAGAGATTTTTAATACAATCTCGGAATCTGGGGATTTGTTTAAGGACAGTTATGGATTTTCTGGTAATCTGGGAGATATGGTTATTCCAGAAAAGGTTTTGGTCTAGTCTAAGGTTACTCCTAGGGTTTTGACTGTAGGATGAAATTGTATGGAGCGGTTATTAAGGTAAGTTGAGAGGAAAGTGAAGGAGGGAACTGAGACGTCTGGACCCGATGAGAATAGCCTTAGTTTTATCTGTATTCAGCTTTAACTCATTTATTTCTGCCCATCTCTTGATGCAGTCGATATCCTCTTTTAGCTTTCGGGTAGCCTCAGGCATCTCAGACTTTATCTACATCTAAGCAATAAACTAATATTTTTGAATATATAATAAATTTTCAACCTGCTGCAGCATATAAAGTGGGTAACCAGTCAGAGATGTGGAAGAGCTGCTCGGAGACTCTGGAAGACTTGTTAAAGAGTGGACTCCAGGCCAAAGCCACCGTCCGAACTCCACCTTCATGAACAGATTTCTTTTCCTGAAAAAAAAGTAATATATCAATAAGTATATGTATTACAAATTAAAAAAAATCATATTACAACAAATTAATAAGTCGTCGATAATAAGTAAAATCAAAACATTTTTTTTTCGTTTTTTCTTTTTTCTGGGAAGTTGTTTACTATGGAAGACGTCCAATTATTGGTCAAAAGCAGGATGTTGCTCTAGATGATACATTTTATAACATGAATTAGAAATTTGACGATGGAGCACGTTTTTAAGCCTCGCATCCACAAGATTATTGGGATTGCAGTTCCGAAGATGGGAATAAATATCCCGAAACGTCAACTAACTTGTTAACATGTAACGTTGATAATAGAAATATACTCAATTGTTACCGATCGGTTATTATTGCCAAAAAACTAACAATTTTTTTTCGATTTCCTCCATTACTCGCCATTGCATACCCTAGGCAGGTTTTTTTTAGAGGTACAATAGATTGTACCTCTAAAAACAAAATTCTAGGCTTAAACCTATGCCAAACAGAGGGGAAAGATTGAGATTCATTCAATGGGTCCGCCGGAGTACAATCGTGTAACAAAATACAATAACAAGATTATTGAATAAAAATTCGATCTGCCACATTGTAGGGCAACAAGTATTTGGGCTATAAGAGTTCATTTCATTTTCATAACAATATGCACACAAAAAAGAGAAATAATAAAAATAATAATAAAAGTCTTCTAAAAACACAGCCATACCTATGTCACAATAAATTGTGATATTAATGAGATTTATTTCAACTATAATCATCTCAACATAGGAAGATAGCGCATGCTCCCATACCAAAAAAAAATTATTCTCCATTTAAAAATTGTCTAAATGAAAATTAAATTATAGTATAGTTTCTTCCCTACTTTCTTGGATTGAAAGCCGTCTCTCCCCCGCCCCTCCCTCATCCGTTTGAAATTCAACACGGATATAGTTCTTTATATAGTTCTCTCCAGAACCCATAACCCTGTAAATGCGTTATAACCTCCTCAAAAATTCATAATCTCATAAAAAATATCCTCCCTCTCAAACATTTTTACGGCACAATTTTCCTCATGCGATTCTTTCTGGGAACTCCTGATTGCAGTCAGGGTGAAAATAATTCTTTTTCTATTATTTTATTTTTACTATATCTTTTTCCTCTGATTTCAACCCCCAAGTGACATCTCACTGACATTATCTAAAGTCCTACAGTACTATCTCCTCTTTAATAACGTTTGTAATTATATCGTCGGTATATTACTGTAAAGTCGTTAAGTGACATTTTATAACCTTAAATCACATTACTGAAGAACATTAATTTAATTTCCCTTTGTGGAATTAGAAAATCGTACGATTCTGGTAACTATATTTGATTTTTAAAAGGGTTTATGTTATCTTAGTGCAATTACTGTGATTTGTTTTTCTCGATTTTCGTGACTTTTTGCAATAAACCGATGATATTTTCTTTTTCACTACAAAAGATAAAATATTGTTGACACTTAGTGTGTAGTTCAATCATATATTTGACAAGATAACGATCTCAAAAGATAATAAGGGCTTTCAAAAATCCAATTTAGATAAGGATCGCTGGTTTTGTTATATCAGAAAGCTAGTGTGACTCTTCCTGCTCTTAAATTAGCTAAGTGTCAATCTTGACCTTCTAAAACACCTATCTTATCTACTGTAGCTATGTTACGAAGATGTTCAAAGTTATGAAAACTATATCCAATACATAAAAAGTACAATAGGAAATAATCTACCGATTTTAGCTTATTATTTTCAATAAAGAACTTTTGTAATCGTTTAAGAAAAAAAAAAGTTAACTAGTCTTGAAAATTTGAAGTTCTACTTTTCAATCCGAAAATCGTTTATAGAAATCAGTCCGTCCAAGACTACGGAGTCGATTATTTCAATTTTAGTACCGAAGAAAGAGTTCACTTGAAGATGTTCCTTCCAATTGGATATAACCATCCGCCATTTCTTTACGAAATTGAAGACAAAAAAAGTTTGTATATAATGTAGCGCCAAGGGATCGTAATGATTTTAATTAAACTTGCATAAAATGTTCTTGAAGTTCTTTAAATTCAAAACATACTTCCCCAAAAAGAAGCAGGAAGAAAAAAGTTAAAATGAATGCAGAATTTTATTGGCGAATTACTGAAAAACTATGCACTTTGTTTATTACCTATGCATACTTAAAAGTAAATAAAATATGCGTGTTTCAAAGATATCGGAATTAACTAAAATATTTTTAAATATCACAGAAATTGGACCACTTGGTGCAGATATATAGCTTTTTGAAATATTAGCATATATTTGCATGAAATATAATTTTTGAATGCCTGTTATTTAATTTAGTTGTATCAAACAATAAAAAAATTGTTCTCCAAAAAACAATAAACCGAAAACGGATTATTTTCTTATCCCATTTCCTAATAAATGGTAGTGTGCACGAATGATGATTGGGAAAAAAAAATACCACAAACAACTTGTTAAAACTATTTTTAGTGATACTAGGTAAAACAAATATCATACCCATTTCCTAGGATTCTTGCCATGAGTCCTAGGAACCGATTAATAAAAAATATTATAACATTGAAACATTATTTTATATAATTATTTTTTACCTATGCTGTGTATGGATTTCTAGGTTATGTTTTAATCGATTTTTAAAAAAAATTGTTATTTGTATTAAACGATACATACTTACCCCTCGTAAAGGCCAGTTAGATGCGCCATTTTGTCTAGCTGGGGATGCTGGAAGACCTCCATTATCCGACATGAAGACGATGATAGAGTTATCAAGATCCCCTTTCTTACCTAGGGCTGATACTATTTCTCCTACAGACCAATCCAGCTTCTCCGTCATAGCTAAAATTGAAAATTGTTTTAAAAGCGCAAATGAAATATTATTATTTTAGAAGGCAGTTCATATAACTATTACAATAAGCTAATACTAAAAACACACAGTAATGTACGAAATAGTAACCAAATCGAACTAACTTGTTTTTTAACAATATGAATAAATCAATATCGAACCAGATTTTAAAAAAATACATTTTGCTATTTAATGCTAATCTCATGGAGGTATACAGAGAAAGCCAAAGTATGACAGCACCCTCCCCCCTCTTCAATGTTAAACAATATTAAAATAAAATATCTTCAATTATAAACAACGAATATGAGAAAAAAAATATTATGAGAGACAGATTGATAGTTAGAATTTTAATATTTAAAAAATAAATAAATTAAGAAACACAGCCTAATTTCTCCCTTCGCTATTGGCTTACCTCTCAGGTATCCTCTTTCAGTGTTGTTAGAAACTTGAGGAGGAGCCTCTCTTGATAGTGGCAAGTCGGTTCCATGAACTGCTGCATGACCTATAACAAGGAGAAGACCTTCTCCATGATGATCTTCTATGATTTTGATGGCTTCCTTGGTCAATAGGTCTGTCAAATAGGTACCGTAGACCTCTCTCCAGGCACCTGTTTCGTTCCTCCAGAAATCTCTTCCAACCATCTCCTAAAAAAAATTATTAGGATTTTATGAAGAAAAAAAAATTAGAAAATATTGTTTTTATTTCATTAATAAAAGACAAATTTAATATAAGTTCTGAATTGCAAAAAACTTATGTCATTGTTGTGGTAATCTAGAGCAAAGAAACTTGAAAGTGAAGCGGACAGCTTTCTCGATTTCCCGAGGTTGTTAGATTCAAGGACTGCTAAGCCATTTTACTAATTATATATATAAAACTACTAGAAAGGGCAATATTTTACGTAATAAAATGAATAAGAAGGAAAGGTTGGAGATTTTATGACAGATTTATGATTATTTGAGGAATTTTTATGAACAGATATGACCATCCCCTCTTGCCATCAAGGTAAATGGCGCAAGAACCTATTCTCTCTCTTCCCAAGATATTTTATTGCTCATATTCTTATAAACAGAGCAAGGGAGAATTGAACTAGAAAAATTATAGATCATCCACAATTAAACTTTCTGCAGTCTTTTCCATGTTTTCTACTTGCCGCTTATTCTGAAACTTTTCACTCCGAAAATATATATATTCCCCTTTGAAATGTGCCTCCCTCAAAAATTCATAAATCCTTTATAATATGCACCCTTCAAAAGTTTTGATGGCGCAACTTGTGCCATAAAACTCCGTTTTTAGGCACCTCTGGTTATGAAAGAAAAGTTACGAAAACAAGACATTCGGCTTTTAACTTAAGTCACGTTTAACTCATTCATGTTGGAACCATTGCGAAGCCTAGTATCGTAACCATTCGCACGGCTAACATTGGAAATGAAGAAACCGCCCTTTTAAACGGCTTGCTTACGTTTCTTAGAACAATGGATTCAGTTAATTTTTAGTGGAGTATTTCTCATTTTGAGTTAATACAATAGGATGGATTGAACTTGAAAAATTAATAGTTTTATGTCATCCACTTCAATAGCAGCCAATTTAAAGGTTATTCTAAGGGTGCACTCTTGTTCACCATTTCAACACTTCAATGTCCATCACATCAATTCATAATTAATATTAATGTGGAATGAGGAAGCTCAGTGAGTAAGACACTGAGTTTTTGGGCTCGAGTCCTTACCCAGTTAAGACAAATAATTACCTATTCTCTTACGTCAGAAATGGATAGATTCTAGGATTTGGGGACTCTTTACATCAGACTTTTTCCCTATTAAGTGAGTACGTCATCAGAGTAAAAACCTTGTGGTAATCGTGACCGTGGCCGCATAACTTGCACAACCAGCAACTAAACAGTACTGCATTTCAAAGCATTGACTCAAAAACACTTAGAAAGTTGTGTTACAATATTTTTTTAGTCAATATTAAAAGTACGTTTTAAATCTAAACAAAAAAAAAAAATTCTTAAACATAATCATTGTTATTTACTTGTTAATTGTAAACATTAGTTAACCCTGTAAACGTTAGTGGAAATCTTTAATGTTATATTCTACAACTTACCGATGCATAATGGGTGCCATCCCAGTAGCCGAGGAATCCGTTGTAGTAGCCAAAGAAAGAGTCAAAGCCTCTCCTCGTTGGTAAATGATCTATGCTCTCGTAGCCAAGGTGCCATTTACCCACCAAATGGCTACGATATCCTAATCTAGAAAAATACTGAAACAAAAATTGCATACACATAACATATTTCTGCATCCAAACTTTATATATACTAGGACACCCATGCGAAAAATTCGCACACCATATTATTTTCAAATGCCACGTATCAAAAGATAAGAAAATCAATTGTTACTTTATCGATAAACATAAGCGACAAAGGAAAAAAAAATATTTTAAATCTTCATTAATATTTGGAACCAACATGTTTACAAATTTCAATAACCTTTATCTTTGCTAAAAATTGTCCGATTTCGATGATTTTTTTTTTCTATTGTAGGGAATTTAGTAATCTTTTGTGTAAGTATAGGTATAACCAAGGGAAAAGTGTGTAATTTTTTAGTTATTCACAAATAAAGTGTGTTTTCTTTCATAACTTGTTTGCCTGAATTTTCGGGGTGATTGAACTATTTTGCCGCCTGAAGGAGAAGGAAGCCTTCGAAATTGATGGCTTAATCTTGAGATTTGGTGAAGAATTAACGATGATATGGCTTGCCGATCAAAAACACCATCGATAAATAATATAAAATTATCCTCTCTCGATAATTGACGCCTCAAGTCGACAAAATGAGACTTGTATTCAACGGCAGTACTACCATTAATGTAAGGTTGTGTGGATGCGAACCCTATGCCTTGCGTTATCTCGAAAATTGTACGTTTTGGGCTTGAAAACGAAGGATCCGATAGTTCCGCAAGAACTATCCGGGTCTTGCTGTACGCATCAAAATCTTCAAGTTTTCAAAATTTGTCCCGTATCGATCTACAGACCTATCACCGTTCCTGTATTGAAGCCTAGCAAAATGTTTGTATCGACTTTAGTTATTTTAGAAAGAAAAACAAAAGTGGAGAATACGATTCGCTAACCCCCCGTGAAATTCTGAATCCGGCGGTACCCCATTCATGGTATTTGAGCCTGACAGGAGCTTATATTTGGTACAAAACCGATTTCGAGCCTTACTGTAATAATATTTGTGTGGATTTGACCTAGAAAATAGAAAAACCTTTAATTATCAAAGATTGAAATAGAAAATTTATTCTAATACCAAATCTACCGCATAACTTTTCAAAAACAAACAGTTACCCTACATTAAATAAATGCTGTGAATACCTCAGGCATCAATTTAACTCCTGGTTTTAAGCCATGTTGATGTCCTGCCAAACAAGGACGTCCTTGCATGCCTAAATAACAAAACAAAATCAGTGCGTGTGTGTATATATATATATATATAATTTATATTATTCTGGTACTACTGACCATGCCTGAAGGGATAGTCTCCAGTGAGCAAGGCTGTTCTGGAGGGCGAACAGAGTGGCTGAGAGTAATGTCTGTTCAGGATAATACCGTGGTATGCCAACGAGTCCAAGTTGGGAGTATGTACATCGCCACTGTGAAATCCTACGTCGTTCCAACCCTTCGCAGAAACATATCATAATACAGCTCAAATATTCTAAGACAATAAATCACAACTAAACTTGATGTTTCTAATGAAAGGAATCAGATATCGATTCTCAAACTTAAGGAATTAAAAAAAAAAAAAAAGATGCTAGGAAAGTCTAAGAGTTTCATATTGGCCTAAAAAGATCTTCAGAAAATTTATGTAATTAAGTAATATATTTGTTGAATATAACATCTTGGATATAACAATAAAGATCAATAACGTTTTTTTTTTTATTGCTATTCATGTGCGTATATCGACAATCACTCTGCAAAAATCAGCAAATTGTGATGTAAAAACTGTAAGTTGCACTGAAGGTTATAGAGATTATGTCGTTACCGAAAACACATATTGAAATGCTCAATAAAAGGTGGTCATGAAAATACAGAATGTACAAAGCGTTTTTCGCATAGATTATATTATCAATTACTTTTATAAATAGGCTAAAATTAATTTTTGTAATACTCTTTGTATTCTATTTTACATTTCTAATAAGTGGTGGGCATTTCCAAACTGGGCGAATGGACAAATGCCTAGGTTCTCCTGGCCTAAGGTCGGCACTGCTTACCATGGAAATAGATGAAGCATTGAAAAGAATGGTAAGTGGGAATATAATATTGAACATCCTTCAAAACAATCGAAACCTCCTAGCAACTGTAAAATGAGCTTGACTGAAAATAGCTACAGTGTTGCTGAATTACAGATAGTGAGAGAAAAATAATTGATTTCAATAATTGAAAAATTTAACACGAAACGAAAAAAGAACTTTAGTTACATATTTTCAAACCAATGAATCTTCGAAATCGCAAGTAGCTCAGAAACGAATTGATCTATACATCACCAGATTACCTAGCATTTACCAAGCATTCGTGAATCAAATCATGTCCAACTTTTTTTTTTTTTAACTTGATTCTTCAACTCACACCTGTCAGAAGTTCCGACAATCAGCGAGTGTGATGTCAAGATGTAGAGATTGGTCTCGGAATAGGCGTGAGGGACAGGATTACCCAGCGGCGTCCTTCCTGAGATCCCTCATCCAGCTTCTTTTAAGCCTCCTTCGGGTGTTAATCGGGCATGTTAGTTGTGGCCATGCCTCGAATCAATGAGTTTGTATGTCCGTGTAAATTATTATGAAATAGTTTGTAGCATCTGTAAGTCTTTATGTAGAGTAATGTTACTGACGTACCAGGGAGCTTTGGTGATAGTCCTGAAAGTTTTAGATTGAAAAGTCTATAATTTACGTATGTGAGTATTTTTGGCTGTCCCATATATCTGTAAAGCGTAGGTCCAAATAGGCTTGAGTAGGTAAGTATACGTATTCAACTTCTGTCTAAGTTTTAATTTCGAATTTCTTGCAAGGAGTGAGTACAATAGGCGTAGTCTTAGGTTTAGAGTTTTTGTTTTGTTTTTGATATGTTGGCCCCATGTCATTCTTCTGTCAAAGGTCAGTCCAAGATATTGAACTTTGTCTGTCTGAGGAATTTGGATATTGTCAAGATAAATAGGGGCAAGTTTCACGTCGAAGGGTAAAAGTGATATGTAGTGATTTGTCTTGGTTGAGTCGAATTTTCCAGAGTTTGCAACAGTCGTAGAAATTGTTTAGGTGATAATGTAAAGTCTGTGAGGCGTATGTTGAATTTTGGTGTCTTGTCAAGATTGTTGTATCGTATGCGTAAGTCGCGGTCAGAGTATCGAGAGGATCTGGAATATCATATGTGTAAATAATATACAACAGAGGAGCGAGTACTGACCCCTGAGGATGTCCAACAAGTTGAATATGTTAAAAACGAAACTTCCATAGGCTACTCCAGTATGGGGCGCATGCACCGTTCGAGCCGCCTCTGTATTAGGAGACAAAAAGTTAATAATCTGTGCGATCAAATACTCGCTTACCCAGTCAAATGTTTTACAAATTTTTATTTGAGGTATCGTTTCTCTACATTTTGGTAACTAACTTTGTTTCTGTCATGATTTGATCATTATTAACAAAGTTCTGGGTGTTACTACAATAAATTTGATTGATTTCATCTTACTAATATCAGTTTTTCAAAGTAACTTAAAAACTATAACTTAGAAGTAACGGTTATATAGGGCATTATATCTCTTTATTAGTCCTGCAAAAAAAAAAAAATTGAACCGAAAATATAATGCTCATAGAACAAACGTTAGGCAGTTTTTTTTTCATATCCTGAAAATTATTAGTTATTGTTCTTACAGGCTTTTGCAGTGTGGCTGTCGATATTTAGTAGCTGAAGTTCATGTTTTATAATTTAAGAAGTGATATTGTGATTGTTGAAGTATTTGGCTCACATCACTCACAGAAACAAATTAGAATCAATAAAAAAATTAAATTTAAGAGGAATTTTATTCAGACAGCTCCCCTCTGAATCCGCTAGTGCATTGTAATGAAATTGCCGTATATTGTGTATATTCACGCTTAAATACATATGACATATCAAGGTTACCTGTTGTGATCGACAGATTGATCAACATCTCAAAATTGATTGATTGGTGATAACATACCTCATTTATCAAGTAGCTGTCTTTTTATTGATTTAATTAGATATCGCGACAAGTTGCAAATCAACTTGAATTATGAAACCTAAACCTGATACAACTGTTAATGAGATGTAAATCACCTATCAATTCTGGATAAATAAAGCGATTCAATTCAATAATGGTTAACAGAAAATATTAATAACAATTTTTACTCTCATTTACGTATATATGCAATATAGAGTAAGGGTAAGTATTGGATTCGTGAAAATTTTCGAGTCTGAGTATTCAACGGAAATACATGTTTTGAGGTCTCCTGGATCCAAATAACCAAGTCCCGCAAAATGATCTGTGTGTGTGTGTGTGTGTGTGTATGTATGTATGTTATCAGTAACTCAAAAACGGAAAGTCGTATGAAAGTGAAATTGCATATTTAAGGTTTTTATAAGCTATCGATGTTACAGCAACATTTTCGTCAAAATCGGCAATCCGTAAGTGGTACTTTATAAATCATCGTCATCTTCATCATCCGTGGCACTACAACTCCTGTAGAGTCAAGGCCTCCCGCAGCTTGTTCCGCCATTGTTCTCTATTGGTTGCCGCTGTTCTTCATTGCGGATTCCCAAGACGGACTTGTCATCCTCTACCACTCCATCGATCCATCGGAGCCGAGGTCTTCCCACTCTTCTTGTCCCATAAATCCTTTCATCTAGGATCATCCTAGCAATCTAATCCTGAGTCGTTCTAATTAAATGGCCTGCACATCGAAGCCGGCCTTCTTTAATCACCTTAAGATATCTGAGCTCTTTTAGAGTATGTTTGGCTCAGCATTCGTTCTTATCCTCCAGATTCCATTGATGTAAACTATCCTCAACTCCACGAGTCCCTAGTAGTCGGCGCTTGTGTACATGTACCGATAAATGGAACGAAATCTGCCTGGAGCTGTAATTTGTAGTGAGAGGTACACGACTACTATACCAAGTTTAAATATTTGTAATGTCAATTTCTCTAGCAATACACCAAGATGTTTAAGTTGGTAGATATGCCAGGTCATTTCCTTAGGGTGAATAGAATTTTCGCAATTCTGTAGTCGGAGTTTTTTTTTAAATTCAAATATATTTTTATTTTCTATAAGTAAATTGTATAGTTTTCCATTTTTTAAAAAAAACATTGCCCCCTTGAATATTTAAAAAAAAAAAAAATAGTTGAAGATCGTTTTTAAAAATATAAACTAGAGCCATGAAAACTATGTGATTGAAGTTTTCGGATTTCCTTTCGGACAAAATGTAAATAGTGCCTAGGAATGCCATTTTGGCTAAAAGTCTAGGCTCCACTAACCAACAAAATATTTGTACTGGATAGATGTCAAAGCTCTAACACCTGTATAACACTGACCTATTGAAATACTTATGTTTGATAATATCCAAAGAAGTGGACAGATTAATATAGTTGACTACATATTTGTTAATTCATCGTAATATTCCGCGTTGAGAAGTTTCTGATGGTCGTGCGTAATTCTTTGTTAAGTTCTTTCCGGCTAAATCCGGTGGACCCTCTGGTCCACAACGAGATCTGCGCCATAGCTGCTGGTGTGGCTATGACGTAATATTAAACGCTTTTCTTACATAGCTTTGCCTGAGCGCAAAAATATTTACTACAATTTTACTAAGAAATAATAACTCGACTCTTAAATATGATGAAACTAATCATTGAATATTACATTAGAGAATTATTTATAGTTAAAGTCACTGCTGGATCTATATAGGGAGGAGGAGAGAGAGGGGATTTTTGGTCTGAAGCCGCCCCAAAATAGAAATCTTTTATTTTCTGTTTGTTACTGTGAGAATAATAAACGCTTATGCAAATATAATATAAATCAAATATAACCTATACCAAATATTCTACTAAATGTTAGCATGTGTCAAGAAAAATGTTCCTCTAAAATTCTCATTATTGTTCTTTTATTTCTCTTTTATATTATTTTTCAACACGCCTTTAAGGACCACTCAAATCTCTTTTACATAATTTATTTTTCTTCCACATTAATAACAAATATATTAAATATTAAAAAAATATATAAAATGACAATAAACTGTATCCCAACAAATAATAGTCCAAATTAGATGATTATTTTCATTTTATTTATTTATTTTATTTAGGGAATTTAACTTTGGCTTTTTTTAAAAAAATATTTGAACCCACATTGATCCTTTGGCCGGTAAAAATTGTTTCAACTTTACAAATTTCCAATGGATTTTGAAGATTTTCTTTTTATTTTGTTGTGAATTTAGTAATCTTTCAAATAATCATGGGTACAATAAACAAAAAAATTATAATTTTTTAGTTATTTTCAAATAAAGTTTCTTTTTCTTCATTAGTCTTTTTTTGGATCTTCGGGGAAATGTGGTCGTTTTTCCCAACTGAAGGGCGTACCAACGAAAAAACAGCTTTGAGAAATAATATACATAGATATAAAAATTATATTTTGAAATTAAAAAAAAAAGTAATTTTAAAACAGTTAAATGGCACGATATGTTGCCTATAAAAATTTTTAAAAATAGAGAGAGGAAGAGTGGCTCCGAAATATCGTATTTTCGAAGGCTACCTAAAGTTTAAATCAATAAATTCAATAATTAAAATATTAATCAATGTATTCCTTACACGTACAATAATATTGACACTCCTTCAAAAATACTGAATTTAAAAGAATACAAAACATTCAATAATTATTTTTTTAATATATCAACCAGTATGATAGACTTTAATGTATTTGATGTATTATGGTCATTAAACAGTCCATATATTGATGATATTCGATATTGATTCAAAGAATAATATTAAAACATTCTTATTATTATTTAATTTTAATATAATAATATCTTAGAATATGATATTGATCATATAAGGACCCTTAAAAGTATGAGTGACGTTAACAATGAGTAGATTTTTTACAATTGCAGACGATGTCATCATATCTTAACTCACATATATTTGCTTTTTCATGTATTAATATAATTATAAATTTCGATTTTAAAAAATAATAATGAAAAGTTTTTTTTTTTATTTATATGTAAATATAAATCTCTGAAGAGAAATACAATCACAAAACATGTATATGAACAAACAATTCAGTCTTAAGTTATGAAAAAAAAAAAGGAAAAGCTTGTTGACCTCGGTATTTCATTCACTCACTTTTCAAAAAGACATCATTTGTACAATTAATTGAATTTTTCGTTTATTATTATCAACAGTTTATTATTATTAAGCAATCCTCCCTTGCTTTTTTTTTCTTTATTTTTTTTTAGATTAACTCATTTTATGATTTTTAAATTGAATGAGTTATTTCAAAAACGGCACGTGTCATCGTTACCCATTCGAAGTGGAGAGTGCAGAGATGCAACTATCAGCAGAAAAACAAAACAAAATATATTGTATTAATAAGGTACAGATTGATAGTTTGCATCACATATTTTTCTAGATTTTTGTCTTTAATATATTTTTTTTCCAATTCATGAAAATGTCACGTGTGTCGTTACTGAAATAACCGATCCAATTATTTAAACGTTAAGGACTAATTAATTAATATCAACAAATGGGTACATCTCTGTCCATTTCTAAAAAATATACGAATAAAAGATATAAATCAATATAATTCTTTATTAACAATAAAAAAAAACTTTGATTACGTTATATCACATATTTATTTATTTGTAACGCTTTGGTCATTTTCAAACATATCACATTATATTACGTTTACCATCTTAATATAAATATTTTTATTTTTAGTGTTATTTAATATATATATACTTATATAAGTCAGTTTTTCATTTAGACAAAATCTTCTTTTTGTCAATCACTCCTTGGTGGTATATTTATTCTTCAAAAATAACAATATTCCTTATTTTTCAAGGAGGAACTAACAAAAAGAAGATTTTGTCTTAATGAAAAAAAAAACTAACGTATATATATATATATATATATATATATATATATATATATATATTTAAAATATTTAAAAAAATATATCAAGGTGGTAAACAGAATATAATTGTGAAATGTTTAAAAATGGACAAGAAATGGCCGAAACGTTACAAATAAATAAATATGTGATCTAACTTAATGAAGGTTTTTATTTTTCATAAGAATTTTATAGCTTTGTGTCCTCTTTGGGTTGAAAGAAAGGGTCCTGATTGCTGATTATTGATTATTAACTTTTTTAGAAAAAGCTTTGTAATATCCCAATTTTATATCAAATATAAGTAAGAAAATGAAAGAAGAAATCATTAAAATTAATTACCTAAGTTACTGCTATATATTTATTGTGTAGAATATCTGAATACAATATGTAACCATTGACACTTGCTTCACTGAAAAGTTATAACATATTTATATCAGTATACTTTCTTTTATAGTATTTAAATTTGTTGTATGGATACATACTTCAAATATATCGTATTTGTATATATTTATATTAACTAATTTAATATCGATTATAAACTTATTTGTTTGAAATAATTTAACAGTGATAAATAACATTTAATGTTAGAGTTTTTGACATCCATCACTGACTATGCACTCAGTAAGTATGAATAATTAGCGTTTAACAAGACCTCGACCTACATATCAGAATGCGCTGATAAAAGATTCATTCTAGAAGATTAGGCTGACTGTCTAATAATTGCATCAATAGCATCCTTCTTCCTATTAGGTATTGGATTGACATCTTCCCTGTACCTCCTAACCATTATCTCTACACTGACAAGTGTCTTCTTCATAATAAACATTTATTTATTTCCATAGGAAATGTAATGTTTTTAAACAATGTATTCTGCCAAATTGGTAATGATATTTTAATCCAAATATGGTGTATTATTATTTTTTTTTCTGTTGACTGAAGGTAACATTTCGAAATGGACATGACATGCACAATTTAAAAGATTGAATAAAAGATTGCTCTGTTTGTGATCTAAGGTTATATAAAATTGAAAAAGATATTGATAAATAGTTAAAAGTTATTAGTATCATTTCCACTTTGACAAACAGCAGAAAAATTAAATCGATTAAAGCGCAGAGCTAAGAGAAGATTAAATCGTTTGCGAAGGACTCACCAAATCATCAGCAACTATGATGACAATAGTCGGTCTGTGGCAGCGAGCAGTTCGCAATAACTGGAACAGTGCTAGAACAACCGGTACCCTGAGGATCATAGCGAGTTCTGATCGGTTTCAATCCTCTCGGAGTGCTGGCTGTCTTGTCCCCTCCCCCCTTCCCGTCCCTTGATATCCTATCTGCTTTGCCAATCAATATATTTTGCTTCTAATGGCAAGTTATGTATAAATGACAAATACATACAAACATATAGAAAAGGCCACAAATGTTTATAGCATTATGAACCACGGAAAGTTGCATAATGTTGCGGAAAAAAAATATATTAACGATTTCATTTCGCTGTTAATAATAGGCAAGTTCCTAAAATCAGTACTGATGCCATCAGTGGAATCAGAATTCCATCAAACCGTTCCTAAACTTATCATTGTAATCTATATATAGACTTTATTCATCTCAGTGGTTCCATTGGTTTTTCAGATCGATAGATCCAACGTGACTTTATTATAACCTCAGTATTGTTATCCCTATTTATCCTACGTATTTATGTTCGGTTTAATTAATTAATTAAAGGTTGGACAAAAGCGTGAAGCTGCCTTTGGCCTTCTTAACTGTCTTTTCACAATCATTACAGTAAGAGAGAAATCTACTGGACACTCGGGACTATTCACAGGTACAAAATCCTTTCCATTGGTCTTCCGCGTCGTCTATCTCCATCTTGGATTTCATAGTATAATTTCCTGGCTGTTATACAACCATTATTCGTGATTACCTCCCCCAGCCGTTAGGAGTGTCATCGATCTCTTTGTTCTTTCTCAAGTGGTACGCAATATTGAGCTCCACCAGCTGTTGACGGAATCATATGCAGCTTTAATCGATGAAAAGGATCCGCATAATTTTATTGAATTCCTTTGCTTTTTCAATTATTTATTTTATGGAAAATATCTAGAGTTTTTGACCTATTCCATTTGAAGTCCCTTCCCCGGCCATCGCCCAGTCGATCTTAATAACTGATTATTACAATTCGTAGAACCATGACTATAAAATAGTGAAAAATACTTTATAAGCAATATTCAGCAGTCTGATTCCTCGGTAATTATTCCTTATTCCATATGGAAGAACCTTTCTTCTTGAATATGGGTATAGTTTCTTCTATCTAGCTATTTGTTTGTCCTCTCAGATAATAACGATTAAATGGGTATGCTCCTCAGCTATTACTGACCCGTTAATATTCTGTTTACTCGCGATAATTAATTTTGTTCTGAAATTCAAAAATTTAGTAGGTATTATACATATTTTATTTTTCAAGTGTTGCTTAAGCTTCCAGGAGTTGACCTTCCGCTGAAATCCAGCTGGTCGTCTCTGAACTCAGCTTAAATGGCTGTCCATCCGTGGTGGATTCAGTCGATCGATGGACTCCTTCTTTTGAATTAGCACTGAGTTTAGGAAAGTTTCCCTAATGCAATGCTTACTCCTTTTTAATCCATATTAATAAAAATCGTATATACCTACCATTACAAGATCATAAGTCTTTGTGCCTGCCATTCTATTTAAAAATGCCCTAAAGCTTATATGTTTATATCTTAAAAGAATACGATATATTTTTGCAACATTTTCTTACACATTCCTTCAGAAACATTGAAAAACCTGTTAAAACTACTCGAATTCGAGATTTTTATTTGTAAATAAAGTTCGCTTATTCCATTTTGGTTCTTCCATTTTGTCGCCTTATAAAAGATAACTGATAGACTTAATATGTGATATGGCCCTAGATCCTAAGTCCTTTATAATGGTTATGACGGATTAAAATATAAGATTTTTTTATGATGTCTGAATGCAGATGTGTTCCATAAATGGTTTTAATTCTCCATGGAATTTCTACTTATCCGGAATTTGTACCGAACTTCATAAATTATTACATAAATCTCTTGATCACTCATTGTCAGTGAGATTAGTTATGAGTTACCTCAACTAATACCGTGTTAGGGTTGAAGACAGTTATTCAATCAATCCTCTTCTTGAAGAGATAACAAGCTGTTACTCGAAGGCCTCGGACGGAGCAGGTGCAAAACTGGACAGTGGCCTAAATAAAGGAAAGAGAAAACCGAACTCAGAAAAACTGATTAAATTACTTGCAGAAGAAGTAAGTTGTGATGAAACGAATAGATCGGTTTGAAAGGAAAATCTTAAGACGCTCAATAGGGCCTCCTGAGAACGATAATAAGCTCCCCATCTGAGAACAAATAAGGAAGTATACTTAATGTACGGCGATCTATCTATCACCTAATTCACATGAGTTCAGGGAATGAAATGATTAGGACATGTCAAGAGAATGGATAAAGCGAGAACAGCGAGAAGACTTTATCATGGAAAGCCAGATGGAATTAGATCTTGGGGAAGACCGAAGGCAAAATGAATGGATAATGTGGATAATAGATAAGAAAGGAATTAAGAAAAAAAGAAATATCCATCAGGTGCGCAGCCAACAGGGATCACTTAGCATAGGAAATTGAGCAGGCCAAGGACCGCTACATGCGTCTGCTGCGCCAATAATGAATGAATAGAAAAATGTTTGAAGGAAAATAAAAATGGAAATGAATTTCGATATCATTTGCAATCCGGAAAGGCATGAGCCTTTTGGAGAGAACTCCTGGAGTTATAAAAGATATTTCTACAATTATTTTTGTAAGAAGAAGTTAGTCGGGGGTGCGGTCAAATGAATAATATTTCTCAAAATAGTATTCATTTGACCGCACTCCAAGACCAACTCCACATATTATCATCGCTGTCAACCATTTCTATACTATTACAATTATTTTTCTTTTTTGATATTTGTAATTCGCTTGGGTTCGTCAGACGTTGTTGTTATGTTTGAACCTACAGTTAATTAACTTTCTTGCTTGATTGAGATGGGCATATCTGTTATTTTCTTTGCGAATTATATTATAAATTGATAATGGTTTTTATTATGATTTTCTATTATTTTAAATGATTTAACGGAAATCTATAGTTTTAGGGGTTTAGAATTCTAATTTATTCACAAGTCCAATATTTTATGGACGTTAATACATGACTAAAGGTATCATGACGTATTTTGTTGTTTTTTTAATCTATGGCAACTTCATAAAAAATACAATTGAGTTCTACGATGTCCGTACTCGTTAACGAACGGCCATAAACAATTTGAATTTAAAGTCACTTATCAGTGCTTGTTGTTAGTCATTGAAATGAATTTAAATGACAACAATAAATTACATTTGAGCTATTTAATTGAACAAGATGAAGTTGGTATGAACTTAACTTATTTATTCCTAAGTACTACATATCAGTGATGCTGATTATTAATCTATTAACTTTTTCAGTTTTGACAGATTTCTGTAAACTTGCCTGGGACTATATAGTGAAAGGTGTTAATCCAAAACTATATAGTACAGCCTCAGGTAATCACAAATACTAATATTGTTTATCAGATTTCATTAATACTCATAATTATTTCATGTGTGTAGTTTAGGGATTAAGTAATAATATTTGTTCCTTGTAATATTTTTAGATAAGCTTGGAATCACCTCACAAGATTTGCAACATGTTATCGAAGCACTGGTACATCTTATTGTTGAAGCTTGTAAAAACAAGGTAAATTTTTAATGTTTTATATTTATAACTCTACCTCATACTGTGAAATTATTTAGATGTGCTGCAATGTTCTTTATTTTTATTGCTGACTAAAGTTTTATTTTTACTGTTACTCTCATAGTTTTTAAAGTAATTTACAGAATAATTAGTTTATCAGCAACAATCTTAATAATCTTTTTTTACAGCTTACCTCTACAAAGTTCAAAGAATGTTTACTTGCCCTAAAGTTTAGTGAGAAGCAAATATTTGTCTTGAGTGAGTTTTACCGAGCTAAACAAATTGACATAAACAATACTCTCTTAGCTGGGTCCGTATGCTTACCAATGTTCAAGAACCTGGAGTGGCGACTGCAGGCAGTTGTAAGTTGGCAGTGAATTTTGGAAATAATATATTTTTAATAATCACAATTCTTATACATTATTTTTAACTTTTTCTAATGTTATTGTTCAATACTATCAATATCAATACTAAGTTGATATTAAGATTTTGTTTTAATCTTACCATCTGATATTACTTTAACATTTATAAGTATATATTACACATAATTACAATATTATCTTGTTTGTAAGCGATAATGGAAATTGGAAGGGAACGGAAAAGAACAAAATGATAGTTTCAACCTTGTGTCTCATGAGTTTGTCCTCTCTGTGAAAAATTACTGAGGTACATAATTCTTTTGTTGTTTCATTAAGTTAATCAACACTTTTGATATCATCCCAACAAAATTAAATACATTCTTATTGTCCAGAGTTAGTAATAATCATTTAGGATTAATTTAAATGTACTACACTGAAAAAGTTAAATGAAGAATGTTCTAAAAGAGGTAATCAGAGAAAAATGAATATCGAAAGGGGGGAAAAAAATCTGATGAGGTGTTGCCAAGAAATAGGTATTGGTTGAAAGTAGATAGAAGACAAAGTAGACTAAGAAAGGATTAGGATGACGAAATGGAGGAATATATGATAGATGTGCGGAACAAGAGGAATTGATCTAGGACAGAATAGTCTGGAAAGATGCTATAGAAAATTCAAGTTAAGAAATCCAATAATAGATAAACAATTTTAGTAACTACTTCATGTTTTACTTGTTGATCATATATATCTTTTTATTATATTCTTTCTCACTCCTGTGTTGTTTTCTAAAATTATCTATACTGTTATATAAAACAGAAGAACTAGCTTGAATGCACTAATTTTAGAAATTATCTGCCGTTCTCATTTGAAAAATGCTTTTTCCATTAGATAGATTTGTTTATCGAGGAATGCCTTAGGCTTTATAACATCATGCTATGACCCATATATATGGAGTATTATCTGTAAGTGTCAATCTATCAGAAAACTAAACAATTATGTTGGAGCTTTTTGATATTGAATAGGGCTTGGATTTATCTTTTTCTTTCTGTTTAAGGGAAACAAGAGTTCTTAACTGCTGTATGCCAATCTTGAGTAGTACTTTTAAAACACAAAATCCTATAGGATATTGTTTTGCGATTTTTCACCTAAAACAAATCTATTTTTTAATTTTGCACACAAAAAAAAACTATTATGAGATCTTCCTTCATAGTTTGAATTAATTTAATACATCCACATTATTATTATGTATGCTTTTACGCTAAATTAAATATTTAATTATATCAATTTTATGAAGAAAAAAGTCAAGTAAAACTCTTGCAATACATGTATATTTGCCTAGAGAAAATTAGTAAGTAATATTTGAAAAAACGGAACACCTGTGTTTTGAGTCTGAGGAAGTTATCTATTTCCTACTTTGATTCATAAAAATATTTGCTGCCTACTCACATGTTCATATGCGGAAGGAAGTTAGTCGACTGTTGTACATGGGTGATAGATATTCAGCACGCAGTCATTATAATGTTTTCAGTGCCGACGTTTCAACCCAAACATATGGGTCATCTTCAGGGCTTGGTTCGAGCACTGATGATGACCCACATGTTTGGATTGAAACGTTGACACTGATAAAAACTTTATAATGACTGCGTCCTGAATATTTATCACCCAACATATTCATTTGATTTGATTAACCAATTTAATGCAGTACAGTCTACAAGAATACATAATATGGAAAATTCTCTTTCTGACATATATGTAAACATTCTGAAATATATGTAAAAGATAAAAGTCTATCATTAAATCTCCGACAATGTATAATGGAATGATTTTCTGTTCTATATGTTTTTAATTTACAGAACAGAAACTTTTCCTCTATTACTCTTATGTATAAGATTAGCGTGTGTAATATACATTTAACAAAGGTGTAACCGTAAGGCTCAACTAGAATACAAGAAATATGAATCATTATTTTTGTATTCTAGTCAATGTTTTTATATAGTTTAAATTTAATGTTTAGATTGGATCAAGAGCTCTGCCGCAACAGTTGGAGCCATCTGCTCTTCTGAAGCTTTCTTTGGAGAACAGTGAACCTGGAAGCATACTACTGACTGCTGGACCGTGTGAGCTAGTCGCTGTGACTGAAGCACTGGAAGCTGCTCTACGAGAGGCAACTGCACAACATGCTCGCAGAGTTAGCAGGAGGTTCTGTCCTTCGGCCTCTTAGTTTACCAATACCAACTAAAACTAAAGAAAGTTGCCATAAATGGAAGGTATTGATTTATTTTTGCTTCCTCTACAATCTGAAGCGGAAGAAATATTGTAAGCTGTCAAATTTATTTTTTTGACATTCATATTATGTATGTATTCGAATTCCAGGAGTACAAAAAATATATATATATTTTTTTTTATAAAAATGATCTATCATTTTTATCCTGACTTCTTTTTGACCTGTCTTCTAAAGTTTCGAACTGTCATTGATAGAATTTTGTGATATAGAGGTCAGATTAGTAATGAAGTGCTATGTTATATACAAAAAATCTGGTGCACGCAACACACAACTTTCACTTACTCCTCTACTTAGAATAGAGATTATTTTATGGCAATGTTGAGCTATTATAAAAATTTGTAAGTGCATTTTAAAGGGAGCTAAAGCTTAAAGCTTACAGATAACCAACCATTAAAATTACAAAAAGTCTATTTATTACATTGATGGTAAGCAATAAAAATTTAGTTTTATAAACCATATAAATTCAGTCTCTGAGCCTTTCAGTTGACAGAATGACTAACTCCAATTTCAACATTTTTGAGTAATGTCATTTTATTGATATTTCTTGTTGGAAATGTTATATCTGTACAGACAGTGAGTACGTCGATTCCAGAATAGGTAATTGCAGTGTTGAAATATAGAACTGTGAATAAAGATATAAATTTTGCCACTAGAAACATCATTAAAATTAATAATAAAGAATGTTGAAATTGGAGTTAGTAATTCTGTCAACCGAAAGGCTCATAGATCTCTAGAGATTTGAAAGTACATCTGAATATATCACCTATAAATGATTATGGACTGTAGTACTATTAGTTATTAAACTGTTATTTTCCATCGTAAAGTTTACTAAAATGAAATTACGAGATTTTTATTACCTGCCACGGTAGGTAAAAAGTTGTCATACTAACTGTAAGTGGCTTATGTTGGGATTTCACAAAGAGAAAATTCATCAAATTATTCAATTATCTAATTTTCTAAAAGCTGCACTTTACATACATACATGTATATATAAAATAGCATATCTAGTTATTAAACTACAGTAAATGTATTTAAGGTTATAAACATTTCCATGAAATATTTTTATGTTTAACTTCTTTCACACAAGTACAATGAAATATTAATTAAAACAATGGCTTTATTCGGTGGATTTTGAATGTTTTTTTTTTTTCAAACTTAGAAAATAATTTAAAAGTTTACATTTAGTAAGAAAATTTCATTTAATTTCCTTGGAAACATGTGATTTATGTTAAATAATGTTAGTTTTCTGAAATTATTATTTATATTTTTTCGTCACTCTCCGTTACCTTCTACAACTTTATTTATTTGATATTATTTTTTCTAAAATTCTCGCTTTCCAACGATATATTATACGTATACCTTCTGACTATATTTCCGGAGATTCATTTTCAACCTGATAAGCATTTTTCTTTTTTTCTCCAGTTTCCAATTATCATATTCTTTCAAACTTCATATTTAGCCATTTTTTATAGATATAGTCAATAAAAGAGAGTTAATTTTTTTAAATAAACCATATTAAAGGTACTTTAGAGAAAGACGTACATGAACATTGGACATTTAAGCCCTGTAAAGTAACATCAATGGGGATAAGACCTAAATGATATTAAAGAACACTTAATTATACAATGGTACACCGAGTTTAATCAAAATCGTTAGAGCTGTTTTTGAGAAAGTTGTAAAAATGTGTTTCACCCTTGATATAAAGTGGCACTTCCAGTTAGCTGATTTTTACAAAAAAGTTGCTGTAACATTTCAGGCATATAAAAACCTTAAATATGAAATTTCAAAAAGTTCGTTGGAAAGCAGAAAGAGCTTTTGTTTTGTTTGGAAAAAACAGATCTAACAGCAATTTGACTAGTTTCAAATGGGTGAACTAAAGAAAAACAACTGTTGTTATCCGTTTGGAAGAACAGTTAATTCGATTGAAAAACCTGTTACAACAACTCGAATTCAAGATTTTTATTTGTAAATAAAGTTCACTAATTCCATTTTGGTTCTTCCATTTTGTCGCCTTATAAAAGATAACTGATAGACTTAATAAGTGATATGGTCCTAGATCCTAAGTCCTTTATAATGGTTATGACGAATTAAAATATATGATTTTTTTATGATGTCTGAATGCAGATATGTTCCGTAAATGGTTTTAATTCTCCATGGAATTTCTACTTATCCGGAATTTGTACCGAACTTCATAAATTATTACATAAATCTCTTGATCACTCATTGTCAGTGAGATTAGTTATTAGTTACCTCAACGAATACCGTGTTAGGGTTGAAGACAGTTATTCAATCAATCCTCTTCTTGAAGAGATAACAAGCTGTTACTCGAAGGCCTCGGACGGAGCAGGTGCAAAACTGGACAGTGGCCTAAATAAAGGAAAGAGAAAACCCAACTCAGAAAAACTGATTAAATTACTTGCAGAAGAAGTAAGTTGTGATGAAACGAATAGATCGGTTTGAAAGGAAAATCTTAAGACGCTCAATAGGGCCTCCTGAGAACGATAATAAGCTCCCCATCTGAGAACAAATAAGGAAGTATACTTAATGTACGGCGATCTATCTATCACCTAATTCACATGAGTTCAGGGAATGAAATGATTAGGACATGTCAAGAGAATGGATAAAGCGAGAACAGCGAGAAGACTTTATCATGGAAAGCCAGATGGAATTAGATCTTGGGAAAGACCGAAGGTAAAATGGATGGATAATGTGGATAATAGATAAGAAAGGAATTAAGAAAAAAAGAAATATCCATCAGGTGCGCAGCCAACAGGGATCACTGAGCATAGGAAATTGAGCAGGCCAAGGACCGCTACATGCGTCTGCTGCGCCAATAATGAATGAATAGAAAAATGTTTGAAGGAAAATAAAAATGGAAATGAATTTCGATATCATTTGCAATCTGGAAAGGCATGAGCCTCTTGGAGAGAACTCCTGGAGTTATAAAAGATATTTCTACAATTATTTTTGTAAGAAGAAGTTAGTCGGGGGTGCGGTCAAATGAATAATATTTCTCAAAATAGTATTCATTTGACCGCACTCCAAGACCAACTCCACATATTATCATCGCTGTCAACCATTTCTATACTATTACAATTATTTTTCTTTTTTGATATTTGTAATTCGCTTGGGTTCGTCAGACGTTGTTGTTATGTTTGAACCTACAGTTAATTAACTTTCTTGCTTGATTGAGATGGGCATATCTGTTATTTTCTTTGCGAATTATATTATAAATTGATAATGGTTTTTATTATGATTTTCTATTATTTTAAATGATTTAACGGAAATCTATAGTTTTAGGGGTTTAGAATTCTAATTTATTCACAAGTCCAATATTTTATGGACGTTAATACATGACTAAAGGTATCATGACGTATTTTGTTGTTTTTTTAATCTATGGCAACTTCATAAAAAATACAATTGAGTTCTACGATGTCCGTACTCGTTAACGAACGGCCATAAACAATTTGAATTTAAAGTCACTTATCAGTGCTTGTTGTTAGTCATTGAAATGAATTTAAATGACAACAATAAATTACATTTGAGCTATTTAATTGAACAAGATGAAGTTGGTATGAACTTAACTTATTTATTCCTAAGTACTACATATCAGTGATGCTGATTATTAATCTATTAACTTTTTCAGTTTTGACAGATTTCTGTAAACTTGCCTGGGACTATATAGTGAAAGGTGTTAATCCAAAACTATATAGTACAGCCTCAGGTAATCACAAATACTAATATTGTTTATCAGATTTCATTAATACTCATAATTATTTCATGTGTGTAGTTTAGGGATTAAGTAATTATATTTGTTCCTTGTAATATTTTTAGATAAGCTTGGAATCACCTCACAAGATTTGCAACATGTTATCGAAGCACTGGTACATCTTATTGTTGAAGCTTGTAAAAACAAGGTAAATTTTTAATGTTTTATATTTATAACTCTACCTCATACTGTGAAATTATTTAAATGTGCTGCAATGTTGTTTATTTTTATTGCTGACTAAAGTTTTATTTTTACTGTTACTCTCATAGTTTTTAAAGTAATTTACAGAATAAATAGTTTATCAGCAACAATCTTAATAATCTTTTTTTACAGCTTACCTCTACAAAGTTCAAAGAATGTTTACTTGCCCTGAAGTTTAGTGAGAAGCAAATATTTGTCTTGAGTGAGTTTTATCGAGCTAAACAAATTGACATAAACAATACTCTCTTAGCTGGGTCCGTATGTTTACCAATGTTCAAGAACCTGGAGTGGCGACTGCAGGCAGTTGTAAGTTGGCAGTGAATTTTGGAAATAATATATTTTTAATAATCACAATTCTTATACATTATTTTTAACTTTTTCTAATGTTATTGTTCAATACTATCAATATCAATACTAAGTTGATATTAAGATTTTGTTTTAATCTTACCATCTGATATTACTTTAACATTTATAAGTATATATTACACATAATTACAATATTATCTTGTTTGTAAGCGATAATGGAAATCGGAAGGGAACGGAAAAGAACAAAATGATAGTTTCAACCTTGTGTCTCATGAGTTTGTCCTCTCTGTGAAAAATTACTGAGGTACATAATTCTTTTGTTGTTTCATTAAGTTAATCAACACTTTTGATATCATCCCAACAAAATTAAATACATTCTTATTGTCCAGAGTTAGTAATAATCATTTAGGATTAATTTAAATGTACTACACTGAAAAAGTTAAATGAAGAATGTTCTAAAAGAGGTAATCAGAGAAAAATGAATATCGAAAGGGGGGAAAAAAATCTGATGAGGTGTTGCCAAGAAATAGGTATTGGTTGAAAGTAGATAGAAGACAAAGTAGACTAAGAAAGGATTAGGATGACGAAATGGAGGAATATATGATAGATGTGCGGAACAAGAGGAATTGATCTAGGACAGAATAGTCTGGAAAGATGCTATAGAAAATTCAAGTTAAGAAATCCAATAATAGATAAACAATTTTAGTAACTACTTCATGTTTTACTTGTTGATCATATATATCTTTTTATTATATTCTTTCTCACTCCTGTGTTGTTTTCTAAAATTATCTATACTGTTATATAAAACAGAAGAACTAGCTTGAATGCACTAATTTTAGAAATTATCTGCCGTTCTCATTTGAAAAATGCTTTTTCCATTAGATAGATTTGTTTATCGAGGAATGCCTTAGGCTTTATAACATCATGCTATGACCCATATATATGGAGTATTATCTGTAAGTGTCAATCTATCAGAAAACTAAACAATTATGTTGGAGCTTTTTGATATTGAATAGGGCTTGGATTTATCTTTTTCTTTCTGTTTAAGGGAAACAAGAGTTCTTAACTGCTGTATGCCAATCTTGAGTAGTACTTTTAAAACACAAAATCCTATAGGATATTGTTTTGCGATTTTTCACCTAAAACAAATCTATTTTTTAATTTTGCACACAAAAAAAAACTATTATGAGATCTTCCTTCATAGTTTGAATTAATTTAATACATCCACATTATTATTATGTATGCTTTTACGCTAAATTAAATATTTAATTATATCAATTTTATGAAGAAAAAAGTGAAGTAAAACCCTTGCAATACATGTATATTTGCCTAGAGAGAATTAGTAAGTAATATTTGAGAAAACAGAACACCTGTGTTTTGAGTCTGAGGAAGTTATCTATTTCCTACTTTGATTCATAAAAATATTTGCTGCCTACACACATGTTCATATGCGGAAGGAAATTAGTCGACTGTTGTACATGGGTGATAGATATTCAGCACGCAGTCATTATAAGGTTTTTGTCAGTGCCGACGTTTCAACCCAAACATATGGGTCATCTTCAGGGCTTGGTTCGAGCACTGATGATGACCCACATGTTTGGGTTGAAAAGTTGACACTGATAAAAACTTTATAATGACTGCGTCCTGAATATTTATAATCCAACATATTCATTTGATTTGATTAACCAATTTAACCAATTCTTGTAGTACAGTCTACAAGAATACATAATATGGAAAATTCTCTTTCTGACATATATGTAAACATTCTGAAATATATGTAAAAGATAAAAGTCTATCATTAAATCTCCGACAAGGTTTAATGGGATGATTTTCTGTTCTATATGTTTTTAATGTATAGAACAGAAACAATTAGCATGTGTAATATACATTTAACAAAGGTGTAACCGTAAGGCTCAACTAGAATACAAGAAATATGAATCATTATTTTTGTATTCTAGTCAATGTTTTTATATTACTTTTTATATCGTTTAAATTTAATGTTTAGATTGGATCAAGAGCTCTGCCGCAACAGTTGGAGCCATCTGCTCTTCTGAAGCTTTCTTTGGAGAACAGTGAACCTGGAAGCATACTACTGACTGCTGGACCGTGTGAGCTAGTCGCTGTGACTGAAGCACTGGAAGCTGCTCTACGAGAGGCAACTGCACAACATGCTCGCAGAGTTAGCAGGAGGTTCTGTCCTTCGGCCTCTTAGTTTACCAATACCAACTAAAACTAAAGAAAGTTGCCATAAATGGAAGGTATTGATTTATTTTTGCTTCCTCTACAATCTGAAGCGGAAGAAATATTGTAAGCTGTCAAATTTATTTTTTTGACATTCATATTATGTATGTATTCGAATTCCAGGAGTACAAAAAATATATATATATTTTTTTTTATAAAAATGATCAATCATTTTTATCCCATGCCTTCTTATTCTAAAGTTTCAAACTGTCATTGATAGAATTTTGTGAGAATATAGAGGTCAGATTAGTAATGAAGTGCTATGTTATATACAAAAAATCTGGTGCACGCAACACACAACTTTCATTTACCCCTCTACTTTGAATAGAAATTATTTTCTGGCAATGTTGAGCTATTATAAAATTTTTGAAGTGCATTTTAAAGGGAGCTAAAGCTTAAAGCTTACAGATAACCAACCATTAAAATTACAAAAAGTCTATTTATTACATTGATGGTAAGCAATAAAAATTTAGTTTTATAAACCATATAAATTCAGTCTCTGAGCCTTTCAGTTGACAGAATGACTAACTCCAATTTCAACATTTTTGAGTAATGTCATTTTATTGATATTTCTTGTTGGAAATGTTATATCTGTACAGACAGTGAGTACGTCGATTCCAGAATAGGTAATTGCAGTGTTGGAATATAGAACTGTGAATAAAGATATAAATTTTGCCACTAGAAACATCATTAAAATTAATAATAAAGAATGTTGAAATTGGAGTTAGTCATTCTGTCAACCGAAAGGCTCATAGATCTCTAGAGATTTGAAAGTACATCTGAATATATCACCTATAAATGATTATGGACTGTAGTACTATTAGTTATTAAACTGTTATTTTCCATCGTAAAGTTTACTAAAATGAAATTACGAGATTTTTATTACCTGCCACGGTAGGTCAAAAGTTGTCATACTAACTGTAAGTGGCTTATGTTGGGATTTCACATAGAGAAAATTCATCAAATTATTTACTAATCTAATTTTCTAAAAGCTGCACTTTACATACATACATATATATATAATATCATATCTAGTTATTAAACTACAGTAAATGTATTTAAGGTTATAAACATTTCCACGAAATATTTTTATGTTTAACTTCTTTCACACAAGTACAATGAAATAGAGTAATTAAAACAATGGCTTTATTCGGTGGATTTTGAATGTTTTTTATTTTCAAACATATAAAATAATTTAAAAGTTTACATTTAGTAAGAAAATTTCATTTAATTTCCTTAGAAACATGTGATTTATGTTAAATTATGTTAGTTTTCTTAAATTATTATTTATATTTTATTCGTCACTCTCAATTACCTCCTACAACTGTATTTATTTGATATTATTTTTTCTAAAATTCTTCGCTTTCGAACGATATATTATATGTATACCTTCTTACTTATTTCCGGAGATTCATTTTCAACCTAGATAAGCATTTTTCTTTTTTTCTTCAGTTTCCAATTATCATATTCTTTCAAACTTCACATTTTGCCCTTTTTTATAGGTATAGTCAATAAAAGAGAGTTAATTTTTTTTAAATAAAGCATATTAAAGGTACTTTAGAGAAAGACTTACATGAACATTGGACATTTAAGCCCTGTTAAGTAACATCAATGGGGATAAGACCTAAATGATATTAAAGACCACTTAATTATACAATGGTACACCGAGTTTAATCAAAATTGTTAGAGCCGTTTTTGAGAAAATTGTAAAAATGTGTTTCACCATTGATATAAAGTGGCACTTCCAGTTAGCTGATTTTTACAAAAAAGTTGCTGTAATATTTAAGGCATATAAAAACCTTAAATATGAAATTTCACTTTCATACGACTTTTCGTTTTTGAGCTAGACTGTTAATACACACCATTTTGCGAGACTTGGTTATTTAAACTCAGGATACTTCAAAATGTGTATTTCCATTGAAATCTGAGATTCAAAAATGTTCATGATTGCAATACTTCCCCTTACTATATATTACATATATAGGTAAGTGAAAATAAAAATCTTGGACTTAAGATTTAACCTATCTAATCTGATGTACCATGATAATTTGATTAAAGAACTACAAATCTTGTGTCATTTTTATTTATATAGATAGAGAGATAGCTGATGGGTCACATTGGTAACCAATTCACTTTCTATTAAAATCTTTTTCCCTGCTATTTACTAAATAATAGCATACCACTAAATAACTTTAGGATTTTCTCCTAATTCAATGTTTCAACGACCATTGTAGAACCGAGCTATTATAGAGGTAGGAGTTTCTGGTACTTATGAAAAATGTAAATGAATTGTTCATTGACCAAAAACAAGTTCTTAAGAACTGTTAAAAAAAATAATTCATAGAACAACAACGATTCATGGAGTAATACTTATTCGTTTAATAACTAGTCTGGAAATGAATGAATTGCTTTATGTATAAAGTTTGGCATTGTTCGAGCTTGAAATTGATAACCTTTGAATTTATTTGTAATATTACATGGTTTATTCTTAAAAATTTCTTTTTAACTAATTAAAACTAAAAATTATTTTTTACACATAGAACATTTTTTATTTCATTAATATTTTGATTTTCTTGTATGTTCGAAATTTGAAATTATGCTGCTTGGTCATCATGAGTCTTTTAACTCTAGTTTAAACAAATATTTGCCTTTTTCAATTTGTAAATAACATAATAGTGTTTAATTTTATTTATGAAATTAAATTGATTTATGTGAATATGTTCAATCATAAAAATTATTTTCGGTCTGCAAGACACTAATATAGATAGATACTTCTAAAAACATAAACTAATTTTGCCTACAAATATGCTTAAGTTAATTTAGTAATGTAGTAACTATAATGAAAGTTTTTATTTATTTCTAGCCTTCATTAATAATAGGGGCTAAAAATTACATCCCTAAACTTAACAGTTGAAACATTTATTATAAAAAAGAACTGTTGGATTATTTTCATGATGAACTGATAAGTTCGTTGGAAAGCAGAAAGAGCTTTTGTTTTGTTTGGAAAAAACGAAAAACAGATCTAACAGCAATTTGACTAGTTGCAAATGGATGTACTAAAGAAAAACAACTGTTGTTATCCGTTTGGAAGAACAGTTAATTCGTTTGAGATCAAGAACTGTTTCTTTTCACACATTTGCCGTTTTCTCTCTCACCCCTACTCTCCAAGACCATTTTAAAAAACTTTAAACATAACTACAACAAAAATAAACATAACTACAATAAAAATATGTTAGGAGTTTTTGTTTATTCCTAATTATAAGGAATTTTTGTTTATTCCTTATTATAATTTTTGTTTATCCCTTGATTTAAACTAGCTATAAAATATATTGAATTTTCAGTCACTATTATTTAAATTGAAATATTAATTTTCCTTGAAATAAATTTATACCTTTTCTGCTCAATTCAGTCGCTATCTCATGAGAGTTTAATAACTTTACATTCGGTAGTTGAAAAGTACAACATGAGATCAAAAATTCTGGTTCTATTACGTGTTTCAAAATACAAATTTTTGATAACCTTAATTCATCCATAATATTTATCTCCGCCATTTAAAGATTGTACTGATTTACCTGAGCAGAGGTTAGATGATAAATCTTATACAGCACTGTTGATGGTATTTGACATGGCAGCGGTCTCTATAATACTTTCGTTAGAAGAAAATATGCATTTTTATTAATCAAAACTGTCTAATAATCATACGATTTGGTGTCCTAACTGGGATGAAGATCCTTCATGCATAGTAATTTAATTATTAATAACAATAATTAGTAAATTGTCAAATTTATTGTTGTTATTTATCTTGCTCGAAAAACATAAGAATACTTTTTCAAAGCTGAGCTGAAAACACAATTCATAAATTATCTATTAAATTTTCTTCCAGCGCTAATCATCACCTTTAATATACCAAAATAAGATATAATAATATAATGAGAAAGTATAGTTTTTATCTTGGTTTCCTAAGAATGATAAAGTTAGACGATTGATTTTAATTATTTGTTAAAAAACAGAGTTAAGATATAATTTATTTTATTATAAAAATAAGTTATTAACATCTAACAAATAGAGAGCAACAATATAAAAAGAAAATATTTATAAATAAAAGACTCTTCAGAATTATTTCTTGCGTGACCTGAGCATCCTACGTTTCGGTGGAGAAGGAGGAACAATATCGTCAGATTCCTGTGAGCTAAAAGAAAATATATTTAAATTAATTACATAACTTAATGTTTTAAATTAGGAATAAGTAAAATTAAGAAACATTTTCAATGAATAAATACCATGCACTATACTAATAGATAATGATTAACAAAAAAAATTAATACCTATCCGAAGTTTCCTCCACAATCTTCATTGAATCTCCATTTGTCATATTTTTCCTCCTTTGAAAAGCGAAAAACAAGAACATGAAATGCATTACATTATATTGAAAAAAAAAAAAAAAAATGAGGAAAAGCATGCAAAGGTTCATGAATCTTGAATTGATGGAATTTCTTCAGTCTTGTATAATGTCTCTCACCTGATAAAAATATTTCTATTATTTCTTAGTCTAAAAGTTCTTTGTTATCTTATCCTTTATTTTTATTTTAACACAAGATATCAGATTACCATTATTTATAAATATTTAATAGTTACTTTTTAAAATTCGTAATACTAAATAATCTTTGAAATATTCAACTGTAACTGAATAGTCATACAAACATAATTATGCATAATAAAAAAACTAAACAGATTGTTATTTGTTTTATTTTTTTTAAACATTATTCATGGTTTCTTTTCTATCCCACCCTATTATCTATTAAAATTTAATTTTTTAAATTAGCAACCATTTTTCTGTCAATTACTAATGGTCTATACTCTGACAGAATGTAATATTCAATAATAAAAAAAATGAAAACTATTTTTGTATAATCAGTTTTGTTTTTTAAAATTAAATTAACGATAATGAGTCATCAGAGTTTTCTTTTACACAAAAGGAGAACCTAACTGGACTAACTTCACCAGTTGTGCTTATAAAAAAGAAAATACTTCTTGTAGATTTTATTCATTTTTTATTTATTTTTTTAATTGGGAAACTAAAATATACTGTAGCTAACATATCGACAGTCACACTGCAAAACACAAATTATTTATAAGAAAAAATAAACTGTATAATTCTTATTTTATGAAGTAAATTTTCTGTTCAATTTTTATTGCATCCTTAAATCAACAAAAAAAAATATTTTTTTAAAATTTATTTATATGAATATGTCCCAAGCAAAGATTAACCATCAAACCTCAAAACTGCACATTTTAATTATATTGTACTTAAAGGCTTTTGCAATATAGCTGTCAATATGGTGATTAAGTTAGCAGCGCCTAAGTGAAGATTCCAAGAAAGGAAAAGATATTGTTGATTTGGGAAAAATGGTAATGTTTGGTATCATTTAAAAAAAAAATTACTTACTTTGTTACTTCTCTGGAAGTGTCACTATCATTTATAATGGAGTCTTGAGTATCAATCTGTAACAATTGGAATCAGTTAACATTTTAATCTAAATAAAACAATTATCAGATATTGGCTCTTTATCCCATTCAAGGTGTTAAATCTACATTCTAATAATAAATATTATAACAGAAAATCGTTTAAGTAATATGAGGTTTATGAATTTTATTGAGCTGCCTGAAGACAGACGTACAAAATGGTAAACAATAAGTTTTTATTATTTGTTTATGATGGATTATTTGTTAATAATAATTAATAGTGTGCAGCAATAACAGAAAATGATAAAAATAAATAGAAAAAAGGTAATAATAAACATAAAAAATCAGAATCCTATATTTGTTTTGAATTAAAAAAGATATGAACTAATGGAGTATATATATTTGTTAAATATTACCTACTTTTACATATTTTAGCTATGTGGATAATCAAAGAATTGAAATAATCCAAAGTTAACTAAAATACATTCACATGCAATTTTGGAAAAGTAAATATGATCTAATTTCTCTACCAGTTGTGCCCAACCTTTTCATAACCTGTGACAAAATTTAAGGTTTCCCAAATTGAGCCATGCTATAACTATGCTCCCCTCCCATATACTCTTCTATCTTTACAATAATTATTACTAGAAAATATAGGTGCTTGCTTTTAAAGATTGTTTCCCCTTTTTCACAAGTAAGATCGAACACAAGGACTTAACAAACCAATAATTTTAACATAATTGCCTGAATACTGGCCTTTTTAATTATTTAAAATTCATACAAATCTAGTGAATATACATGATAGTTTATATTTGAAAAAAGTTCGTGAAGCTGAAATTTCGGTAACTATAAAAGGATATTAAAGAAAGAAATTTTTTTTTTTCATTTTTGACCTTAGGCACAAAAATGACTTAAATAATAAACTAATATTTTCCCCCTTTTGTAAAATTTGGAGAATATAACTGGAAAATGAAAACAATAACTATTATTTTTTAAATAAAATTAACTGGACTAGTATCTTTATTAACTGTATCAAATATGCCTATTCTAAAATACCCTTTCATTTCAGAAAGAGTATTAGTTTTTTTTAAATGAGAAAATTAAAATTTAAAAATATCTTACTGGTCAGCCATGTGCCGACTGGACTGCTGTGTGCCACAATGTGCACGTTGAGCAACATAGCCATAGATTGTGCATACTTGATCTATACTATCTTTTATAACACATATGTTCTGGTCTGGTTTTCATTCAGTAAGTAAAATCGTACCTCATGACAATGTTTATATATATACCAATTAATACAGATACGCATCCATATATGAGCCTTTCTGTTGAGAGAATGGCTCAAACTTAAACATTTTTGATTATTAATTTTACTGAGATTTCTAGTGGAAAAATGTATACCTTTATTCACCATTATATATTTCAATAATGCTATCACCTACTCTGGAATCAACTTACTCACTGTCTATGCAGATATTATAAATTTTCAAACTAGAAATATCACTAAAATGACGAAATTGGATTTAGTCATTCTGTCAACTGAAAGGCTCATTTATTTGACATTTTACAAATATAATGCCTTTTAAGTATAAAAAATTTAAAAATGACGCAGAGAATACCTTATTTGAAGTTTCAGGTATCGCTCCACAACTAATTGAAGCTGTAGGAGAAATATTATCATCTTCTTGAACTTCCTTCTCACTTTGTATACAAGAATCATTTATTAGTTTCTTATTTTCCTCCTGAACTGTTTCTGGTTCTTCTATAATTACTGAATGATTAGCTTTCAGTGTTTCATCGGTTTTTAATTTTTTCCTCAGCTGAACCATTTCTTCTATGAATTTTTTAATAATATTAGCATTTCTTCTTTCATTTGTCCTCTTCTGCAACCACTACAGAAAAAAAAAATATATATATCTTTTTTAAATAACAGTGAATTCAAGATAGCTGAAAAATTAATATTTAAAGAAAGACAATTAAACCTATTTCATAATGAGATTCATTGTTGGAATTTGTTAATATGCGACTTTACCAGAGCAGCTTTAGAATGGAGACCCAAAAGTATCTTGTGGTATAGAATTTTTGAATCTTATGTGACATGTGATTTTCTGTAAAATATTCTGTAACATACTCATTAAAGATAGTGAGTTGTATCTTTTATCTGCAACCATTTTTAAATTCTTTTGCTATTTTCAAAATAATCATTTGAATTATTTAGAGTATCAACAAAGGATAATCGAATCCCAATATGTACATAATAGTAACTTTTAGTGAAGCTTGAAAAATAAAGTGAGTCTACTTAAACTTAATGAAGTTTATTTTTATAAATATACCAGTTTTTATGATCACAAAAGAATCATAACAACAGTTTAATATTTATGATAATTTAACATAACAGTTATTCCAGTTAACTAAGCTAAGGAATATTGTCTAATTATGAGTAATTGGAATTTTCAAATGATTTCAACTAATAAAATAAGTCCTGAAATGGTCTTATTACAGTTAGAACTGAATTATCCTGAACTTTTCTTATTCTAGATATATAACCAGCCGATTGAAGGCAGAGTGAAAAAGTCGAGATTCATTCTGTAGCTCTGCCACAAAATAAATATCAGCCACCCTTGCTGGATTCGAACTGATACTGCTAGACTTAAGAATGATTAAGTAGAAAATGCTTTAGTGCTCTCAGCCACCATGGCCTCAAAAATACTTAACAATTAATAAAGTTGTATGTATTTATTGTAAATAGTTTTCCTGAACACTCTCTGTGATTCTAACTTTTGGATAATTAAAATACTTCATCCCCACGCTGCAGCAATTAGTTTGGATTACCTTACCGAGTTTGTACTAAATTATGAATTTCTAGTCAAAGAAAATGCAGTGTAGTGAGACAAGATTTGAAATAGATTCATTGACTATACAGAACCAGGGATCCACAAACTAGACATCCCTATAGATTTTCAAATGAAATTAAAAACAACTTAGTACCTCTACCAAATAGACAAGTGTTGTCTTTACTGGAGCTGTCAATAACACTTTATATTGTTTATTTCATGTTCATTATTGAAATTCACAACATAAAACTAACAATTACATTAATTAATACGTACTTTGTAAATTTTCTGTGCTTGAAATTCAAGATCTTTAGCCAACAAGGCATCGGAGTCATCAAATTCAAGGGAAGAGAGTATCTTCATAAGCACCTGTTGTTGTATAATGTCCATCTTAATCTCGTCGAGGATAATTTCAGCCAATCTGGCATGGTAACTACCTTTCCCTTCCTAGTTAAAATTAACAAAAGAATTCGCATTAAAATTGAACCAAGTTTCATGTATTTTCATCATAGAGGTAATATATAATAAGAATATAGATATTATTTAAAGATTGGCAGCAAAAGAACTTACGGTTCATGGTAGAAAAAACTTTTCTCTAAGAAATAACTTCTGACTTTTATCTTATTAAATCTTTTTTTTTGGGAGGGGGGGATTTCGATTTGTTATACATTCCTTCAATTGCATGCACTAATTTGTAAGTTGATTGTTAATTCAATAACCAATGGTTACAATTAGGCACATAAGAACTAGAAAGTTCTTCTGTTTGGCTATAAACGTCAAAGGTAAAAGTTTACAATATCAATGAAAGCTTGGTATTATGAACTTTTGAGCCTATTGCCCTCTTCTAAGAGCTATGATATGTTTGGCAGTGATTAGAGTGAGATGTTTGGGGTTGGGCAGTGATTAGAGGATGGAAGTACGTAAACATAATTTAATGGTACCAGCATCGAACCTTAGGATTAATTAAGTCTTTTATTATCATCACTTCACCTACTATTAGACATTTACAATTTCCAGAATCCACTCTCTAAAAACAAAAGACTGTACCACTAACAACCCATGAAGGGTCTTGGGTTCTCAGTACTATGTGATAAAGTACTGTTACAAGACCAATGTTAGAGCAGAGAGGTGATGGACCAATATCAGGCTCAACCGTCAGGTTTTCTCCCTTAATTAATTATTTAATTAAGAGAGCCCACTTTATAGAGGCTGGGTGTGCACCAGGGTCGACCCACGGCTGATGAAAAATGACTAGTCATCACCTGACTTTGAATGTGGGATCTTGAGCTCTGGAAGTCAGTGCTTACCCACTAAGCTACCCCGCTCCCTGGATCCACTCACTTGCTTTAATAAATAAAAAAACTGTACTACTCTAACCAGTAAAGGCTCTTGGATTCAATAGTAGTTAAAGAAGTGTAGTTCTACAAAAGTTATGAAAGGAGGTGATATGGTCAGCATTAAAACTCAACTGGTAGGGCTATTCACGCTCCGATAAAGGATGGAAATAACACTTTATAGAGGGTATGTTCCTAGAAGGGCACATTCTCTACTTCAAAGTAAATCCATCACTGACATAACAGAATAAATAAATAATTTGCCACAGTCGGACTCACACCTATTCAAACTTGGTTTGATACTGTTCGATATAATAAATAAATAAACAAACCTTAGGTTTTGAAGCTTTGTTACATATATCAGACCTGAGAAGGGCTATAAACAGATTTGCAACTTTCATCGAGTCAATATCTTCATCGATCAGTTCTTCTATAGCACGTAGCGTAGGCGAGAAGGCAGATAGTATTATTTCAGCTGCTCCAGCCCGCTTTGAGAATGAACTGAAGAATAATCCAAGAGGTTGCCTGATATATGGCTCCGAGTCTGAACAAATCATACACTATATTTTTTTTTTCTTTTTAAGATACAAATAAAATATTTAAACAAAAAAATATTACATAGCAACTAACATGAATACAGAACTAACCTGAAGCCGAGGAGAACCACAGAATGATCAGGTGCGACAACACAATATAGGAATCCAACCTGGATGAGAGAAGCAACTTGCAGAGGCCTTGACTTGCCTTACACTTCACCTCATTTACCTATTAATGTATTACATTATAAATCTCAATTTATAATATCATCGGTTTATAGCAAAAAGGTCATTAAGTACATTTTCGATGGAGTTGATCCTTTAAGTAAGGTTTGTGCAAATTTCAATCTTATTTATTGATACAAATATACAGTAAATCCATCAAAGTAACACAAACCTTACTAAATATTGAAAATAGGTACACTAAGTGAAGGATGTTCTGATTTCACTGAGGGAAAACTCATTAAAGTATTTAGCAATTTGATTTTATGAAATTTTATTTATGAGTAGAAACCGGATTTTCATGTTATTGCACATTTTTTTTGCTTGTGTTTAAAAACCCTGGACCCACCGTTTAAATATGTAGAATAACATATTCAAATTGCAATACAAAAAATTACACGATTTTGATTTTTGTTGCATTAAACTGCACATTTTGTACTAGATTAAATTATTAATAAATTAAATTTATAATTTAAGAAAGAAAAATATGAGGAAGGTAAATGATTCTGTGATTGGCAAAGATTGGAGTAAACACAAGTGCAGACAGACTATTCTCGGAATAGAACTAGCCTAAACTAAAGTAATTCAATAAAATAACTGCCTTTCTTGTTTTGACTCGAATTCTCATTCTTTCTTAAATCCTTCAGTATACCTTCTGGCTTTGAAGTGAATCATAGAGTATCATGAATTTGGCATTATTAATATCTGATTTCATGTTCATAAAATCAAATTTATCAAATTTTCCACAAACATTAACTCAGTTAGAATCTCGAAATTTGTCACTTAATAAAAAAATTGAAATTATAGAAACTGTAAGAGAAAATCTTTAGTGAAATAGGAAAAATTATATTTCAAAAATTTTAGTCCGTAATAGAAAAAAATACATGTTACCCTCTCATAAAAAAATATAACGACTGCATTAACGGTATAAATTTTAATGTTGAGAAAGAACCAGTAGTGGATGCTTGTTACGAAATGAGTCCCCTTAAAAAAATTAGTGAAACAGTTTCAGGGACCTTCTATTGAGTATAAAGAAAGTTATTTTTCGGTTAAACAAATGCTAGCAGATAAAGGGTGATATTTGTTTGTCCCTTGTTCACAGTATAAAAATTTACTGTAATAAATATAAAAATAAATGGTACCCATTGTATTATAATATTATGAAAGAATAGTGATATAAAAACAAAATTATATGTTAAATTAAATACATTAAATATAAAAGTCAATTTTTGTGTACTTTTTTAAATATTTACTATTAGTTTTTGCAAAATGTAAAAAAAAAAAAAGACAAAAAACAGTTAATTTGAGGAACATAAAAAATATTTTTAATTGATTATTATAAAATAGAAATATTTATAATAATTAAAGAAATATATGAATAACATTTATGTATTGACTCACATTACTGCTAAGTAGATTAGTGATAAGGGATACCAGCCTACGTGTTACTGGACTGCTGATTGTCTTGTCATTGTCAAAGTTCAGAGGACCGCCTTTTCTGAACGAGTCAGCTACAAAAAGTTAAAATAGTTAAGAGAAGGATAGCTCAAAGAATTACTTAATATTGCACAGATACAATAAAAATAAAATAGAACCTAAATATTTAATCAATGTTAAAAAATCAATATCCCATGATACGAAAGGCATGGAGGTTAAGATGGGCGGGGCATCTAGCTCATAGCAATCCATCTGGAATGGAAGGCCAAAAAGCAGATGGATAGATAGAATCAACAAATATGCTAAAGAGCTGCGTGCAGATAAATGGAAAGAAATAGCCCAAGATAGGCATAGATGGAGCAGGCTTATTAAGGCGGCAAAAGATCAACATGGTCTGTAATACCGAAAGAAAAAAAAAAAAAAAAATGTGGTCTAAGTGATGGTCAAAAGTAAAATAAAATAGTATATAAATATTTAATGAATATTGTTTTTTTCCTCCTTTATCTTTTACATATAGTAATAGAAATAAAAATTAAACTCAAAAAATATTTTAATATAATAATAATAAGAAAAATACATTATAATCAAAAGTAAGATAAAATAGTACATAAATATTTAATGGACATTGATTATCTTTATCCTTTACCTTGTAGATAGAGTAATAGAAACAAAAAGAAAACTGATAAAAACACTGTAAAATAATTATTAGAAAAAAAAATATAGCCAAAGTTATGTTAAAAGTTAAATAAAATAATACATAAATATTTAACGAATGCTGTTTTTCTTTCACCTTTATCTTGTACTTACAGTAAAACTTCATAATAATGCTCCCGCTTATAACAATTTTGTGGTTATAACGCTTTTTCCTTGCCTCCAATCTTAGTTGTTGATTTTCCCAATACTTTACGCATCATATCAACTCAGTTATAACATTCTGAATGATTTTTCCTGAATTTTTTTTACATTTATACAAAATGCTTATCTGTATTTCAAGTTAAAGGTGAAAACAATATTATGATTATTTAAAATTAATTATAATATTAAATAAAATAAACATAATTACAGTCATTAAATAAAATATACTTACAATGGTCAGTATTATTCACAGCACTGGCATCATTATAATCCCAGCCGAATGAAAATGCTTCAAACCCATGGATGAGAATAAGATCAAACACAGCTTCCACAGCAGAAATACAAGTTGTGTCATCAGTTATCTATTAAATTACAAAATGCATTATGCCATAAAAATCAATATATTTTTTAATAAAATGGTAAGTATGCAAAATGATTAGCTTTGGATCAACCAAAACAGTTTATAATCATAATACAAAAGAAATAAAATTATTGATGACTATTCTATATATCCTGGGTAATTTTTGAATGGTGATAATCAGGACTTAATAAATTTTTGGAGTTTTTTTTATCGCCTACCTATCAACCGAAGCTTGTGGGGTCATTATCAGAACTGAAAAAATGTATAACAACAATAATAATTAATAAGTATAGAACAAGTACAACTGGATAATACTTGATATTTGAATCTAAACCATCGATAGTAGTGGATCAATTATAATGATAAAATGGTAATTAATGATGTGATAATGAATGCATCAATGGTGTAAAATGCTATGAAATAATATACATAATAGAAATAATAAATGCAATAACTGAAAATTCTGACTATGTTATCACCATAAAAGATGTTCAAGTAGACACTTAGACAGACAAAAGGGTTGATGGAGGATATAAGATATGTTTCTCTCAAGATGGGAAATATTGAAAATCTATTATGTATATTACTTCATACTATTCATACAGTCATTATCACACCATTCTCTACATTAATTACCTGTACTACTACAATCCATGAAGGGTCCAGGGTTCAATATTTTGTAATAAAGTACTGTTAGGCCCTATTGTTAACCATGGAAGTGATTGGACCAAAAACATGCTCGACCACTAGGCTTTCTCCCTTAATCTTTAATTTAATGAAGAGTACCCACTTCACAGGCTGAGAGTTCCCTATAAGGATCTCTTGATCTCAGAGATGATCCAGGGCTGTTGAAATAGAATAAATAATTACCTACCATCAACAGACTTCGAACCAGCAACCTAAAACTTTTGCAAGTCAATGCATTACTCATTGAGCTTCCCTGTTCACCCAACATTAATCACAACTTCATTTATCCACTACTATCTATGGTTTAGATACAAATGTGATGTATTACCCATCTGTGCTTATTCTAACTATCATCACTTATTTTAGTTTTGTATCACTGATTATTATAACTTTTTCAGCCCTGATGATAATCACCGTTTGGTTTTGAAACGTAAGCAATAAAAAACATACCAAACAAAGAAAAATTAAGGATAATTTTTGAGTAAGCATCACTTCAAAGACAGAATATATAAATTTAAACATAAATAAATAATATATACTTTACTTGTATACAGAATTTCAGGAAGTATTCTTTTGCCAAATCTAAGTTCCAATAACAGAGAAGGGCAAGTGCGTCTAATGCTAATCTCTGGACCCTTGCATCGTCCACCTAAAAAAAATTTTTTAGAAGAAATATCATTTAATATATTTAACATATCACTATAATAATAATGATTAAAAATTGTAATATAAACTCAAAAGAATTTATTACCTTAAAACAGAGAAGTATGAAATGTTCTTTAAGACTCAACAATGTGTCATCTACTTTGGTAATTGATGGTGATTTCAGCATTTCCATAACTATCACTAGACATTTAACAAGGATGTCTGGATCTGTTCGCTCACTTCTCATCTGAACAAAGAATACATAATATTGTGCATATATATATATTTTAATTCTAGAACATATATTAAATCACTAATACTATCAATATACATTTATATTAAACATTTACTATTACAATATATATATATATATATATACTATCAAATAACAAATCACTAATACAATATATATATATATATTTTTTTTTTCCCCTACGTGGTAACCCCACACAAGGATCGTTTATTTGATTTTCCTTCATGCTCCATGCCTTAAAGACATACTACATGAATTACATTTGTTTACAATTGGTTCTTTTCTAGTTTTACATGATATACATTTTTAGTTCAAATTTATATACATTAACAAACAAAAATACAACACACAACAAAAAAACACACAAAAATTAAATCGGAAAATTAAATATTAAACACACAAAGTCAATCCAACAAAGCCAACAAGAAATCACCCACGCTGCCCATCCCTGGTTAGTAAGTCGAAGTCGATAGATCTAATAAATCTAAGAAAGTCTGTCTTGAATTCAGTAAATAACTTTTGTTCTGTCTCAGGCCAATTTCCACTTTTGATGCTTTTTATTAACTCAAATCGCTGTCTGTCAAATCGTTTACATTCATATATTATATGTTTAAAATTTTGAACCTATCCGTCTTCATCGCATAAGTCTGTTTGTATAATGTTGAATCTTTTAAGATATTGTTTTGTATTCCCATGTTCCGTAAGTACTTGCGTAAGTTTGTAGTCATTACTGTGAATGTGTCTGTAATTGTGAATTGAAATGTGTGGTATAAATCTAGTGTAAGCTTGGTGACTTAGCTGAGGTCACCTATATGTGATCCCATCTTTTGATGAAATCCAACTTTAAATTCATCTTAATATACGATAAAGGAGCTTGATGATACGATGGCGGCAAATCGCTGTTAGTTGCTTCTTTTGCAAGGCAATCGGCTAGTTCATTGCCCTCAATCCCACAATGTGCTTTTACTCATTTTAGAGTCACTACTTTCCCTACAGTTCTCATCATTAACAATTTGTTTCTAATTTGGTCAGTCAAGTAATCATGAATGTCCCAATTATTAACAGAGTCTAGTAGATATATATATATATATATATACTATCAAATAACAAATCACTAATACAATATATATTGTATTAGTGATTTAATATATGTTCTAGAATTAAAATTAAGATTGATAAGATAAAATATTCCATTATTTTTGGAATTATATTTGGTAGATAATAAACTACATCATTTTTATGTAAACTTAAGATAAAGAGTGGCATATATATATATATATATATATATATATATATATATATATATTATATATATATATATATATATATATATAAGGTACAATTTTTTTTAGGTTTTCAGTCCCTAATATCTTGTACTAAATCAGACACCTTGTGTACAACAGTGACAGTGCAATAGAAAAAAAGATTTTTTTTTTAGACTGTAGCGACAAAAATATCTAGAGCAATTAGGATAAAACTTTCCAATTTTTTTCTGTAAAATTCTTCAATGTTTTAGATATATTATATTCCTAAAAATATTAATGAAGAAACAGCAAATAATTATTAGACATTACATCCAAAATAGTATGAGAGTGGACGGAGAAACCACACATTTTCTTCGTAAAATTCAAATATATATTTAATGATTTATTAAAGATTCATGTTGCAGTTAGCTAATGATATTACTGATAAAACAATAGCCAAACAACCACTTTCTAAAATATCTTGTCACAGCTCTCCTCGAGTCCTGAGAGTTAGGCGATAAAAGGCTCGAGTCCTGGTGCAAGCCTTACTTGTTTTTACTTATCTATTTATTCATGATATAATTTGTAAGTATGTTCACATTGTTAGTGCCAACTGAAAAATAATATATCGGCAGCCACACTGCAAAAGCCTGTAAGGAAAATTTCTTTGGAAAATGAGGTATTGAGCTTTTCTGGTCAAGCTTGTCCTGGTGCATATTCTGATCCCACAAAAGAAAATCTATGATGCTTCATTTCTTCTCTATGCCCTTTTATAAAAACCTGTAATTTAGAAATGAGCAAATTGTGATGTAAAAAACTGAAAGCTATAGGATTGTGTCATTACGGTAAAAAATGTAATGAAATGAATGCTCAATAAAAGGTGATTATGTAAATAAAGAATGTATAAAGCGTTTTGCTCATAGACTACAGTATCAATTAGCTTAATTAATAGGCTGAAATTAATTTTTGTAAAATGCTTTGTATTTTTTTCTTAAATTTTTAATAAACGAAGGGCATTTCCAGCCCGGCACCTCTGGGCAGATGCCCGGGTTCCCCTGACCTGAAGCCAGCACTGCTTAACACAGAACTAGATGAAGCAAAGAAAAGAGTGGTAAGTGGGAATATGATATGGAACAGCCTTCAAAACAATCGAAACCATCTAGCAACTGAAAAATGAGCTTGACTGGAAAAAGCTACAATGTTGCCGAATTCCAGCTAGTGAGAGACAGAATTGATTTAAGTAATTGGTAAATTTAACATGGAATGAAAAAAGAACTCTAGTTTCATCTTTTCAAACCAATGAATCTTCGAAATCGCAAGAAGCTCAGAAATGAAGTGATCTACACATCAGCAGGTTACCTAGCATTTGTGAATCAAATCAAGTTGAATTGTCCAAATGAAGTTGAATACGTTAAAAACGATACTTTCATAGACTACTCCAATATGGGGCGCATGCACTCCGTTCGAGCCGCCTCTGTATTGGGAGACAAAAAGTTAATAATCCATGTGATCAAATGCTCGCTTACCCAGTCAAATGTCTTACAAATTTTTATTTGAGGTATCGTTTCTCTACATTTTGGTAACTGACTTTGTTTCTGTTATGATTTGATCAGTATTAACAAAATTATGGATGTTACTACAATAAATTTGATTGATTTTACCTTACTAATATCTGTTTTTCAAAGTAACTAAAAAACTGTAACTTAGGAAGTAACGGCTCTAAAATATTATTTGGCAGAAATATGATCAAAAAAGTTACTTAGAGCATTACATCTTTGTCTTAGGCGTGTAAAAAAAATTGAACCGAAAATATAATACTCATAGAACAAAAGTTCAAAGGTTAAAACAAAGGTTTTTTCAACTCCTGAAAATGTTTAGTCTTACAGGCTTTTGCAGTGTGGCTGTCGATATTCACATTACGTTTCAGAAATATATTCACATTGTTACTACCAACAGAAAAAAATATATAATTCTTTACAAAAATGTACAAAGCTACAATAACTTGAGTTTTTTTTTTTTAAAGATATATTCATCAAGGCTCGAGCTTTATGAGCCTTCTGCTTGAGCAATGAAGATTTGAGTACAAAGGCTGCAGAGCCGAGCATTCACGACTTGAGCCTTTATGACTCGAGACAGAGCTCGAGGCTTGTTTTTACAACATTTGCCTTTTTTTTCAGAATACAATATGTTATCGACATGGAAAAGTATAAATATAAAAGAATGACTCCAAGTACTAAACAAATTAAATATAAAAAATACAACAATTTTGAATATGCTCAATCAATTATGATTTTCAAGACTTACACAATCATCTAGAGACTGCGACTGAGATGCACAATTGAGAAGTTGCATACCCTCAGAAATTCCTTCAACACTATTCTCCACTAATGCCTCTACCTGCAGTTAAAATTAAATATCATTATCGTTATGATGGAATGTAAAAATATCACACATAAAAGTAGGTATTCTGAGAATATAGGAGAAAAAATAATGAGTAAAGTTTTAGTAAAAAAATAGCAATAAATAACTGATTACATACTATGTCATTTGTACAACATTATATGTTTATTTATAACACAAGAAAATGAAATCATAAAAAAAATAAGGAGAAATGTAGTAAGGATCTATAGAAATATTTAAATTTAGGGCTATCTCAATAATGTGAAAGAAAGATAAATGGGAAGTTTTGTTCAGAGACAGAAACAAAGAAGCACGAAGAGCCAGAGACAAATTTCAAATGAAAAATGGTCCTCCAAAAGTTAAAACAAAGTGAGTATTGACATCTGTATTCAGTTAATAAAGTTTTATGAAGATATCTGTAAAGATTTTAGACGAATGAATTCGTTGAATGAATTGTCTCAAATCTTTCCAGGGATGCTGATGAAGGCCTGAAACTTAGGCCGAAACAAAGGAAATAAAAATAAATACAACTTGTTTATTTATACTTTGTATTTTCAATGAAAACCCCAATAAACTTCTCATCAATCAAGTTTTATGTATATTTTGCGATTTAATCTTTTAATGTGATTTAACTGAATTCTCTTTCTGATCTATACAAGTTCAAATATGTAGGAAATAATTTGAATTATTGAGATTGCACTATAATAATAACAATGAGGTATATTCCAAAAACAAGGTCTGTTTGGTCATAAAAAAAAATATAAGCTAATGAGTATACAGTAATATTTTACATTTCCACATAATCGCTGTTCATAACTATACACGTTAGGTAATATTGGACCAGCATCTTTAATCCCTCTGCATAGAAGTCTGCTGCATGGAAATGAAATTAGTTGGTAACGCTTGTCTTGAGTTCATCGCTATTTTGAAATCGTTTGGTGCAAGACCAGGACTGTACAGAGGGTGATCAAAAAATCTTGAATCTCCTCTTTTGGCAGAGGTGTAGTGGCAATCGTGAAGGAGGATTATTCCATTCAGGAATTAATTATACAGACCAGTAATTGTCAGTTACCAATTAACTTTAAGCTTTTGGTTCACTTGATCAACGATGTCATTGGTTATAAATAATTGGCCTCATTTGTGCATGTATTTTGGAACTCCCAACACCATTTTTGAACTAGTTCTGTCACTCATTATTACAGATCCATGCACTAAGCGTAAGTCACAATGGATTTCAGCAGCTGAAGATCCTTTCGGCAGCAAAAATCTGATCTCACTAAATACTTCACAAATAGCGGGATTTGTCAACTGACCATTTCGATCTGCTCTTCTTGAATGGCAAGCAACTACTGAATTAAACCAACACTGCAGAAGTTTACTAAAGAGTGAGTAGACTGGGCTGTGCATGCTTTAAACCTCAGTCATACTAACCACCAGTTAAATATTGGTCACTAGAACTTAGTTTAGGAATACATCTCATATAATTTTATAAAAAAAAAAAAATAATAATAATAACAATAAATACAGAGTTTTTTAACCAAACCTAGTGAATAAAATAAATTAACCTGTGAATCATCAGCCTCGAGGGGTTCCCTGATGTCAGATATAAGCTCTGCCATGATGATCATTCTCTGCTTGACCACTGGAATCAGCAGCTCTAATAGCTTCACCAGTGGCGGGATTACTTCAGTACCTGTACCATCCGCCTTTAGAAGGTCTAGGCATGTCTGAATCAACTGTTTTCTAGTAGCATTAAAAACTATTTAATAACTTGATCAACTAAAATCAATATTACTAACTTAATGTGTCAAATAATTGTCATCATAATATTATGTTTATTATAGAATATATATTTCTATGTTCGAATATATATTTCTATATTTCTATGTTATTATAGAATAAGATTATATTAAGATGAAAATAAAAACATTTTTTTCTTACTAAGAATATTAACGTTATCAATATTAATTGACTAATAAGAGCAAACATTATCAATTCCTGTTACTTAAGTCTTATTCTAATGCATTGTATAAATACATAATTGGTGAATGGTTGACTATCGTGGATAATGAATGAATGAATAATGACAATAGTAAGAACAAGAGACAAATAATAATAACAGGTACAAAGTGTGGAATGATGAAGTAAACATAGTAAAAAAAGGTGACATAAGTATTGTAAAGGGAATCTTAGAATAAAATGTAAAACAGAAAAATATGAAGTTATATAAGAAATGGAAATAAATAGTAAAATTAAGATATAGTGAATAGAATATTTAGATAGAAAATTGAGATGTTGTAAAGTCTATCAATATGTACAGACAAAGTATGAAATAATAAAGAGTTAAAACAGAGAAAAGGAATGAAAGGAAGGAGGAGAGAAACTGAGAAGGTTGAAATAAGAAAGAGAATAAGTAAGAGAAATGATAACAACCTGACTGCTCTAAGGTAAAGATGCAATGCTCGTGTTATTGAAGGATGGAGGTGGATAGAAGGGATTCTATCCACCACTTCATTGTATAAATAGTTAACAGTTATCTGATGTTATTTCTAACCATCTTGATTTTTTTCTTGTTACTGTATTTATTAAGATGTCCTCAGGATTAATATAAAGATTCATCGGTGAATGTAGACTTATATAATTATTTATTTTGATAGCCACACTCCAACAGTATGTAAGTATAGTATAATTTTATTTGAAAGTTGAGTTCTGAACTTTTCTGGATCAATCTTGGCCTCATGGATTTCCAGAAATATAAACCAAAAACCATATTTAATATAATTGAAATGGAATATCAAATCTATAAAATAAGAAATATAAGGTTCATTTCACGTAATGAATGATTTTATTCTTTCCACTTATAGCATTTTGCAATGCGGCTCTTGTTTTATTCAATTAAATTATATTAACAAACCACCATGATCTGATTACAATAATTTCTTTTGTAATTAAAAAAAATATATTAAAAAGAAATATATATAAATATATTCAGCCTAATCATTGATAAGACAATTATGTCTTTATTAGTTCAAAATTTCTAGGATAATATAATTTATACATATAGAAAGAGATCTACTTGTTACAAGAACAAGAATGTAATGGAAAAAGTAATCTGCAATAATTAATCTCTATCAAATATATTAGCTCAACTAATAGCTAATAACTCATACTGGGTGATGAAAATATTAACTAATCAATTCCTCATATAATTGAGACATATTTATATAATCCTAGTTAAAAATATTTTAATTAATTATTATTAAAAGTGACGAATAATTCATTACATTCAGAATTCATCAATTAGGACGAAATTAGAAATAAAAATTAAATTTTGAATTTTTTTATCCCATTTTGATATATTCTAAGCGGTTACCTGCCCATCTCATCCATTAAAGAGTAACATTTTGATATCTCCAGCAGCTGGCCAAGGATATACTGATTGTCAGTATCTTTTAGGTCTGTATTGTCACCATATCTGCAATGAAACATTAGTATATAAAAATTAAAAATCAAATTGTCTCAGTTAAAGAGTAATAATTCATATATTTGTCAGAGCAATTAATTTTAGAAAAGTAAAAATTATTTCTTTATTTCCAAATAACACAACAAATGGTAAATAAATATAAGAAGATAAAAGTTATCAAAGAAAATGATTCGACATCTATAGAAAGATTGAAAAATGTAAGGAAACTATTACTTGTCATGTCAGTGCTTAGTATATAGGACTTATTTCACTTGATTACTTTATCTCCTTAAAAATAATTTATAACCATGATATGATTAATTTAATTCAATAGATCACAACGAAAAACATATCACATTTATGATAAAGAGTTAAACACAACACACATCTTCAAAAAAAATATAATATATATTCTTTATGGTGCTTAGTGGATAGTTTGTATTAAAAATGTAAACATTTCTATGAGAAAACAATCTTTTTTATATTATTTCAAATGTACACAGAGTTTTTAACACTATACATAGGCTAGCAGCTGAGAACTTATTTAAAAAGTCACTAAGGGAGGAAAGGGTAGTCCTCTACTGTCAATATTTTATTTGATGACTTAATATTATAACAAATGACGAGAAGAAAATAAGAAATGATAAGAACATTCAGAAAATAACTAATAATTAAAGTAAACAGTTTTAAAGAAATTGATCATACTCTTTTATGTATTTAGCAAAGTAGCTTAGTTCAGGTAAGATGGAGTCATCACAAGAATCAATTCCAATATGCTTCACTACGCTGCTCCAAATGGTAACAGTTTCAGGAGAAAGATCAGAGATTGGAATAAGCTTATGTCCTTCACTTTTTTCTTGCAACCTTTCGACAACAGATAGCAGTTCACTAGAGGGAAGATCCCTAGAAAAATCAAAAACAAATATATTTATTTTATGAAAAATTATAATATTAACAGACAATTTTAAAATCTATGAAATTAAAAAAAAACAAGAAAAGTCATTTTACAAATAATATTTTCATGAAAATCTACAATTGGAATGTAGAAAGTTTTTTTTAGAAATTGATGTGATTTGCATAAAAGTACTTGATTCGAGTGATAAAGTACTCATGCTCTCATCAATTTTTATTCATACACATTTATAAAGTACTTTCTCAAACAAGGAAAGTTTGACTAGGGTTCTGCGCATATTGGTACAAAATCATTTGGGTTTCCATACCCATCAGAGTTATTTTCAAAGTAACAAAATTTTAAATTGGAAATAATGACAAGCAAAATAGGTTATTGTTGTCCTACTTAAAGGCTACTAAATTATGTGAAATGACTAAATTATTTAAGTAAAGAGACCTACTGATATCAAATTCACTCCATCGTTCTAGTCTATTTGATGATTTAGGATTCCATAGATAATTGATTTTAGTCAAGTCCAAAAAGTATAAAACTCCTACAATGATGCAGTTAATAATTAAATTGACTCATATATCAAAGTGATTATAAATCCCTTTGATTAAATTATAAATAACAATAATTTAAAACTAACCTAAATACATGACCGAGAACAGCTGTGACAGTCTCCTTCTTGAACGAGACAACGTCTAAAATTTTCAAAAATTCGACCAAGTTAGATTCACAGACTTTGAACCAGGTAGGAATGACATGATCAATAATGACATTTTTCACAGAATCTGAAAGAAATAAAACAGCATTCAAGAACAATTAACATTAAAATAACATATCTTACAATCATAACAGTATATTAATTTAAAAAGAGGCATAAATTTAGACTTTAACATTATAAAAGTGGACTGAATCATGGAAGAGGGGAATGGAAATGGTCAGTTAAGCCACATGACAAATGAGATCATACATGGCAATTGTAAGGGTGTGGTATCGACAGTCGTTGAACTCCACATCAACTTTATGTAAAAAAAAAAGGAATACTTTTATGAAACTTAATGGAAAAGGACTTCTTAGAACTAATTTGATGATTTTTTTTCTATAAAACATTTGCAGGAAAATATGTTAAAATATCAATTAAGTATCGGGTAAGTAAAGGAGATGAGACTGTTTCAATTTACAACAACATAATTATTTTATAGAAATATCTCTGCAATAAGATTGGCTGAAGGAGTTCTTTTTCATTAAGTTTTATAAAATTAATAACTTTTTTGACAGTATTAATGTGGAATTTGAGCAAAGACTATGTATAGCTTAAAAAACTTTGCTTTGAAAATTAGTGTGTTCCTTCTAGGGAAATAGGATGGTCAACGTTAAACTTTGTCAAAGCAACGTAATAAAAACTTAAGTCGTTAGAAGAAAAAAATATTGTAATTTGTATATGATCCAACTTGAATATGATATGAATAGAGAATAATGGCCCCAAATATCTTCATCAATACTATTGGAATTATTTTAAATATGTTTATTATATCATTTTGAGAACTAATGACTTCTGTTAAGCATCATTTGATATGACAGACAAAATTATACAATTAACAATAATTTAAAATTACAGCATCAAATTAAATATTTAGTTAGTTAGTGCATCACACATAAATTAATGCTATTTGAAAACTCAAATATATGTTCTTTTTTTTTTTTAAATTATTGATCTTAAATTTTGAATTGTCATCTAATGGACATATTACCTGCTCGATCACCTAACCCAACAGTCAAAATTGTCTGTCTTTGGGCAATAGATAATTTTCGGGGCTTTAACCTTGTCAAAGATTTATAGGCTTCCTTTCTAACAGTCTCTTTTACATCTTGAAGCCTTCCAAATATTAAAAGCAGAGTTTTCTGGGTCACAGCTATGTTCTGAACTACTCTGGTTCTCACTTCACAACTAGGGTCAGTCTCCATATGAAACATGAAAGCTAAAACATGAAAAAAAAAATAACAATAAATTAAAACTAAATATAACACTAAAAAACTTAAAACTAAATATAGCACAACATTGTTACCCGTCAATAAATTGTAATAATTAAAATTTTGAAAAATGGTAAAACTTCACAGGTGTAACTACATTACTGTTGGACTAAGATGATGAAATTCAGAAAGTGGTAGGTATTAAACACAATGTCCATGGTTGTAACCTCACTCATTATGGTGTAAGCGCAATTAAGACTATTAGAATTACCATTAGTGATTATTAAAATTATTATTTTGAATATTTGATAGTTGATCGTTGCATTATAAAGGAAGGAGATGGTCCGGGGTGGCGGCCATAAATAGGCTAAGTAGTGGCAAAACTATTTTATTAACAGCCAACGTTTTCGACCCGACTTTGCAGGTCTTCTTCAGGGACGTGTGATCAGCTAGGAGTTACACTTAGAACTGAGTTTATCTAGAGTGTGAATTATGTGATGTTGGAATGGCACTTGTGTAGTATCTAAAATATTACTGCTGTCAAAATTAGTTGATGAGGCCTAATTACAATGGCTATTATTATTCACCAAAAAATACATAATTAAAAACTAGAAGATAAAAATGTTTAGCACCTCTAATGATCCTGCAATTTTTGTTTGGAGGATCTTGGAGTCGTTGAAGAGCCATTACTGCTTGTGCTCGAACAGAGGGGAGTCGATCCTAAACAGTATAAATCAAAACCTAATATAATAATAGAGCATTAAGTTTATTGTGTTGTCATAACAAACATAACTGATTAATTTACCTGCAGGCGTTCTAACATGGTTGTCGCCATTTTTTGAAAGATATCATCATCGAGTGTGGCTTGAGGGCCCATCTTATTCAGTAAACGATTTACGAATTCGCATGTACGAAACCTAATAGCTGGAGTTTTTCTGTTATGGTTCTGCAAAAAATAAACACACAAAGTACTGACAATGATCAACTACAGACAAAATTAATGATATCAAACTTACATTAAAAATGAACTCAAAAACTGCTAAAAGAAGAACATTATTTTCTTCATCAACCTGACTACTATGATAAATACAATATTTCGCAGCAAAATCCAAAACTCTTTCAGTTGAAAGCTGCTTCTCCATATTAACCATACATATGGCAAGACATTGAAGGAACTCCAATATGAACTTTGAGTGATTATTCTAAATACAAATAAAACAATATTTGTTAATTCTTATCAAACATTACAATACTACAATAGTTAATCATAATTTAAGGGAGTTATAACTTATTATTTAAACAATTACAACCACAATACGTAACGAAACATTAATTATTGAAAGGTTTAATAGTAATAAAACAATCAATAGATAATCATACCTCACTAAAAATGTTAAAAAGATTTTTCAAATATCTGTCATTGGAATGAGTTCGCTGAGCATTGTCAAATATTTGCATAATTCCTAAACGAGGTACATGTCCAAATATGTTATCCATAGCTTTACAACAATATTGGAACTAAAATTGTAAAGAGTAAATTTCATCAAATTATTTGAAAATAAAAAGTTTAAGAAACCTTCACAAACAACATTGTTCCCGCCCTTTGAAGGTAATCCAAAGAGGTAGTAACAGCGTTTCCACGAAGTTTTTTTAAATGTTTCTTTTGATCAGTCAGATTTTTCTTTTTTATACTTTGAATGAACTTAAAAATCCCTTCCGCCCAGATAAATACAAAATAACAAAGAATATTATATTTAATTACTCGTTTTATGTTTATTTTACTCGAATTATTTAAAAATATGGATTAAACTGTGCTCAGATTAGGTTTTGATTGAGGAAAATTCTTTCCCTTTATTTTCCCTTTAGAATTTCCCTGAAAAGGGAAATCAGATACTTCACCATTTAAACAACATAAATTAAGAACTATTGTGTTTTAAGAAACGACGACACATTTCTCGCTTATGATTAAAATATCTGGGTTAATAGGCTACTAGCATGAATTTTCAATTTTTATTCGTTAGTTTTTGATTGATGATTAGATTTTAACAATAAAATTATAAAAAGTTAAGTTCCAAAATTGTCTAGGGCGTATATACAAAGATATTCAACGTTAAAGAAAAGTGTTATGGACGAAACTACTTCACGAGAATGGAGACAGCCATTTCATGGCCTGTCAGCGTGGTCTATTAAACTACCAGTTTTGCTCACTCAGAAATGCATATTGGTGGAAATTAAATCGTAACGTAAGCCAAATCTACCTATTGCTCTTTAGATATATCACTGAAGATTTATTTGAATATTATTTTACTTTTGACGAAAAACGAGAAATTTATGTTAAGATTATTTTAAAATTCTTTATTTCAAAGTCACTTACAATGAACAATAGGCAAATCTTACATAAACAAAACAAAATTCTAACACAATTTGTGTAATTTTATCAATAAATCTCGAGAGTATTTTTAAAAATAATATAATGAGTATTACTTTTAATATATTTTTAAAAACTGTCATCCTGAAGAATGGTGTCAAAACTGGAGAATTAAAATAAACTCCAATAAATCCCACCAAATTACCTTTACCCTTCGTCGTAAACCAACGACTACCTGTCCTACAGTTTCCTTTAACAATACTCCATTTATCCCTGTTGAGCAAATCCGATACCTAGGACTCCACCTGGACAAACGACTAACTTGGAATCCTCATACTAGACTGAAACGACAAGAAACCGCTCGACGTTTCCGATTACTTCAGCACTTACTAGACAAACGCTCTAAACTTCCAATTAATTACAAAAGACTCATATACTTGACTATAATAAGACCTATTTGGACTTACGGAGTTGAGCTATGGGGCTCCACTAAACCATCGAATTCCTCTCGTATCCAATCCTTACAATCCAAAATCCTTCGTAAAATCCTCAATGCTCCCTACTTTGTCACTAATAAAACTATCCATAATGACCTTAATGTTCCTTATGTTTCAGATCTGGCCCAATCCAGATACCTATCCTTCCATAATAAACTTCAGAATCATCCCAACCCTCTCGTTTCTAACCTTGCTTCCTCTTCAATTCCTGATAACCCTCCGAGGCGTCTGAAAAGAAGATGGCCCCGTGATCTCCTAATGTAGTCATATCATTAGAGTGCTACCATTGGGTAGTTACTCAGCAAGTGTTTTCATGTCATTATATCATTATGTCCAAATTTACTAGATGTATTTATTTAATACAGTTGTAAATGTCTTTAAGAAATAAAAAAAAAACCTCACAGAGAATCTGGAAAAATAATTTCCATAAAACTACCAATAATTAATTATTTATTAATAGTTTATTTACAATTAAAATGTTATGACGATGTATAGGAATTAATGTGGTTTTTTTATTTTATTCGCACTAAAGGGTGTCCCGTAAGTAGAGGGAAATATTTAAAAGGTAGATAGTAGACATCAATATCTAAAAAAAATGTATATATATATAATTTCCAGCAGAAAAAATGGAAATTTATGATTTTTGTCTTCTTAAGTGAATCACATATTTTGTTGAATTGAAGGAATAACTAAACTAATATTAGATTTTAAAAAATCATAAATTATTTGTTATTTTTTTTATCATTCTTCAAGTGTACTACAATTTCCCCACTTTTAGAAAAACCTCTTCGTTTGAGAAATTTTAAAGCCTTATTAATTAAGTTAAAGTTTATTGGGAAAAATCTTGAGATTCACATCAAGTTATGTAAAGAAATTGTGTGAATTTCTATCCAGTTACCTAAAAGTACCTGTGTTTTCAGCGCAAATGACTACAATTAACTGTTGCAAAGCAGTTATATCTTGATTTACCATAATATGGGATGCATTGTAATAAACATAATTCCCTAAAAACATATTTTGTTCATAAAAATAAATAATTTAAAAATAATGATCATTCATGTAAGGTGGTTATGTAATTGTTCTTTTCTCTCAGATTTCTATCATAAGAATTGATGCGTATTTATAAGTGACAAACTTAATGTTTCTAGCCCTAATAATTACGTTTTTATGAAAACAAGTAAAGCAATCAGTAGTTATCTTACTTTTAAACGTAAATTTTAGTAGCTGGGACGGAAACCAGATTGGAGAGGATCAAGTTGGTTGGACTTTTCAAGGAAGTTGAAGACCAGGGATGGCAACAATCCTTCTGGGGGTTTTGAGAGGTTGGAAAGAATTAAAATTGATCGGAAATCTTCGGATGAGGTCGGATTAGAATTTTTTTTAAAGGAAGGACAACGGCTTTTTTCCAAGATGTAGGGGATACTGAATTCTGAAGGGAGAAATTGTAGATGAAATGGAGAACTGGGAGAATTTCAGGGAGACATAATTTTATTAGTTTGACAGGGATGCCATCGGGTCCTATGGAATGGGTGTGGGATTTCATTGCAGCGGTTAAAAGGTCTGTGGAAGAAAGTTCGGAAAAATAAAAGTTATTGTCGTTAAATGGTATCTCTAGAGGAAAGCAAGGACAGGAGGATAAAGGAGAGGTATTAAATACTCTCGGGGTTCCCACGACATCTCGAACTCTCACTGTATTTTGATCTGAACTGCCATCATACTAAAAATAATAATCATTATCTTATTTTTATTTAATGTTATATATTCAGAAAGAAATTTTGATAAATGTATTTATTTTTATTTAATTCCTCAAATATTCATTTAGCAATAATCAAGAAAATTATCATGCTCATCCGGTGCAGTTAATATCGCCCATCCGACGGAAGATCTTATCACCGCGTCCGATGACACTATTTTCTAAAAATGTTTTATTACGTTAAATTGTCAGAAAGAGGTATTTAATCGAATCGATTTCGCATAGTATATTAAAAGCAAGGGGTACAATCGATTTAAAAAGTTTTTTAATAACAATATATAATAATAGATCTAAATATGTTAGATTTCCTATATTGTATAATTTTATGATTTATAGTTAGAATATTGTTCCATTAGGTGAGCGATATATCGTCGGTTTATTGCAAAAAGTTGTACTTGATTCTAACTACATTTTTGATGGAGGTGAATTTTTAAGAATGTTTTTGTAAGTTTTGACCTTGTACACTAACGGATCGAGGATTTAATTTGGGGGGAGAGAGGAGGCTTTAGCCCGAAACTATTTATATATATATAACGATGAATACTTTAGAAGAAAAAGACAAAAACTAACTATATGAAATGATTTTTAAGTGCTTCTTGAAGACATATTAAATGTAATTACACGTACAAATAAAGTGTTTTCTTAATAAATGGTTATATTTTACCATTTTGGGTGCTAGAAATATAGCCTGAAAGTCCCCCCGCATGTCCGCATGTGATTTTGAATATCGATAAAAATTAAAGTAAGTGCACTTAAATGATACAAACTCTTTTATATATCTATGCAGTTAAACAAACTAATATTTTTCTGATTTCACGAACGGAAAATTCATCTTAATGTTCTTGGTATTTAATATTTTGAAATTCCACTTAGTGACTTTTTACAATAGATAGACGATATAGCAGGGATGGTGAAATGCTGCTCTGAGTACCGAGAACCAAGTACCCCCTGAATCACAATTGAGAATTCAGTTAATCGTTGGACATCAACTGAAGTAGTAATCCATGATTTGGTACTAAAAAAATATCAGTATTTGAGTAAAATAATTGATATTTAGTATTCAGAGTAGTCTCTGCTTTTATCATAATTTTAAGTTATATAGTTGATTATACTAAATGGAAAATTTAATATAAATTAATACTCATGATTTTTGCTTGAGCGACTTTGTAGCGGAAATGTTGCTAATTACTTGCAAAGAACATAGAAACTCTTTACAGGAACCAGTTCCTTGTTAATGATGTATCTTAGAACGATAACTGTTAAGTATAGATCCTGCAAATACCCGTTCGTTAAAGGGGGTATTCAGCCGAATACACTACAAATAACTGTTATCGCATAATTGGTTTGGGAACATTTCGGGAATTTTCTAGAATGAATTTATAATGAGGCGAAATTTAACATTTGAATATTATTTTTAAGAAAGGTCATAGCGTCATTCACAGCTGACTTGATTTAAATATAGCGTCTTATATATTAGGTAATCTTAATTAAAAAAAAATATTGGGGAAAACTTGACGGTTGAGCGTGATCCGGGCCTGATCACCTCCTTGCACAACCAATAGTCTTAAAATAGTACTTCCTTACTAAGTACTGAACCCAAGACCCTTCATAGGTTGTAGTGGTACAGTTTTTTAAAATTTTATACATTGTTTCTGAATATATATCCCTTTTCCGGCTCTCAGAAGTGTTGGACATTGAAGAATGAAGAATCAAAAGAAAGTGAATTTCAGGTAGAATGTGCGAACCATAATTTTGATTCCTAATTTTATACTAGGACTTAAATAAAAGTTAATCTTAAAGCGGCAGGTTTCAAACCATGTTATGGTACGAACTTGACGCACAGTGGGCCATATAGCGAATCTCTAGTCGCCATGTTATTGACAATGAAATATTTACTTCTCATTCAGGCTAATCTATTATTGTTTAAAAAAGTCATTGAATGATTTGTGAACCATTTCTTGTCTAAAACTAATGTTTTTTATATTTTATGATAATTTTCAAAATTCAAATATAACATATCTTTAGTAAAATATCACTTAGACCGAGATCATAGATTTCTTTTTTTTTATTTATTACATTCATACATTCGTTGATTACAAGCAGATTCCAAGCAGTGACTTAACACTAAACATTTTTCGTTTAATGAATTTGGTTTTTCTGATCACTATAAAATTTTTCTTTGTTACTAATAAATAATAATAATTATTAATATTTTGTAATATCGGAGCATTTGAATAAACGTTTTTCATTCAAATTGACAAAGAGTTGAAGTTTTATATCTGCTATGATAAAAAAAATATATATATAGATGGATGACAGTGATTATCTTAAAATCTAATTTATAATTTTCATGCTCATTCGAATAAATTTTATCTTAGATTAGTCATTAAAAACATCGCTTCCTTCTCTCAATGTTCCAGTTAATTCGTTATCCGAAAACTAGGGCTTTCCACTTGAAACAAAATGACTATCGCTGCTTTAGGTTAAGTTTCACATATTTGTTAATTAACAGGTTATTAGATACAAAGAATCAAAATTAAGGCTCACACTGTGTACGTAAGTTACAGACTAAAACGTAGAGCAGTTTTCTGTTTAAATGAACGTAAATAATTCATAACAACGAAAATTTTTAAGTGTGAATATCTCCTAAACAAAGCTTTTGCGGACATACCTTCAGAGGAAATTTTTTTCTTATTTTGTGCTCCTTAATTCATATTTTCATTTTGCCCACTTAACCCTGCATATTTGAGTTCTACCAATGGGTAGTTTCTCTTCATGTTGTACATGTTATATTATCAATGCCACATTTATTTATTGTATTTTCTATGTAATACAGTTGTAAATTTCAAAAAAATAAAATAAATAAATAAAATAAAAAAAATAAAAAACCCTGCATTTATGAAGTCAGCTACCATTCTAAACGCAGTAAATCTCCTAACAAAGCTTAAAATCCAGATAAGTATCAATTTAAAAATACTTGCGTTGCAATAATTCTTTTAACCAAAAGCGAATCTAAATATTAAAGGAAAGTATGAAAATAAGTATATTTCCAAAACTAGCTTCATTTTTCTCAAGGAATATAATGAAACTTGAATTTCTTAAGTATTCTTTAAACAAATAATCCATGAAAAGCCTTTCAAACAGTTTTATTCAAATGAAAATTAAAAATAATTGAATTTTATAGTACCATGGTAGTAAAAAAAAAGTTAATTTTTTATAGTACTATTTTTATAACTTTTTCCTCCCCCCTGCCTTACACACCAGCCGGTAGCGGAAGCAGTAGATTTAATTTGATTAAATTGTTAAGTTATGTAATTTTTTTATTATTTAAAATGCATTATCAACCTTATACATATATGTTTCTTATATCTTAAATTGTATTGCAGCTCAGGTTTACGCCATTTTTTTTTTCACACAGTACCCAATTACCCATATTTTGAGGTTTATGAATTGTCGTTTGAGCATAAAATACACAGGAGAAGTACAGTTTTGTCAAGCAAAAACGTGAGTGGGCTAAATTTCATTAAATAAATATTGGATCATCTAGGTAGTAACCTACAATTTTTATATTTGTGAAGATTCTCAAAAATCCGTCAGTTTCACTTAAGAGATCGGTAAACTTGATCTATTTAATGATGTACTAAAACCACTCATTGATTTTCCACGTTAATTTTAAGATAATTTGATCAAAAAAGGTGACTACAAAAATATTGGGCCGTATCTTACGATGATGAGATAAATTAATCCACGAAGTTTTCGGACGTTTTTAGATAAAAATTTGTTAAAAAAAGGGGTCTCTACCGCGTACTAATCATACTAACCTATTTGATGTTTCTTTTTCGTATTAATTTGAAGAATTTATCATATATTGAGGAAAATGACTAGTTCACGGCCTTCCCCATAATAATATAAAAAGATTATTCACTTCCTGCGGACGTCTACATTCGATAGCATATAATATATAAACGAGGGTAGTCGGTTCTTCACACCACGACTCTAGTGTCTAGTGTGCTCCTTCTTAGCATGTCTTTTCGTGTCTTGTTTCTTGTCATGTCGTTCTCTCTCGTCTGTATCCTCTTCTATATCTACTACCTCCTTCTCATTGTAAGTATAAGGATAGTGCACTTATATAGTGTACTTATATCGCAGCTGCTAGTGTTATATGATATAATAATAATAATATAGGTGTGTGTGTGTGTAAAGGCCTTCTGCCACATATGTTACCCTTAGCTATTCCCAATCCTTAAAATGCCCTCGGGCAGTGGAAGGAATTTATTACATGTATATATTGTATTGTTATGTATACTATATAGGTAAATTGATTAAATAAACATTTTGGAAGGTTAGAAAAATAAAAAAATGCTGTTAGTGCAAAATGTCGAATTCAAAGATAAAAAACGATTATTTCTTTATGATTTATTAATATAATATCATATTTTATTTTCTCCTGCTATTTTCCTATTTTGTAAATTACTTATAGCAGTCATAGACTACAAAATGTCACAGCGCAAAGAAAATAAGCAAGTAAAATTGTACATACTACCACGGGCGGATCTACGGGGGGGGGGGGGCTTTCGGGCTGAAGCCCCCCCAAAATGGAAAAATATAACTATGTTTTATGGGAAAAAAAATTTTAAAAATACCTCTTAAAGTATTGTTGTTCGTGTAATTACATTTAAAAGTACTTAAGGAATAACTTAAACACCATTTCATATAGGTAGTTAGTTTCTTTCTGTTTTTCCAAAGTAATTATCGTTATTTTTATGAAAAAAAAGGTTTCTGGCTGAAGCCCCCCCCCAAAATTAAATCCTGGATCCGCTAGTGCATACTACCTTTTGCACCAATAGCGATATTGTGTTTAGAATATAGTGCAATTATAAATAGAGAAGAAGAAAAAGAGGAAAAAGTCTTTTTATTTATCAAAATTAGAAAATATAAATTACAAAATAATATTTTTGGATTTAAAACCGAAAATCAGACGTGCTAATAGTATGTTGACCGTCAGAGGAGTCTGTGTTTCATAACAAAATTATATTTAAGTCTATTTATATACAAATACTTAATAGAAAAATAAGAATAATTATATTTACAATGTAAAAGTTATACAAATATTTTAGTTACAAAAACAGTGGTACCAAAATTCTCCAATTTATTAATTGTTAAATTCTCTGGTGAGCATTATTCTATAGGAGAAAGCAGACTTGCAGTAATTTACCAATGCTATCCAATTGTGTCCATTTAGTAAATCTATTACTTGATCCCGAGATAAATTTCTAGACTTTAGCCATTTAATTCTAAATTCAGAGAGTATCGGACAAGCAGCCAGGAAGTGATAGAGATCTTCTGTTTCGTTTCTATTACACATGCTACAATTATTATTTGTTTGCTGGAAGGGTTTATAATTTTTTTTTTAACTTTTATTATGATATTTACAACTTTATTAGTATGAATACATCAAGTAAATGTGTACATAGGAATATAATCACATGAAACACGCTTGTTGAGAAACCACCCATTGGTAGCACTCTAATTTTAATGTTTATAATTTAAGTTCAAAACATCAGCTCTGATTTTAATTACCCATCTGGTCACCTTCAATGAGCTTTTGTCGTCAATATAATATAATAGTGTAATTATAAATATTGAACCTAAATTTTTATTGATATTATTATTAAATTCGTATTAATTTCACTTCGCTATTGAAAGAAGACCGTCAGTTTCAAGATCACACAGAGCACGCTATTCCCCGGGTACCGATGGATGGCGAAAATAGCCGAGGATTGACGATCCTCTTTACTTTTGATATACCCAACTTGATTTACATATGTTTTTTCGAGAAAAAAGTTGCCCTACGAAAATATTGGGCTCTTTAGCGTGACCTCCACCCCAATATTTTGTGGAGTCGAACATCCCACAATATTTTCGTAGGCTACATTTTTTCTCGAAGCAAATTATTGTTATTAATTGATCTAATAAGAAAACGATCAATTTCTGTGAGTTTATTTGAAAAAAAAAAGTTTTAGATTACGATAAAATGATGCTATTCTAGAAGTTTTAGATGAAAATTGATAATTAGATAAAAATGAAGAGTTATCTACCGCGAACTATTAAATAAGAAAAAACTATTTTCTTCTAATTAACGAATAATAGATTGTTGTGCTAATGCTTACCCGAACCAGCAAATTCCTTCTGGCTGGAGCCCACACTCCACTAAAATAACAAAAAAAAAAATTGAAAAATAATTTTTTTTATGGCTCCATATTTTTTTATATAAGTTTTAGTATGACTGGAATCTGTATTTAAATTACTTTCTGTTATTTTGGAACTAGCACTTTTCCTTGTAACTTTTCAAATAATGGTCATAAATCAAGTACAAATGTATAACTTTCAACTAAGCCCAATTAGTGTTTATTTCTAACCACTTAATTTTTTTTTAAGAACTTATTTATTTATTTAAATATTTATTTTCCATTAAATTTGCCACTGCGTTGTAACGCATCAAGCAAATGTGTTGGAGATTATTCTATCTTCTTGTATTCTTGATATTTTCTTAACTTGCCAGCAGAAGATCTCTAGGCCACTGCCTTTTTAGTCGTCGTTGAGGCTCACCAGGTAACAGGGAGGAAGATAAAGATAGAACAAGTGGATTTGGATAATTGAGAGTAGAAGAATGAAATGTTGTGTATGAAGGATTTTACTTATGGTATGTTCATGTCTGTGTGTATGGTGTGATTTGAAATAAACCAAGGAACACCTACGATTTTACGAAGTATTTTGGATTGTGTGGTTTAAATTTTGTTTATGTGTGTGTATTTTTGCGGAGCCCCAAAGTTCTGCTCCGTATGTCCAAATAGGTCTTAGTATGGTGGTGTAGATTAGTCGCTTGTTTAGTAAGTTGAGTGGAGATCTGTAGTCCAAAAGATGTGACAGTTGTTTGTATTGACTGGTCAGTTCTTGTTTTTTATTTTAGTGTAAGTGTTCTAGGTGAGTTTTTTGTCCAAGTATAGTCCAAGAAACCGTATGTGTGTTTTTGAGGGAACTGGCTTTGTGTCTATTGTCACAGCAGGACACGAGATCTTCCTCAGAGAGAAGCTAACATGAGTTGACTTGCTGGGATTGATTTTAATTCTTCATTTGTGAAACCATTTTTCAAGGTCGTGGAGGTGATTTTTAAGAGCTATTGAAGCGATAGTGGGATTTTTGTGAGAAGAAAGAAATCCTCAGCAAAGCTATAGAGAATGGTGCAAGAGTGCTCAGGGATATCAGAAGAATCATGAATTGAAGAACTTAAATAAATAAAAGTTAAAGTTCTACTAGCAGCCTCGAACTTTATTTTTTTTAAAATCTTTAGAACTTTTATTTTAAAAAATATTTTCCATAAAAGTTTAAGCTCCTGGGAAAATATTAAAATTTCCTCTGAAAAGGTGCGCAAATCTTTAAAAACCGGCGCAATAGCTCGTACAAGTTTGACGAAATCCTTTCCCCTACTCTTATGGCATTGCTCTATTATCTAGAAAACAACCTTAAAAACAGAATTTTATTGACCGACATAGATGTTCATTCAACTAGAATCAAGCTGCTTTTGCAGAGTCTCATGACAATATACTTATAAAGAAAGAGGCCTGCACGACCCAATGGAAGAGACATTTTATATCCATTTATGAAAGAGGTTAGGTCTAATTTTAAAATGAGTATGGGTCTTCTCCACCAATAGGAGACATAAAAATCACCCAATTATGAGGAGGTTACGAACCACTAGAAAAATTAAAAAAGCATAAAGCAACAGGGATTGATGATATCCCAGCTGAGCTTCTGAAGTACGTAGGTGCTTCAGACTCTTTACAACCTCATACTGGGAGTTTCAGGGTTAAATGGCCAAACTGCAAAAATGAACTCAGGATCTCAAAATAAGAAAAAAAGTTTCCTCTGAAGGTATGTCCGCACAAGCTTTGTTTAGGAGATATTCATACCTAAAGATTTTCGTTTTTATGAATTATTTACATTATATGAAATAAATAAAACCTATTTATTTGTTCTAACTACCTTGTTAAGTAAATGTAAACATTAACATTCATATTAAATGTTGTTAAAAGTGAAGGTATGTCCGCAAACGCTTTGTTTAGGAGATGGATTTCATAGAATAATAATATGGGCTTTTATCCCTAACTGTGTAAAAACTATTGGCAACACAGTTATTAATACTATTATAGAGGATTAGTACTATTTGGAATTACCATTGGGAAGTCTCAATAACATAACGGTAATGGCTAAATGTTAATTATCCCAATCTGGTCCCAGATTGGCCGTGCAGGACCAGTGGCTTGGCCTGCAAGCTGTCTGGACCTGACACCACTGGAGTTTTTGTTTGGGGTGACATTAAACAAAAAGTCTATGCAAGTACGGTCAATGGCCTTAATTCCTTACGAAGAAGGATAATTGAATCTTGTGAAACAATAACACTTATCCAGGGCTGTCTTCCACTGTTGCTGTTGAAGAAAGATGCCAACCCTGTCTCAATGCTCAAGGTAATCACTTTGAACAACATTTAATATGAATTTAATGTTTATATTTAATTAATAAAGTAGTTGGAACAAATAAATAACTTTTATTTACTTTATAAACAAAGCATTTGCGGACATGCCTTCATATGTTTTTTTTCTCTTGGTTGGATGTCCTTAATTCATATTTCCAGTTTGGCCACTTAACCCTAAAACACCCTGAATACATATGGGTCAACGAGGTGATTCCAGATCGAAGGGTATAAATCCATAATTTGCTCAATCTACAAGAAATGAGACCCTCATGATTGTTGCAATTACCGTGGCATTTCACTTCTACTCTGCGCTTACAAACTTTTGTTCAACGTTTTATTTAAACGATTACTCCCGTTCGCCAACAGAGAAATAGGCTCTTATCAGTATAGATTCCGCAGAGGCAAATCTACAACGGATCAAATATTTAGGCTTTGAAAAATACTAGAGAAGGGTCGGGATTATATTACTATTGGCTATTAAACTGTGAATTATATTAAAATTATATTAGAATTGTTCATTTACAATTAATTTATCCATATTAAATATAACAATTGTATTTTTTGCTAGGATACTGCTTCAAGTGCCAGCCAAATGCAGTATGGTACTACTCTTGCTCTAAGTACAAATGGGGCTTATAATGATGTAGGTACTTCAACTGAAGGATTTACCGAAGTTACAGGTGATTCAACATCATCGCTGTCTGAGCAGACGCAGGAAGTTACACCACTGGTATTTATTATAAAGGTTTTTTAACCAAACTGTTAAATATTTCCTTTTGATTTCATATATTACTTTCATTTATATCTAATATATAGTAAGAGAAAATATAGCGATTGTGAAAATTTTCTAATCTTAGTTTCAACGGAAATACACGTTTCGAGGTTAACCGAGTCTAAATAACAAAAACAGTTTTTTTTGTTTAGTTAATACTCTTTTCCTCGGGATGGATGAAATATGATAAACTTTTCTTTTATTTAAAATTAATGAATATGTATTTATTTATTTATTATAACAATGGAAGGTGCTCCTCAACCTCTTACGGGTCATTTTAGCCCTTACAAAATAAAATTAATGAATAAATGTAGAATTAAAAAATCTGGTGTGCCCACTCACACGACTTTCCTACCTATTCCAGAAAAGTTTTTATATATTCACATATGTCTATCAAGAAACAAAAAAAAATTGAATTAGAATTATTTTCCTGAAAATTGATCAAAGAAAAGATTTGAGTACGATTTATTTGAGAAACTAAAGCAAAAAATTTTCTCACTTTTTAGTCATCTTTCTTCTCTCATTCACCCCTTTTAGACACCAGGATATGAGCCCGTAATCTTACACTGGGAATTAAATAGCTGTAACTGCGTTAATAGTTTTCCAAAATGAAAGATTTTTACATAGTTTTGTAGGGAATTTCATTCATCGTAGGGGCCTCTGAAACGTATAGATCCGTCGAAAACGACATATCCGAAATTCGTCCCGATCGCAATACTTTCCTTACCTAGTATAGGCAGGAAAGTCATAAATTAAAACATGAGTAGAAAATAGAATAAGCTGTATTATCGCTTGTTCGATTCCGATCATTTTTTTGTTTGTTTTGTTGGTAATTTAATTACCTTTCAAAAGTTTTATTATAAATTTTAGAAGGTTAGGCCCCAAAACATTTTTCTTTTATTTATAACTTTTTTTCCTGAATTTTTTCGAGAATTTAGTCCATGTATGAAAATTGAAAAAAAACAATTATTAGAACATTATAGAAAAAACGATTCATCAAAATTGTTAGGGCCGTTTTCGCGCTACAGCCTACAGAAAAACATGTTTTTCATCTATTGCACATGGAGGATCCAATTTGTGTCACAGGCATCAATAGTCAAAACTCTAGAAAATAAAAAAAAAAGGAACGAAATTGGTTCAGTAGTTCCCGAGAAAAACTTGGTACAGATAGACAGACCAATAGTTAAAAATGTGTTTTTACGGACTCAGGGGGCTCTGAAACGTATAGATTCATCGAAAACCGTATATCGGAAACTTAATAATAAACTTTCCTTACCTAGTATAGGGAAGAAAGTAAAAAATATATCTATTTTTTTAATAATAATTAATATTATTTTCTCATATATTGCAGTTTTGTATCTGTAAATTTACTTCTAAAAGGAATCATACAGTCCTGTATCAGATAAACCTTTAGTTAATATTTTATTCGCAAAAGTAGTGTCATGAAATAATTGTAAACATAATTATTGACATTAATTTAATTTCTATGTTTTTAGGTGGAGGATGATGAAATTGAGATCTCCAGTAAGGATCTTAAGCTGTACGGTCCTCACTTGCAACTAGACGGCTGCGGTTCAAAATTACACGATTTTCTAGTACGTGATAGTGTGGAAAGTGACTATGTTGATGGGTTTAATAATTCTCATCAAGAAAAATATTCAGGACTTGTTGGCGAGCCCGTAACTACTGAAGAAAACAAAGACTATAGCATAAGAGATGTTCTTGATGCTGAAATACATACCGCATTGCGAAAAGGGATTTACAATATTTCTAAAAAAATTATCGACGAAACTGATGATGTTAATATTAAAGGTTTGGATGGTCAGGTACCTTTGCATTTGGCCGCGGCGGGGGGCGACGAATCTCTTGTGAATTTGTTGTTATCAAAAAATGCAAATATAAACGTAATGGACGATTGCGATGACACTCCTATTCATTATGCAGTACGAGGAGGACATCTCAATATAGTCAAGATACTTCTCAATCATCGTGCCAATGTCAACATTAAAGGTAATTTTGATATGACGCCGTTGTTCATCGCGGTTGGTTTCGGCTATGAATCTATAGTAAACTTAATTTTATCGAATAATGTAAGTGTGAATATAGGGGATGATGTTGATACATCTCCTTTGCATTTAGCAGTGATCACAAAGAGCATAAACATGGCCAAAGCTCTTCTCAATAAAGGAGCTAAAGTCGATAGCCAGAGATATGGCGGAGTGACACCTTTGATGATCGCTGTTTCGAAAGGTGACGAAGCGATGGTGAATTTATTGTTGTCAAAGAATGCAAGTGTGGATGTACAGAACAAGAATGGTAAAAGTGCCTTGCATTTATCAATAATTAAAAATAACATGAACATAGCCAAAGCACTTCTTGGTAATGATGCTAATGTCAATATCCAAGAAAATAATGGAATGACACCTTTGATGTTAGCTACTTTCAATGGTGATGAAGCTATGGTGAATTTATTGTTGTCAATGAATGCAAATGCCAATATAAAAAACGTGGATGGCTTATCTCCATTGGATTTAGCAGTAGGTAAAAAGAACATAAACCTGGCTAAAACTCTTCTTAAAAACGGAGCAGACGTCAATAGCCAGAATAATAATAGAGAGACACCTTTGATGTTCGCTACTTGGAATGGTGATGAAGCTATGGTGAATTTATTGTTGTCCAATAATGCAAGTTTGAATATAAAGAACAGGATAGGTAAAAGTGTCTTGCATTTAGCAATAATTAAAAAGAACATAAACATAGCCAAAGCTCTTCTCAATTACGGAGCTGACGTCAATATCCAGAATAATAAAAGAGAGACACCTTTGTTCTCCGCTACTTTGAATGGTGACGAAGCTATGATGAATTTATTGTTGTCAATGAAAGCAAGTGTGAATATAAAAAATGTGAAAGGTTTCACTCCCTTGTATTTAGCACTATATAAAAAGAACATAAACCTGGCTAAAACTCTTCTTAATAACGGAGCAGATGTCAATAGCCAGAATGATAATAGAGAGACGCCTTTAATGTTCGCTACTTTCAATGGTGACGAAGATATGGTGAATTTATTGTTGTCAATGAATGCAAGTGTGAATATAAAAAACGTGAAAGGTTTCACTCCCTTGTATTTAGCAGTAGGTAAAAAGAACATAAACTTGGCTAAAACTCTTCTTAAAAACGGAGCAGACGTCAATAGCCAGAATAATAATAGAGAGACGCCTTTGATGTTAGCTACTTTGAATGGTGACGAAGATATGGTGAATTTATTGTTGTCAATGAATGCAAGTGCCAATATAAAAAACGTGGATGGTTTATCTCCGTTACTTTTAGCAGTAGGTAAAAAGAACATAAACCTGGCTAAAACTCTTCTTAATCACGGAGCAAACGTCGATTCCCAAGAATATAGCGGAGCTACACCTTTGATGACAGCTGTTTTGAATGATGATGAAGCCATGGTGAATTTATTGTTATCAAAGAATGCAAGCATGGATATAAATAATAACGAAGGCAATACGCCCTTACATTTAGCAGTGATTACAAAGAACATAAACATGGCCAAAGCTCTTCTTAATAACGGAGCAAACGTCAATTTCCAGGATTATCACGGAGGAACTCCTTTGATGATGGCTGTTTGGAATGATGACGAAGCTATGGTAAATTTATTGTTGATGAATAATGTAAGTGTGAATATGAAGAATTTGAATGGTACCTCTCCGTTACATTTTGTAGTGTTTCTTAAAAAGAACATAAACATAGCCAAAGCTCTTATCAATAATGGAGCAGACGTCAATATCCAGAATAATGAAAGAGAGACACCTTTGATGTTAGCTACTTTGAATGATGACGAAGATATGGTGAATTTATTATTGTCAAAGAATGCAAATGTGAATATAGAAGACACAAATGGTATCTCTCCCTTACATTTAGCAGTGATTATAAAGAGTACAAAGATGGCCAAAGCTCTTCTCAATAACGGAGCTAAAGTCGATAGCCAGAAATACGATGGAGTGACACCTTTGATGACCGCTGTTTGGGTTGGTGATGAACCTATGGTAAATTTATTGTTGCTAAAGAATGCTAGCGTTGATATAAAGAGTCTTATTGGTGATACTGCCTTGAATTTAGCAGCAGTTCTAAAAAACATGAACATAGCTAAAACCCTTCTTAACAATGGAGCTGACATCAATATCCAAGACAATATCGGAATGACACCTTTAATAAGAGCTGCTTTGAATGGTGATGAAGCTCTAGCAAATTTACTTATTTCAAAAAATGCTTCATTAAAAATAAGAGACAAATTTGGTAATACGGCAATACATTTTGCAGCTCGTAGTGGAAACATTAAAGTCATCAAGATCCTTCTTGGTCACGGTGCGGATGTTAATAGCAAAGGAGACAATGGTAAAACACCTCTACATTTCGCTGTTCGAAAGGGTGATGAAAGCTTGCCGTTGTTACGAAAATTATTAATTCATCATCATGGAATTGCGAATGATCACGGATTAAATAAAGAAGAAAAAACTTCTTTCTCAATATCGCAGACCTCCTTTGGAATAAAAGCAGACCTTGAGCACGACGAAACGCAGACTGTCTTAGTGATGCAGACGCTCTTAGAACAAGGAGCCGAACTGAATTCACAAAATTATGTCGGAAGAACATTGCTCCATGAAGCTGCTGCTTTAGGTTATGTTCGAATCGTTAACTTCCTGCTATCCCGGAATGCCAGCCTCAATATCGAAGATTATGTTTGCTTCACCCCATTCCAGTGGGCGGCTAATAATGGAAATATAGATATAATAAAGATCTTGTTGCAATACAGGGATGATGTAAATAGAAAAGGTTGCAACAATGTCACAGCCTTACACTTAGCAATCAGAAGAAATGAAACTGATTTTATTAAATATCTTCTCTCGAAGAATGCAGATCCGAATGTGATGAGTGAAGATGGACGAACTCCTTTAGATTTGACTTTTGATCCTTTGTTAAAAGACATTATGAAATTACTTCTTACTCATGGAGCCAAAGTGGAAGATAATAGCTTCTTAGGATCAAAAATTCTTTTCGATGCTGTTTCAAATAAATCAATAGAAATTGCAAGACTCCTGTTGAATAAGAGCATAAATTTTGACTCCTACCCGACAGCTATTCTTAACCATGCCATTGGGACGCGGTATTCAGAGGGATTTAATATGCTCATCTCTCACGGAGCAAACATTGTGGAGAAAGACATCCATGGTAATCGTCCTCTTACTTTAGCAGTTATGTCTAGAAGTACTGAGTTCGTTAAATTAATTTTAGAAACAGGATCTAGTAAAATCAATAAGAAGAATTTTCAAACTTTTTTGGATGCAGACTGTGACGTAAAGCTTCTTACGCCAAGGAACGACGTTGTACAGATCCTTAATGCAACAGCTCTGCACGTTGCATCCTTCTACGGTCTGAAGGATATTGTCATACTCTTGATATCAAACAGAGCTTCTTTAGACCTCAGAGATAAACGAAGATGTTCCCCACTCCACTATGCCTGTGAGAATGATCATGTGGAAATAGTAAAACTGCTATTGGATTCTAGATGCAACAAAAGTCCTGCCGATATCAACGGCACAACTCCCCTTCACATAACCTGCAGAAAAGGTCTGTTTCCAATCGCTAAATTATTACTTTCTGATCCACCAGCAGCCATAGATCAAGCTGATAAGATTGGATACACACCTCTTCATTTTGCAGCTATGAATGGATTTCTAGACATCACCGAATTGTTATTGAATCTTAATGCTTACAGAGAAGCTAAAACTTTAGATTTCAAAACTCCACTACATTTAGCTTCACGAGGGGGTCATGAGAAAGTGGTGAAAATATTGTTGAGTAAAGGGGTTGAAAAAGATGCATCTGACATTGATGGTATGACGGCGTTACATTTCGCTGCGAGAGAAAGGTATTTGTATGTTGTTAAAGAGCTGATTCATTCCAATGTTTTCATCAATAGCAGAAACAGGAACGGTAGCACACCATTGCACATGGCATGCGAGCGCAACACCAAATCGACTCGAAAGAGAGGAGAGATTATCATGTTTCTGATAACATACAACGCAGATGTCAGTGCCAAGGACCACGACCAAATGACACCGTTACATGTCGCATCAAGAGACGATTCTTCAGAAGTTATAGAGATCCTTATAACACTAGGAGCGGATCGATTCAGTAGGGATAAATTGCTCAACCTACCAATCCATTACGCTGCATTATTCGGTCATTATGCAGTAATAATTAACTTATTTGAGACCGGAATAAATGATAGCAAAATTAATTCGAGGCAAAGTATATCTGTGAATATTAATAAAGAAACCCCTTTGTTCTTGGCTTCAAGAGAAGGGCACACTAAGGTGGTAGCTTTGCTCTTACAGATCGGAATCGAAACTATTCAGCCCGACACCACAGAAAGAACTCCTTTGCACCGCAGCGCTGCCAGAGGTCACTTCGAAATAGTAAAACTCCTTCGTAAAGCCCTTTTAAATATTGAAAAGGAAGATAAATGGGGATTTACAGCTTTAAACTACGCTGCTTCTTGGAAAGGACACCAGGATGTTATAGGATACCTTTCGACTACTCAACTAAATATCACATTGACATATTATTTAAATAAATCAAATCCTTTGCAACATAATTTGGATAATCATGCTTCAATACAGATAAAAAAGTTACCTGGTATAGTATCGGGATTACGTTATTCTTTTAACGTAGACCCAGGAAATATCAGGTACATTTATTCTGTTGAAAATGAACATGACTGAATGAATATTTTCATTTGTTTTCGAGGAAATACTCAATACAAATATAGTTGGCTGCCATATAATAAATTAATATCAAACATATAAAACTAATTTAAAGATAAAAATTCATTTGTTTACAATGACATCATCTCATTGATTCATTGATCACGCTTTTAGATATAGGAACAAACATATCATAAATATCACCATTTGTAAAGCCCTATTTCTTTCTATGTTGTATTATTTTATTAGAATTTATTTACTTTATTTTTTTATTATTTATTTTTCTATCATAATGTATATAATGTATTTATGTTTCTATTATTTAATTTTTGCTATACTGGTATGTACTCCTAGTGTTGTTTATTTCTATTTTGGTTTCACTAAATAGATTACTTTTTTTTTTACTATAATATAGTGAACATTTTTAAAAAATGCACAAAACCATGTTATGATTCTGTCTATATTTTTTTTGTTTTAAACAGACATAACAATGTTTTTTTTTTTGTTTTTTTTGATAATGGAATGCATTTTTATATTATATATTTTTAGTAACTATGTATATATTAACTTTTTTTAAAATTATTTTCTTAAATAGATCTTTTGGAAAAATATAATCTAAGAGAGTAATGTTTATTTTCTGTTTACCTTCTATTCCATTTTATTCTGTCTAAACAGTTATAAACTTGTTAAGATTGGCTACATCGTAAAATATAAACTGATAATAACTCTCCTAAATCACATATTTTTGGTATGAATTAGAATTATTGTGTATTGATTGTGTGTATTCGGTTTAAAATATAAAGTGGTTTTATTGAAGTGTTTAATATTAAAAACATATGTTTTAAGAAAGCTAATATTTGATTGTATTTCAACAATTAAAATGAACCTATAGGTGAAAGTCAAGGTCTATAAAATTACCAGGTTTGCTCACTTAAAAATGCGTAGTGGGGGAAATCGTGACGTAAGGACTAGACTGCCAAACTTACCTATTCTTACCTGTTTTCATTTTATATCTTTATTATTCAACTCTCGAGCTGTTTTCAAGATTCTGTAAAAATCAATTTTAATTTAGTTATTTTTCTTTGAAATGTATAATTATAAACAGTTTATACTAGTCTATACATATATAGATATATATACATATGTTATATATATATATATATATATATATATATATATATATATATATATATATATAACAGTCTATACATATATATAACTTATTCTATATTTTTATTCTATTTTAGAAAAAACATTTTAAATAACACTAGCTGTACTAGCCACGCGTTGCTGTGGCTCAGTCTGGTTGAATAGAAAATGAAATATTAACAGACTTAGAATAATAGAATCAATGTCCAATACGAAAAAACTAAAACAGTCAGTAAATCAACAAACACATTTAGACTATCTTAATACTTTTTATGCTAGCGCAAAAGACAAAATTAAAATATAAAATACACAAACATGACTCCAAATAAAACAACTGATCTCTAACTTCTAAATAAAATAAATCCATTCTTGAATGAATGTGTTATAGAGGAACTGCAGACCAATACAAAGGAGATACACATTTTTTTAAACTTATTTATTGAGAAATATTACAATCTGTCACAAGTAAGGACATTTATAATAGTGTCCAGAAAGCACATTCGCACTCTATTTACAATAGATAAAAATAAATAATACATTAATAAAGTAACCAATTCAAGGAAATGACTTCATTAAACCCTTTCACTTTCTCTCCATGCTTTAATACATTTATATTTTTTTCGAAGACGTTTCAGGTAATTTTCAAGTCGAAAATGTATCTGTAATATTACAATACATTAATAAGAAATTAGAATTTTCAAAGATTGTTATTGTATGTGCTGTCACATATTTTACATATATGTTTGTGATTAATGTATTGTAATATTATAGATAAATATTTCGACTTGAAAATGGGCCAAATGGCCAGAAACGTCGTCGAAAAAAATATAAATGAATTAAAACATGGAGAGGAGGTGAAAGGGTTTAATAAAGTTATTTCCTCGAAATGATTAATTTATTAATTAATTAAAATTGCTAAAAAAATTTGGAAGATTTAATAAAAAAATAAATAATACAGAAAAATACTACAACTAAAAGCATATCTGTATAAACAAAAGAACTAAACTAATCGAAATAACGATTAAAACACGAGCTTACTTTTATACAACATTTACAGAACCCATACACTCAGGAGAACTCCTAGCAAAGCCTTTCTCACCACTCGTGGAAGGAAAGGCAGTGCCTTTTGCTCAGTCGCATTACTAGTATTAAGGACCAGTAGAGGATGAGCAGAGACGCAATAATCACACATACATGGCTTAAGTGGAAGATCTAGCCATTGCCAAAAGAGTTTGCTCGAAATCTACAGAAAGACTACAATGGAAATATAAGACTCTTCTGGAATAAAATAAAAACCCTTGAAGGCAAAAAGTTCAAACTAATCGGAAATGTGAAAAATACCTGAAAATGTTTGAAGATACTAACTAGTATGTAAATGAAATAATAGAAAGAGGAACAGAAACAGAACGCTGACTGTGACGCCACTATATGGAAAGAAGGCATAGTGACGGCTATAGAACCCAAAAATGGGAAAAGCGGTCGAAAGACGTGGTATTTTTCCGGAGCTTATTAACTTTGGAGGGCAGGAACTAATTAAAACATTTTAGCCTTTATTTCAGAAATTGCATGATGAGAAATTTTTTTTGGAGTTATGTAAGGACCAAACAAACTTATACAATTGGTTATATTATATATTCTGGATAAATGGATATTGCTTATTTCCTTTGCATTTATGATTCCTGACCTAAATCATTCTGTTTTTTTTTTCTTCTTTTTTTCCAACTCTTTGTGCGCGAAGTGTTTAAGCATAAGGTATTTTTAAACCGACTTTATATCAGTCTGAACTGTGATGAGACATGTATTTTGTGATAAAAACACAGCACAAGATTTACGAAGAACTAATGCGAGTACACAGATGCTATAGCTGCGAGTGCAGTATCTGTCCACTGTCAGGTCGGCGACTCGCACTGTGTAACCACTCCCTTACTTAATTTATGAATATATTAATATGTTATATGTTATATTCATTAACAAACAGACTTCTTGTCCATTAATTAATTAATATGTAGTAGCGAGAAGATATTTCATTACTTTAAATCATAATAATAATTAATCCTTTTATAAAATCAGAAAGTTGTAAGCTTGTTGTAACAGTATATTTAAAAGGATTTGTATCTTTTCCATGCATTTATAGTGATTTGATATCGAAAAATAAAGTCGAAATTCACAAACAGTATATTTGAAAGTTAAATTATATCAAAATTCACTTATTATTTGCAATAAACCGCCGATATACATACATATATATATATATATATATATATATATATATATATATATATATATATATATATATATATATATATATAAGTAAACATAAATCATATTTGTGAATATGAAAACAATAATGTGATTTGTTTTGTCGAATCTCTGTATCCTCAGAAAATGTACATTAATTGCAGTTGAGAAAATAATGCTATTGTGAGCGACACTGTTGTTTATTTCACCTGTTGGTGATTCTGCGCGGCAAACCCGCAATACTGAAGTGCGTTGCCGAACTGTGGGAGGTCAGCCTGGCGTTAATTTTATTCAGGCACAGTTACATTGTGTTCCAGGTAAATATAATTATATATATATATATTTCATGCCTTCTTATTGCCATTTTTATGATGAAGTGTATTTATATTGTATATTCTGTTTAAAATCTCAAAACCCCTTAATAGTCATAGAACAATTGAAGGGGTATTTGGGACTCATTAATTTAATTTTCTGCTTTTAATCTATTTTTAACTTTTCCTTTTCTTTACGGACAAGTACAAATACAATTTAAATGTAAATGTTTTTGTTATTTCTAGATAATAGTTTTGGCAGCTGTCTTTTTGTCTCTACAGTAGAGTTCTGTCTTATACGATTTATACGAAACTACTAGATCTTTTTGGAGTACACACTACCACACTGTGGAGCACTCTCTCTTCAACAAGGATGCAGTTTTACTCCAATTAATTACTATTTTTCCCTTCTTAGGTCTTCGCCATCATCTGCATCCTTACTGGATCAGTGGCAGGAACAACTAAGATAATGACAAAGACCTGAGAAGAGAAAAATAGTAATTAATTGGAGTAAAACTGCATCCTTGTTGGATCAGTGGCAGGAACAACAAAGTTCTTCAGGATTATAATTATTGTTTTTCCAGCTATCACGCTAGGTATAAGAGAATAAAGAAACAAATTCAGTTTTATACAAATAGTTTATGGATGTACTGTAGACGTTGAAAGGTCAAAAAGAAATAGCATGAAATATTGGATACATGGTTTTTTCCAGGAGAGAGTTGGATCAATGATCATTCCAAGGTTTTTAATGGCAGGATAAAACTTGATGGGATTATCATTCAGGTATAGGATTGGAATATCAGGAACAGCTTCAAGGAAATCGTTGGAGCCTACTAATATTGGTTTCTTCTTCTTCCGTATTTAACTTCAGCTTGTTAGCTACGGCAAAGTCACAGATTCTATTTAATTCTTCTTAATGTTTTGTAGTGATTGTTGATAGATTAGAAGGCGGGAAGAATAGGTATATTTGGAAATCATCAGCATAAACGTGCTATTGGGGTTGATGGATTAGAAAGGTAAGGCCATTAATATAGACTAGTAGGCCCGTGCGAAAAATTTGCACAACATATTGTTATCAAATGCCAAATTAATAAGAAAATAAAATAATGCAACATATCAAAAGATAAAGAAATCAAATGTTACTTTATCGATAAATATAATCAACAAAGAAAACAAAAATTAATTTAAATCTTCATTTCTTTTTGGAACCAACATGTATACAAATTTCATTAAGCTGTATCTTTGCTAAATATTGTCCGATTTCAATGTTTTTTTTTTCATTTAGTAGGTAATTTAGTAATATTTTATATAATTATGTGCATAACGAAGGGTTTAAAGTGTGTAATTTTTTAGTTATTCGCAAATAAAGTTTGTTTTCTTTCATAACTTGTTTGCCTGAATTTTCGGGGTGATTGGACTATTTTGCCCGCCTGAAGGAGAAGGAAGCCTTCAAAATTGGTGGCTCAATCTTGAGATTTTGTGAAAAATTAACGATGATATGGCTTGCCGATCAAAAACACCATCGATAAATAATATAAACTCCTCCTCTCTCGATCATAGAGCCCTCAAGTCAACGAAATGAGACATGTATTCAATTACGGTACTACAATTAATGTAAGGTTGTGTGGATGCGAACCCTATGCCTTGCGTTATCTCGAAAATATTTTGGGGCTCAAAAACGCAGGATGCGGAGGAACTATCCGGGTCTTGCTGTACGCATCAAAATATTCAAGATCCAATTTATCCCATTTCAATCAACAGACCTACCACAGTTACAGAATTGAAGCCTAACAAAATGTTTGTATCGTCTTTATTTATTTTAGAAAGAAAAACAACAGTGGAGAATACGATTCGCTAACCCCCCGTGAAATTCTGAATCTAACGATACTCCATTCATGGTATTTGAGCATGACATGAGCTTATATTTGGTACA